TTGATGCTTTTTTTTTCAACACTTTTTTTTATCATACTTTCCTTCCCTTTTTTAAACACTTTTCTCATCATACTTTCCTTCTTTTTTTTTAACACTTTTTTATTTCTATTTTTACAACGTAAGGAAAATTAAACAATCGCTTTCGATCTTAACAATAGTGTTTCCACAGCAAGACATACGAAAAACCTCGCGCTCAATCAATGGAAGTTTTTTTCAATTGTAATTCTTGTTATTTGTAAACGAAGCTTTACTATTGAACGCAGATTGTTACAAATGCCTCGTTTTGGAATTAAAAAGAGTAACTGTGTCTGTCAACTTTTATAATTAACAAGGCTATTTTTAAAGAAAAAACAACCACAATTAGAATAAAGTTATAACGGTTTAAGAGGCTGGCTATTAGCGAGCGATTGGAAAAAGTTTGCAGTAAAATGTGCTACAGTAAAGTGAGATGAAATATTGAAACCAAGTTATTACTCATTATTTTAATGCAAGAAAATATTTGTAGTCTACCGTGTCTAAAGAGAACTTATATGTATGACTAAATCAGAAAAAATAGTTATACGTTTACTTTGAGGATTAAATCAGGCGATGGTTTGCATTGATAGTACCAGAAAAAAAGAGGTATGCCTACATGATTATGCATTGCAAAAAAAAAAAAAAATATGTGTGTCTCTTTCGCAGTAACTAAATAAAAAAAGGAAAAGGAAAAGAAAGCGGGATAGGGGAGATAAAAATTGTGGTACCCACTGGTACAAGGGGTAATCGTTGGAGAAAATCTTGAAAATAATAACCATACATGGTTTTGTCTACAGCCAGAACCCATTGACTGCTATGTTTTTCATTTTAAAAAGAAAAACTATGACAAAAACACAAACTACGGATTCATTGTTGGTCGAAGTAAAAAAAGATTTACATCGGAACAGAGACTGTTACAAAAAAAAATACATTAAGAGGTATCGTATGAGAAACGACCCCACTATTTACGATAAAACATAAGAAACTGCATGAATCACATTATTTTCATGACGACATATGTCTATTAATTGGATTGTTTCTGTATGCTCACTGATTACATGTAATGTTACCGAAATATACTACTTTTTTTTCTTGCAGGAATTTTCACTTCGGTTGTCATAATTATAAACACTCATTAGTTCCAGTTACTACATCTATTGAAAAACTTTACGAAACTGGTCCAGAACTAACAGCATACAAGACGAGTTTAATTCCACGATGTAGGTAAGACCAGAATGTCACCAACAAAGGGGCCTCAATTGCCAGCAAAGACATAGGGTAAACCATATTATCTTGTCCATAGTCCCTCCCCCTGTTTTTTTTATTTGGTGAATATGGGCGATCTATAACGCAAAAAATCGAAGCTCATTATATTTTAGTCTTTTTCGGTGTGTAAGGCCTTCTTGCGGTCAGTTAGACACAACAGCTGGAGTTATACGACTAGAAATAAAGAGATTCAATTTTGTGTTTATAAAGATCATTCTTAATCTCGTTTTTAAACCTAGTCAAGTTATTACAGACTGGATAAAGACTATTAAAAGGACCGTAAACGGTTGAACAAGGTTGAGATGGTGACATTATGACTGAATTTCAAGCTTTGTATCGTTGTGTCAATTTAGTTTCTTGTGAATCACAAAGCATTCCAACAGTAAGATTACTTCGAGTAGATTTTAAGAAAGAAAGTGAGACATGCATACGACGTTTTTTATATTTTATTTTAAGTAACAAGTGTGACTTAACATTAAGAACACGCTATCAGTTTGAATCAAAGCGTCTCGGTTTTTATCATTCATAAACCCATCTTGTCTCTTACTGAGACCACAATGAATGTGCTTCTCAAGAAGCTTATATTGGATGAAGTGGCCATTGTTTTTTTCTGTGATGTTATCAATTCCACCAGAGTTCTGCAGTTTCATTCGAGTAAATATATATATATTTCAGGCAAGACGCAGATATAAAAAAAAAGGTAGCTGCAACTATTATAATGTCCTGTGTGAAAGTCCCAAAAGAAATGTTATTGATATCGCGGCAGCTGTAAAGTTAAATGCTGTGATTTTTAACTAGATGGCTCAACAGAAAAAACCAAGCTTTAAAAATAAGAACTCGTATATGTTTATAATCTGATTTAAAGACAATGTCATATGGATTAGGGACACTAACATTAAAAATGATAACTCTGAAAAATAGTTTGATTTTAATTGCGAACTGTTTGTGAAATAATGAAAGACTCCAAGGAAAAAAAAAAAAAGAAACATCTTATAGAAACCCATTGTGCCCCAATTATTTATATCTGCTTTAAACTCACCGCCATTTTTTTTTAAATATGTATAGCATAATTATCAGACTGTGTACAACAAACGAGAATACATCTTGCAAACGCAGGGATTACAAATCGTTGATATTTCATAGTTTTCATTTTGTCATCCGAATCCTTTTTATTTCAATCTCTTTTTTTTTCATGTCATTTATAAGCCGTGATAAGGATAATTGCCAGCAATGCTGATTTCGTTTTATTATGCTAGTTCCCCCACAAAAATACTAAAATCTCGATTCATTTCATAGAGGTTTATGATACCTGTACCCCTAGACTCGAGGATCCGCCAAGTTGAACTGCTGTTACCCTGACATCCTTTCCGTATATCCAATTTCAACACTGCCCTAACCTCCAGACGTACGTGTATACCAAATCTCGCTATCTGTTGTAATCCTATATTGCTACTATCGATAACACACTGCTTGCTCATATGATTATTCCTGGCTCAGAATAGTTGGGCTTGTAATACGGTCATCCCGAGTGAAAGATTGATTAAGTAATAACAGTGGATTCCCTCGTCGTCAGATGATAAATCAAAATAGTCAGTCGAGGCGTTTTTAAAATTGATCCTTAATTATGTCGCAATTATCTATATGCCTCTTGAATATTATTCTGATAGGTGTATATCCTGTCCTTTCTCGACCTGATCTTCATCGTATTGATCTTTAATAAACTCTAAAAGCACTTTTAGTAAGACGTTCGATTCCAGTTGTCTCCGCTACATTATTTTGATCACGATTATGACTACATATTCAGATTTGTTAACCTCTTGCGTCCAACTCTTTTTAACGTCTCCCTTTTTTGCTGGTAATTGTAATATCCTCGTCTACAGATTTGTTTAACTTTTGTTCGCCCAATACAAGCCTTCATGGGCAAACTAATGGGTATTTTGTTGCTCGTGTGTAAATAGGTATTTGTATTTTAATCCACCTAATCTCAGACTAAGGGAATGGCATACCGAGGTGGAAGAATGAGTATAGTTTTTTAGTAAAACGACATAAACTTGATCCCGCAAAAGTTTTCATCCTCTTTGCCAACTCGTTGTGTTTAGATACTGTTATTCATAATTCGCAGGTAGAGTATAAATTGCTTTCATTCCTAATCATGCATTCATAACCTAGCTATAAGAGTGTCAAATGTGACGTATGAAGAGCTTAAAAGTTGTGATATTTTGTTATATGACGGTAATTCATGTTGGTCGTGCAAATCCTAAAGTGCAAAGGAAAATCGTAAGAATTAATTGTGTCATTGTTAAATAGAATATTATTATTACAGTTTACGACACGACTTTTACAATACAAAGGATGAGTCAGTGATGGCAAATGCAATTCCATAAGTTGATGCTTTAGAATGGAAAGGGAGAAGATTAAATATATGAGAACCCATTTTTCCTATTTTTTTTGGAAAATAATCAATTCCGAGCCGGCTTAATTCGTGCACCATAATTTCTTTCACAGTCTGCTTTTTGCCTTTTGCTAATAACGAATTCAAACTATTCAAACCATTATTGAAAAACAGCTATTTATGAACAGGCTTGAATTACCCCTCAATTCTCAAGAGGAAGTCTTTGAATAGCGATCCAGCATCAACGAAGAATTAAATAACATATTTTCACGACTAAGATTGTTCCGATGAACTTGTGACGAAGCGACAGGACAAATTACTTTTTTTTGTTGAGTTAAAGCCTTTTAAAAACAGAGTAGTCAAGTTAAAGACTACCTTTCACGCGGGATTTCTCTTCGAAAAGACATTCATTTAAAAGGTGAACTTTAAACTAGAAATACGGTTTTAATTACAAGACTAACAATATTCCTGTTAGGCTGTTAAAAACGATGAGTCTTATAGAAGACATGCTAGAAGATATCATACTTCCAACAGGGAAAAGGTAAATTCAATTTATACGATGAAAATGTGATGCTAAAAATATATAATTTAGGAACAGTTTCCGACGACGTAGCATAACTACTGGAAGAACGATTATTAACGTTGATAAATATATGGATCAGTTGGACAATCATGTAAAACTTAACCTAGCCAACTCAAACATAAGCACTCTTTAGGCGTGGTCATAAAAAAAAGCTCGATGTAAAGGATGAAGGGTTTGCTAATATAATAATGCAAACAAGTAAATCTCTCAGTGGTATGTGAAAGGTATGGCTTAAAAACTATGTAAGGAGAGCCTCTGAAAACCCAGTAGTTAGTGATCAGTTATAGTCATAATAAAAAATAGTTCTTTTTTCGTATTTTCTATTGCCTTTTTATTATACCCCATAAAACATCATTTCACCGGTATTTACATGCAAGATGGATATTAAAACCAATGGCATTACTGGGTTTTGTTTAGTAATACCAGGTGCACTGTTGACAACTTGTGTTTTTAAATGCAGATATATCAATATCTTTTTTTAGTGCGACATCATTTTGGCAAAAGCTGTATCTAGTGTATTACCTTATTTGGGTTAATGTTTTCAACATGAGGTTTTTCTGCTAATTCGCTTTCTTTATTGTCTCTGGTTTATTTTATTCCTACCTTTTTCTTCTTTTTCTTTCAATTTTTTTTTTTACACACAATATATACATAAAATGTCACCTAATACACAAGAAAGTGATTTAAATACTATTTCCTTTGCGGGTAGCTTTTGGTCCAAAGATAAATCTGGCATGACACAATTATTGGACTACATGAAGTCCACTCATGCTGATTTGGATATCATCTTTACAATATATACACAAAGGTAAGATACTAGACCGGTCAAAAATTTAAAAAAACGAATTCTCTAATGTTATAAATAGGTCACAATTTGAACAAGAGTTTGGCGAAAAGTTGTTAGTTCTTTCATCCATACATGAAATCGATCAAAATGAAGCAGAAAAAGGTGGCGTTCCTGCCGCCTATCATGCAATTTCTATGGAATTAAACAAGACGGCCACTTCACATTTGGATCTGGCCGAGCAGTTGAAAACTCAAATCGGATCTGAATTTGAGCAGAAGCTCAATGAGTATAAAGAATTACTCGAAAAGTGGACGAAAACATTGACCGATCTATATAATGACCGTCAAGATAAAACAATTGAATTGTTGAAGGTAAATTAGAAGAAACATTTCATTTGTTTGTAAGATAGAAACTAAATTTCATTAAAGATTCGAGCCAAATACTTAAAAGAGCATGAAATCTCTAAAGGTCAATCAACATCGACAATGGATAAACTAAGTAAGTTTACAATGTACATTATATGTTATGAAGTTACTTATATAAGTATAGAGAGTCATTATAAAGCATTGGTGACAGATGTAGATGAGCTTTCGCAAGAATGGAATACAATTTGGAGGGATGCATGTGAGGTAACGTAGCACAATCCGCTGGTAAATTAATTTCCTTACTTATGCATCTGCATAGGTCATGCAAGCCATGGAAGAAGATCGGATTGAATTTTTAAAGAGCAATGTTTGGGAGTATGCAAACTTAGCTTCTGCTCGACTCCTTATTGAAGATGAGGTAAAGAAAACTAACAAATACAATTAGAAGATTACTAATATTTGTATTTTCTACAGTGGTGTGAGACAATTCGCGATCAATTAGAAAAATGTAGCACTGAACAGGAAATTGAAAAATGCGTTTCAATATACGGTACAGGGTCAAAGATACCATGTAAGATTTTCGCATTCGTCTAGATGTATATGATAAACTGACATAATTGATAGCCACAAATGACTATGTGGGCGAGCAAATGAAAGAACAAAAGAGGAAGAATGCAGAACGTGCATCAAAAACCCCAATCCCGCCTGTGAAGCCAGCACGCCAGCCAGAAAAATCACATCCATTACCTCGTCCTGAAATTCCAAAGCCGAGCATCGAACAAGAAACTCCCAAACCAAAACCTCGTTTCCAACAAGACCCACCTCAGCCTAAGCCACGTACTAAGCAAGAGTCTCAACAACCCAAACCAGGATATCAAAAAGAAATCCCACAACCCAAACCTCGAACAGATGTGCCTAGTACCAAGAATAGACAGATAATGAATCAGTGGGATAAAACAGATAAAAATGGATTAGATCTGCAACAGAAACAACATCCACATCATAAGCTGACCAAAGCTGATGACGAAGGAGGGTTCGAACAGGATGAACTTCCAACTGAACAAAGTCGATCTCAAACCGAAGTAAATTCTTTCCGATCTACAGGCAGAACGAATACACAAAAGCAACAATCACAGTTAGATTACAGCTTCAAACAAGACGAAGAAAGAATAAATAGCATCCGTAATAAAGTTAGCGACAATATAGGTAGTACAGCAGCTCGCGCTCAAATCAAACGAAAGCCTCTCAATAAGTCTTTAATGGATCAAGTATCAAATCAAATGGCAGTAGCCAAACAGCAACGTGAAATTGAACAAAACGAAAGTAGATGCTCTTCACCTCAGTCCTCCGTCAAAAGTGGATCCACTCATCAAAGTACAAGCACAGATGGGTCACTCGAATCCCTCTTGAAGACATTTGAGATTGTTAATCCTATCAATCAACCTCCTCCCAATGCTACCGTTAGTGATGAAGCTAGATTTCGTCGTCAACCATCAGAATATAAACCTGACACCGGATCTATCCCCAGTCGGCGTGGCATAAATGCGAATACGAGAGTTCTTCAAGAAATCCACGATTCTCCTCCATCTTCTATAAACTCCAATACCACTATGCAGCACCCCTTCACATACCCTGTTGCACCTCCGAAATCACCACGACCACCACCACAACATATAGATGGACAACCCCAGGAAGATGAGAGAAATCAAAATTATCAGCAAAACACTCAAGTACCTACCCAAGCATTTGTGCAACACCAGCCGCAGCAATACCCGGCCTCTCCTAACATGATGATGCAACAGATCCCTGATCAAGAGTCCATTTATTCTCACAATCAGCAACAAAAACATCCTTACGGAGGTCAGTCACAATATATAGGCCAACAGCATATGGGTCAAACTCAACAACATATGGGACAAACTCAACAGTATATGGGGCAATCACAGCAACATATAAATCAACCACAAAGGTCTCCTATGATGCAGCCACAACGCTCTCCTATGATGCAGCCACAACGCTCACCTATGATGCAGCCTCAACGTTCTCCAATGATGCAACCTCAACGTTCCCCAATGATGCAACCTCAACGTTCCCCAATGATGCAGCCTCAGAGGTCGCCAATGATGCAGCCTCAGAGATCACCAATGATGGCTCCTGTGACTTATTTGCAGCAAAACCTTGGAACTCAAAGTGGTGGTCTACCTCCCCCAATCACAATCCCAACAAACTATGGCGTAACTCCTCAACCCTCTCCTGCTATGACATATACTACTGGGAATGGTGGCGTCTCTCCGGGAGGTGTTCTACCACCACCTGCTGTACCATACCATCAACCGCCACAAGCGGCGAGACCTGGGCAATATTCAGATGGGCGGCCAGTATTATTCTGGGGTAAGTTGATATATCTAAATTTGTATTAAATATCATTGACTCATATCTTTCTTAATGAAGCTCGTGCCAAATACGATTATACAGCATCCGATGAGGGCGAATTGTCGTTCGCTGCAAATACGTTAATAGGTATCTTAGAAGCAGATATGACACAGCAATCATGGTGGATCGGTGCTATCATGGATGAATATCGCCAAACTTGGTCGATTCCTGGTTCTATTCCTAGTAACTTTATGGCTAACGCATAGTTAATTAGTTTTTTATTTTCATCCCCCATTAATTATCCATCTAAAGTATCCATTTTTTGCTTTAATAAAGCTATTTGAGTATTGATTTCTTGCTGAGCATGATCTAAACGATCGATCTCGTCTTGTTCTAATTGAACACTAAATAGTGGTTGGGAACTGTCTTTAATTGATTTCTTGTTTGGTAAGTTAACAGACAAAGCATTGTGTTGTTGAAATGTATGGTATAGAGATTCGGTGGGTTCATTAAAGACTAATTCGTCATATAATAAGCTCATCACTGGTTTATCTTTAGGCCAAGGTTGTCCATTTATATCATCTTCGTAAGGGTGAAGTCGCAAATGATGATAAAGTACTACTGGCTTCTCTGCTGTTGATGAGTGAAAGTGTATTTTGACCATAATTTCGAATTCTCCCCATCCTGTTTCTGAAACTTCGAAAGGTGGACTTTCAATAGCTACCAAAAAGATATTAGCTGCTGTTGGATGGGTACTGTGACGAAAGCTTACTTCTTAAAGGGTTTGGATACGTTTCATGAAGTTTGAAGACGACCTTCTTAATGTAGTAACTGAGATCCTCATTGTTTAAACCTTTCACCATGACGGTCCATTTATGAGTATGATCTGCATCAGACGCCTTTTTGCCATTTAAGGGATACGCGATGCTTCCATAATAGAAAGGTCTTGCAATACTAATTCCTTTGACTCGTTTACTAGACATTATTTATTAATGTGAAGAAAAAATGTTTTTATCACGGAAATAGTCGTGGTTTCAATGCTTTTTTATTTTGTAGCCGTTGACTTTTTACTACGATCCTTATTTTGCTTGAAACACAAGAACTGGACGACAGTGCTCTTACGACTAAACACAAGTAGTTCCTTTACATGACTCAACTCAGATTGAAGATTGCTAGATTGCTGTTGTTGAGGATCATAGGCTTGTTCGATAGTTTGATATATAGATTGAAGGGTATCAGATGCAGCTGGTGTTACGTATTGTGATAATGTTTGATGCATGAATTCAATCTCAAGAGTAGCTTGAAGCATGCCACCCATACCAAATCGCTCTACTTGCCTAAAACTATCCAAACAATCACTGGCCATAGTCTCTAACAACTTGGATAAAGCTCGTGATACAAGTTGCTTAGTTGCACTACTTATCTGCTCATGAACCATTACAAGTGTCATCAACGCTTCATATACAAATGGATGGACCTCTTGAGGCTTGGGAATGCTTGACCAATCTATACCGCTCATAAGAATACCTTGTTTTATAATATCACGAATCATTTGGGCTTTGCGTTTAATATAGTCCCCAAAAAGAATTTCGTCAAGCTGATCTACAACATCAATGAGAGTCTGTAATGAAAGAATGTCAGTAACACCAAATAATTAATGCCGAACGGTATAACTCACTCTTAGGTCTTCTTCCATCTGAATATGATAAGCAACTTCGAACAAATCAAATAGTTTTCTCATCACATTTGAGCGCATATGATCCAAATTACTAACAGTCAATAAAATGCGGACATCCTACATACAAATCATCAGTGTGAGTCTAATAACCGGATTTTATAACTTACCACCGAGTGCACGTCGATCTTCTCTCGTTTTTTAGCCAAAACAAGTTCGTCTTTTTCATGGAGTGGTGTATAGTCTGCAAACGCTAGTTGCACCAAACCATCCAAAAATGTATACAGTGACTCCAGGAACGATGACCTAACCTTATCGATATAATTTGGCGCAATGATGCGCTTTTCTTGGTTTTCTATATCATCAGAAACGGCAGAAAGACTAGCTATTTTATAAGCAGACCTCGCACAAAACTTATGATAGTCATAATATCGTTTTAACAGTGTCGTAAATTGAGGATTTTGAGGGTCTAGAATCCATTCTTCCAACATATAGAAAGTTTTCGCATCTCTCTCCCAACACTTACAAAGGATGTCAATGAATTTGGATCTTGCTTTTTCCATTAAAGTAGTTAATCCGGAGAATGCTTCACCTGCCAAGTTAATTGTATTGATGTCATTAACACAATTGGCTAGATCACTGATAATCAACGTTAAATATTCAGACGTGTAAATTGAATTGGCATTAATTGGTACAAAAGCTGGCATCAAATATTTGTCAGATCCATCCATGATTTTTTTCAATTGGAGATTTTTCTCGTCGAGAGAAAAATGATCAGAAATCAAGGATGCGTATCTTCCAATGATATCTCCTGTCATTCGCTGACACTGTTCTACTTTAGCCATATCCATACCATGTCTTCTTCTACGTGAGGTTGGAGGATCGGATGCAATACCCATTGGTGAAACAGCTGCTGCTTTATTGGAAAATTTACCTTCTATAAAAGCTTTTGCTAATCTCCAAAAATCAGGTAAACATCTTAACAACAATGTTGATTGGGATTTTACGAGATCCGAAATAGCCTTCCAAATTCTAAGTTCACTGTCGGCTTCAACATTGAGTTCTGATATTTTTGTTTGTATTTGTCCAATGGCTTTTTTTAATGATAAACTGCGTTTAATCGGTGATTCGTCCGTATCCAGGTCCTCTGCTTTCAACCGATTGATCTTAAGAACACTTGCATCATACGTTTCTTTCATTAACCCCATAATCCATTGATATTGACTGTCTAGATAGAACCAAGCAGGATCTTTTGTCGTATCTAAGTCAAACAGGAAGCTAATTCTGTACTTTAGTGTTTTGTTAAATTTTGCATAAATTTCATTGGTTACTTTATGGTCTTTTCTTGATCGTCCATACTTCTCCAGGGATCCGCTAACATACGAAGTAATACATTCTGTAACTCGATAACAATTTTGCTGACTTCAATCCAGACTTTGTCGAATACTTTTCGATGCAAATCCGTGATCCCGGTTTCTTTTTCCATTTCAGATAAACCGGTTGATCTATCAGTTGAATCCAAGTCCCCTTTCAATGCTTGATATAGGTATTTACCCTTTTTGTAGTCTCGAATAGCTGCTTCATATTTGGCCTAAAAAAGCATGAGTAATACATACTGGCGTATTCCTATAAATATCTACCTGTTTAATTGATTCCAAAAGACTGCTGGGTAAGTTGAATAAAAATCTATATCTTTGCAAAATATATAAAGTGCTTCTGACTTTATCGACACGATTTCGTCTTTCAACAACAGGCCCATACACCTGTTCAGCACGTGTATTAGCCGCTATAGAATTGTAAGTCATTTTTCAACTCTTACTTAGACAAAATCATCTTACCATCTAGAGATCTTTGAATATCAATTGTTCCGTAGTCTTGTTGCTGGTTTAATTGCTTTGATTTCATTTCTTCATACACATGATCGATAGTGTTTTTAGCACTGACAAAACGATCAAAATTTTGATGGACGAGACTCTTTAACGCTTCGGCTCGTTTATCGACACCTCTTCTTAAGCGTTCCTCGCCGGCGACTAAATCATTATAAGAAGTCTCTTTATGGACCTGAAGAAGAAATTGACGAGGTTGGAACTTCTTGTTGGTAATCATCATGGTAGTTTCTAAGAGAAGAAGGTCAACTAATTGCAGAAGTGAAAATTGGTCTAACCCTTACTTTCTTTTAATTGAGTTATGTTTGTGTTCCTAGACATTTCACTATGATCAGGAGTTAATACCATTGAGCTTTATATTTCTTAACGTTCATACTCTGGGAAGATGGAGCTGTAGACACCTAAAGGATCACTGTCATCTATAACCTGCAAATCTATATCACTTTCCGAGGGCTTAATGGTCGATATATTAAGGTTGTCTTCTTCTTCAGGATGTTTAAATTGTTGAATGCTTGACTCTTTTTCGTGGTCGTTGTTATTATCAGAATTATCCTCGTCATCTACCCAAACATCAGGGTCAAGTGAGTCCAGATGATAAAACCTCAAAATAGCTGCATCTTCGGCATATTCAGGTAGGTCGAGTCGATTCATTTGTTAGTAAAAGAAGGGCAAATAAAGAACTGTATTCTGTAATTCATGAACACCAGAATAGATACATTCAAATACCGCCTGCAATATTTAAGGTCGCCGTACACATACTGAACGTCTAAGTTTTTAATCATTCTGAAAGTTTATTGCTTCCAAAAAAACATACAACGCAATGATATCAAAAATTGGCTCACCTGACAATTTACTGAAAGACACCAAGAGGTGCTTCTGCTTGTGTAGGGAAGTAAAAAATGACGAACTTAAAGCGAAATAGGCATGTGGCTACTTCAGCATTAACAACCTTTGAAGGTCAAATTACCTTTAGGTTTGTCCGAGAAGAGATTTATAAATATGATTGCAAACTGATATGAAAGTAACCCTTACAAATTATATTTAGTTTAGGCATATTACGTAATATATTTTCAAATTGCTCGTTATTTCCTTGCAAAGAAATACGTTACGCCGTAATTTTCATCAATAAAATCGATTCTTTATTAAATTTAGCTTTTCCTTTCTTTCAGTTTGGTTGTCTTATAAACGATAATAAAATCCATCGAACTTTTGCAAATGTCAGCTTTTCTTTACATCCTACAAGCTTTTACATATAGCTATTTTCAGGCACTACCCAATCAATTATTTACAATGTAATTACAGAACCAGTGGTTAAAATTACAGCTGTTGTTGCTGTGGATAGAGTTGTATTTTCATAGAAGGTGACATCGGGTATACCTCACAAAGGCGAAGCACCTCCTGCAAAGACAGGATATAACTATGGCTACACCAATGCTACTAGTATAACTTTTTAATCTTAGAACTCTTTGTGAGAGAACTATTTAAAAATAAATAATTTAATCGTCCTGACATAAGCCAACCCTGTTTATCAGTTTATAAATAAAAGCGGTTCTCATGCCTAACAATATCGTTTTGAAGAAAAGAAATAAACACCATGGAAAGGTTAGTTAATAACTACTATTGTTTTTTTTTAAAATAAAACGGTAAAATATTACCTCTCTTTTTAAAAAGGAAATTCCAATTTTTGCATCATCATGAAGGCCATCCTTGGCTATATCATGAAGACTTCCTCGTTGCCCGTAACCATTTGTCATACAATCTAAACCGTAGCAGGGTAGGAAATAGCGGGGGTTATCGTTAGCAATCTGCTAAAGATCTAGAAGATGTAAGAAAAAGAAAAGCATATGACTCTCAAAAAGACGTGGAAAACTAAAAAGACGAAGGTGTCGATATTGTCCTATACTTTGTCTTATGCTTTGTGTTAAGCTTTGCGGAGACTTTGTCGTAGACATTGTCTCTTGTTACAGACATTGTCGCGGACATTGCTATAGACTTTGTCATAGTTTTTTTTTATATACGTTGAGAAGCTCTTTAAAACAATCAAAAGTTTCAATAAGGACTTTCTATTTAAAAAAGGTGGAATGATGCATTATGAAATAAGAAAGGTATAAATCTTGGGGAGATATAATTAGCGACTAAATTATACATTGTTTTATTTATTTTTTTATAAAAACCATTCTTAATGGCTTATTCCAAGCTTTTTTGTGCTCTCTCGGGTGATGCTGATGTAGTCGGCATAATTAGGGAGAGGTGTCCTTTTCAAATAAACTAATATCATATTCATTGGACTACTGTGTATTAGGCGGGCACCACTGTAAAAAAAGTATGTCACAACAACTACTGCATAAGTATATTCATAGCGCATTAAGCTGTCAAAATTTTGAATACAGTCTCATCTCTGCTATTTACAGTCTGATCACATCTTTGACCGTTTCGCAGCATACCCAAGTCGAAAGAATGACAGGAAAAACGGTAGAACCAAACTGGGTCACGGAGTTGCTGATTTTTAGGGTATTGTATCTTGAGATACGTGGGATGTATTTCGTTAATCTGTCCAATTCAATAAGTGTGCTTGATAAACCAGAATGGGTCAGCCCAACTGTACAAATTGTTGTTGAGTGGTCATCAAATTTGATTTTTTGGGGGTAGTTTATAAAAGCCATCTTTCATAAAATTGGTACCATGTTCATTCTCGATGGTTGCTTTTGCTTCACTTGTTCTATACGCTAAAGGGGTAGAGTGCTGGATGTTGTACTATCTAACAATTCAATCAAATTTGTGGCCAAAACGTAATCGAGTGGCTTTTGAAATAGATTTAATGCCTCTGGTTTCATGCATTCTTTTTGCTTCCCAAACTAGCAGATTCACCATAGATGACCTCAATATTCTCGAGTTTATCGAAGCAAGATTCGAGCATTGCCAGAATATGCGACTAATACCATTGTTAGTCGTGGTATATATCCATATTGCCATTTTTATACTCTCGGACCAGTTAGAAAACAACCAAATTAATCCAGCAAGAATATAAGTACACATATCTCCCAGAATCAAATGTCAATACACTGAAAATCATTTCAAGAACTGCTTGGACAAGATTCCTACTTATAAAATGATCCGTTTATCAATTTCAAAAAAAATTTCGATTGGATTTCACAGTGTGCTCCAATTCACTTTTTTTTTTTTTTAGATCAGGCTAGTTGAGTTTCCTTTTTTTTTTAAACATGGACCTCTAAGTTTAGCAAATTCTCCAATTAATCTTTTTGAATAAAAAAACCCCCCTTTGAAAAAATAAAAACTGCACTTTTTATTGACCATTTGGCGTTGGAACAACTGTAAGTATAAAAGACTTTATTGCCAAAAGAATCGCCGCTGTTATTAATTTCTGTAACTGATAAAAACATACAAGTTATGTTTAAACATATGTATGGATAATCCTTTCTTGTAAAGTGCTTAGAACTGCCTTTTATTAGTTTTGAAATCGTCCATAAAAAGAGTAATCAATTATAGACAACATGTACTATCCCAAGATGAAGGCTGAAACAGCACTTGCCAACAAACGGAGTTATTCCGGATCACACAATAATACTTCTTCGGTAGCTAAGAATTTATCACATTGTATGTAGCAGCGTTATTTTTAGTTTTTTAGTCAAATCTCGAGAATCACTTGACTTATGACGAAATTTAGGAAAGTTTTTGACCTCCATGCTAAGCAAGCAAAGCCACGATGCCACAAATCTCAACTAAATTAGTGTATAAATATCTTAGTTTTTCTTGATCTTGAATGAAACATCAATTTATGCCCTTATGTTTTTAATATTTTTGGGTAACGTTATCTAATTGCACCACGTATTCAGTATTAACAATGAAATTCTCTTAGCCCTAGTTTTTGTATGGACATTTCATATTTCCAACGCTAAGAACATCACATACAGTTTGATTGCAGCTCCTTTTTCAGCAGATCAATCTCTCGCAGTAGTGATTGATAACACGACATGGCCCCTGTATGAAACATATGGTATTCTTTATCAAGGTAAAGCTCCCATCGCAACAACAGGGTACTATTATGCAATTTTAGAAAACGATAAGCAGCCTAACGTTACAGAGGCATTCCACCGTACACCTTCTCAGAAAGACACTGTCAATGAATTTTTTAATCGTACTTCGGAATACCACCAAGTCTTATCATTGCCGCAAATGTTGCCTCCTCTGCCTTCTATCAACCGAATTGATACAGATCTCCATATCCAAGGGCAAATACCTACTATTCACATTTGGGGCAACGCTTCTGCAGTCAAGTATTTACACGAGAAACCACTCGAAGATATTAATGTTAGATTAAACTTTACGTACATTGGGTAAAGTAAATCATTTTGGCAAGGTCATCACAGCACTAAATAAACAAATTAACATAGGTTGCATAATGTACAAACGTTTGAAGATGTCAAGGTATCGCTAGCAGGCCGCAGCTCTCGCTATTTACCCAAGTTGTCATACGGTTTAAAACTTAAAAAGAAAAACGAAAATAACCTTTTCGGGTTCAAGAATTTCAAGTTGCGTGCTCTGGGTCTGGATCCTTCATATATTCGCGAATATATAACATATTCAGTGATAAAATCAGTTGGATTACCGGCCTCAGGATTTTCTTATGTGCGGTAAGCTTTTTATCTTTTCTTTCAAAAACTATATCTAATATTCATCGTAGCCTTTTCATTAATAACAAACCTGTTGGATTCTATGGTTTAATCGAAACGTTTCAGGATCCCTGGTTAGCTAATGAATTTGCTCATGGGGACAAGGATTATCAATCTGGTTTTCTATACCAAGGTATAACTATAAAAAAAAACCAAACTATACCGGTATTATCCGATCTTAGTTATAGCAGCAACATATCGCATTATAGTGCCGGTGAATACAAGATCAAAGCAGGTCCAGAGAAAAATTCTGACGCCGATTATACTGATTTGCAAAAATTCACCAAATTTGTTTTTGAGGCTAACAGCAGCGCTGACAGCAGCCAATGGAATAAACATATCGACTGCGATGGTTTCATTCGTTCGTAAGTAGAATAGTATATTATTGAGTGATATCCTATTTTAGCTAAAGATATAAAATAACTACAGCATGGTACTGGAAAACCTCTTGGGATTCTCTGATGCGTACATGACGCTAGCGGATAATTATTATCTTTACAGCAATCCCAAGTCAGATGGACGGATGATTTTTATATCATCCGACTTGGACACTTCACTCGGTATATCTTTGTTTAATATGACTATGATGATTAGTGGAAACTATACTGAACATCCCGGGTTCACATTTCAACCCTTGACTAAGAAGTTCTTTTCGCATGAAGCCTTTTCTACGTCTTATCAGCGAATGTTAATGAATTTGACGCAAAGTTTGATTAATCCAACGATTATGAATCCATTTATTGATAGTATTGTAGAAATGATCCGATCAGATGTTGAATGGGATGATAAATTGGAAAGAATTGGTGAATCTAATATCCCTCCGGTTGGTGGTGGTCAAAATTCTTCTAACGGGGATGGTTTAGGACTGGATATGTTCCCTCCTGGGCTAAGATCTGATTGGAGTGATGTCCCACAAACGTTTGATTCAGCAATCAATGGTCCAACTAACTCTTCGACTAGGGAAAGCGTAAAAGGTTTCATCTTAAGAAAAAGTTCGGCCATTCTGGACTTTTATGGGAATAACTCCTTTAATAAATAATGAATATTCTACATGCACAAACAAAAATAAAAAATGATAATAACTACAACTCATCATGTGTGGGTTTAAACACACTGTTTTTTAAATCTATAGACAAGATCAGTTAATACACATCCAGCCCTTCATAAATTAATAAACATTAGACAATACCTTTTAAAAACTCGCTGTCAACATGCTCTGGAAACTTGACCAAGTATTTTACGTACAAATCTCCGTATTCATCATGGTTATCAATTATAGGCATACCAGCACCAATAATTTTATCAACCAAACCATATTGAGTTACTCCAGAGCGCTTGAAATTAATAGCGCTTTGATCCAAATGACTGATAGATTTGCTGAATCCCGTGAGGGCTTCGATTAAGGTGATTGTGAAATTAGTGTGCAAATCATTTCCACGTCTTTCAAAGACAGGATGTTTTGATGTAATAATTTTGAAAATAATATCTCCTGGATCCTTATCAGGAGCTTCGTTTGCTTCTTCTTCAAAAACCTACGTTATCGTTATGAGTATATAAACCTATGGTCATATCTATGACTATGTACTTACGATGGTTTGATCTGTGGACATACCTTTGTCAACCACAACTGTATACTGCTCATTACCACGCTTAATTTTACGTCCATAACAAGCTTTACAAGTCATAATAATTGTCTTGCCCTTTCCTGCACATGTATCACACTGCTGTTGAAATTGCTGAACAAAACCAGGCGCAAATTGAACTTGCTTCAAAGTAGATCCTTGGCCTTGGCAAGTATTGCAGGTACGGATGGAATCAGAATCATGAGCTCCACTACCGAAACAATGGTCACAAGTGACATGTTTAGCCACATCTACCTCGATATTGACACCACCATAAACGTCCTCCAAACTAACATGGAGAGGAATTTCAATATTTGGGGTTTTTGGCTTTCCTTGATGACCTATCTTGGTGATCAGTATTTTGCTTTCGTTTTTTTTTACCGTTTATTTACCTCCATTAAAAAATTGGCTAAAAATATTTCCGAAGGGATTCTGACCAGCGTTTTGTTGTTGCTGTTCCTGTTTCTTTACACCTTCTTCACCATACCGATCGTAAGTATTTCTCTTGTCATCATTAGACAATATTTCGTATGCTATGATTGGGAATGTTAGTCATCGAGTCATCTTTTTTCGAATCTGTCTACCTTGAGCAATTTCCATGAACTTGTCTGAAGCTGAAGAATCGCCTGGATTCTTGTCTGGATGATAAACACGAGAAAGTTTTTTAAAATGTTGCTTGATCAGAGACTTGGGTGCATCTCGAGGAACATCAAGAATGTCATAATAATCTCTACCAGCTTGCACTATAGCTGCCATGACTATACTGACTATAAACGTGAGCCATATTGTTGCCAACGTGCTCTTCATAGTTTGGTAAAATAGGAACAGTAATTCTTTATTGTGCTTTCCATCCTAATTCGGATACTTAAAAGCAATATTACACAAGCAGTGTTGTGTTATGCATTTTTTGAGCACTAGAATTTTAACTCATCGTGTGTTACCAGTTCTTGGGAATACAAATTTTAATTTCTTGAATCTTCAGAGTTTGTACTTCACTAGTTTAGAAGAATAAAGTGCCTGTAATGCGAGTTCTTAATGTTAAAGGTCTGATTGAATGGAAAACCGTGGCCACGTCTTTACGTGTTTGAAGCGATGCATGAATTTAACTTCGAATTTCTAAAATTCGCTTTACATTCTCTGTTAGGAGTGCCCATACATTTCCTTGCAACTATCTATTGGGATGTGGAATCTAACTTAAAGATTCTTCGACTTATTACAGCTTTTAGGTATCAAGAAAAACATAGTTGTATGCTTGTGAATGATAGGAACAATATCACCATAAATGTCACTCACTTACTCCTACACAAATTTCTTATCATTCTATTTAGTTGAGTCATTTGGAAATATGCATTTTCATGGCCTTCTTTATAACCGTAGACTGAAGGTTTTGTCCAACTATTTACCTGGGTTGTAGGATTTTAGCATCCAAACAGTTAGTATGTAATGTTACAAACACTTATCACTGGGATACGTAGGCAAGTAATCAACGTAAACTCAATTGTGTTAGGTGCTCAAATAAAGGGACTAATAGTTTCATTCTTTGTTTTGTCAGTGAAGCTTCGAATTTTTAACATAATAATTATAACTAGACGCGGTTAATCAAAATATATACTGAGATATGAAGTCATGGATACGGACGTTAATATACAATTTTTTTTGCTATTATAATTTTTTTACTCGCCTTAATATTTCATATAAAAAAAGATATTTATGATGATCTAGTGCAATTAGGGAAGCAAGATCCGGTGTGACAGATAGATTCAAAATGTATTGTGCAGCTTAGATATTTCGAAATGCAACAAAATTAGTGTTAAACTTTCATCGTCAGGTAAAGCAACAGCTTTCAAATAAAGGGGTTATCTATGCAACTATATGTGCTGTTAGTGATACTAATGTAGATTATATTGTCTTGAGCACCTCATAATGGGGTTTCGGGCTAGTCTATGTTGATTCTCGTTGGTCTACTGCAAGGACAGATAAAATTTCAGAATTTCACAAACGGAAGAGGTTTTCGAATATAGATAAACAAACCAATAAAAATTATGTCTAAATGCATTTTCAAATTACTTTAAACACCATCACTGAGGTACCAATGTCGCATCCTCCCAGTCTGCAACCACAAAAATGACAATTATTAAACGCCCGCCACTGATTTCTCAAACCGACAAAAATCGACGGGTGGAACTGTGTCCCAGCCCGTCGCCTTTCTTCCGTTATTCTTTTTATACAAAATGTCTGAAGATGATTATGATTACCTTTTTAAAATTGTTATTATCGGCGATTCCAGTGTAGGAAAGTCTAATTTGTTGTCACGTTTCACCGTAAGTTAGTTCAAGGGGTAAAAGTCCACGAGTAAAGATTAAAAATCTCGAAACACTTTTTATAGAATGATGAGTTTAATCTCGAGTCAAAGAGTACCATTGGTAATTTGACATGCGCATGAGCTTTATCCGAGTAGTTATTAAAATAAGTGCTTATATATTTAGGTGTCGAATTTGCGACAAAGAATATAAAAATAGTAAGGCTTGTGTTTATGGTTTAAGTGCATGTTGTTTATATATTTGTTAGGGAGATCATGTCATCAAGGCACAGATTTGGGATACAAGCGGACAGGAACGTTACAGGGCAATCACTGGAGCGTAAAGTAGATAAGCGAATAGAAATGACGGGTTAAAATATTGATGAAAAATCTGTTTTAGTTACTATCGTGGAGCATTTGGAGCTTTGTTGGTTTATGGTATGATCATACATAAAATTCTATACCCTTTATCTCTCTTTAACTGAGGTATGTGATAGATATTACTCGACAATCATCTTTCCAAAACGTAGAACATTGGTTGAAGGAGCTTCGCGATCACTCTGATGAAAAGATATCGTTAATGCTTGTTGGAAATAAGGTTGATTTAGCAGATACGTCTCGTGCTGTTAGCACAGAAGAAGCTACAGAATACGCCACGGATTCTGAAATGATGTTTTTTGAAACGTCTGCTTTAGATGCCACCAATGTAGATTCTGCTTTTAAAACTGTATTTGAACGTATTTATGAGAAGATGCCTAAATCTGTTGCTCAAAAATCGGAGGGTAGTAATGTAAATATCCCAGGTCAAAATACCATTAAACTTACACCCCCTTCTGCAAATACAACCGCTTCAACTCCAAGAGGCATGCCTGAAGAAAAACCAAGTGGAGGTTGCTGTTAAAAAAATCGTAGTTTAAATAAAATGAAATAAATTGATATACGAGTTTTTTTTTTTTTTTTTTTTTTTTTTTCTCTCTTCTCCTTAATCCCCAAGTAAAATAAAGACACCCATGTCCATCCGAAGTGGCTATGAATCTATACCGAATCCAGCAGAGACAGAACCAATATTGAACACTTCAAGTTCTGCAACTCAAGAAGAGCAAATTCCGTTCTTACAACGTGTGAAACAGTTTGACTATCGCAGTTATTACCATAAACATGGTTTATCCGCTATTCTAATTTCTTGCATGTTGCTCTTCATTTTCCTGCTGCTTGGTTTAGCGACTTTCTTACCCTCCATTCATCATCGGTCTTCCAAAGTCGGCCTTTTCCAGCCACCTATCCACCCAGGCATTTCATCCTTTTCCTTACAAGAAGGGTTAACAAAATGCAGAGAGTTCAATAAGCCGATGATTGCTAATATCAATGATTCCAAAAGATCAAGCAATCCACGCGCACCCAAAGACATCCAGCCAATTCTCTTGAGAAATGCTGTTGTTTGGGATGGCCAAGGCGAGATTTTGAATAATGTGGATATCCTGATGACCAATGGCGTTATTAATGAAGTGAAACGCAATATTCAGGCACCAGCTGGTACAAAAATCATTGATGTCGGAGGACACATTGTTTCCCCGGGATTAGTGGATATGCATACGTAAAGTTTATAAACAGATAAACAGAAAACTATAACTGACGCCCTAGCTTTTTTATCATTAGTCATTTAGGTGTAGGATCCTGGCCCTCTTTATCAGGTACAAATGATATTAATGAAGCATCGTCTCCGGCAACTCCCTATGTAAGAACAATCGATGCATTTAATCCTTCCGATAAAGCAATTCGTATTGTTGCATCCGGCGGTATCACAACCGTTCTTGTGCTTCCAGGATCGAGTAATTCCATTGGTGGTGAAGCCTATGCTTTCAAATTAAGACCTATGGACACGCTCAGTAATCAAGATATGCTTGTTCAAACCGGTATTGATGAGGAAAAGGAACAAAAATGGAGATACATGAAGATGGCATGTGGTGAAAATCCAAAGGTAAAGCAGGATACGCACGCACAGAATCAAATCGATCGACTAACCAAATTGCTGTGTTGTAAAACTTAGAATAACTATGGTCATCGCAATACCATGCCTTCTACTAGTAAGTCAGCATACAACAGATTAAATACGCGTTATTAATCAATCATTACAGGATTGGGAGAAGCTTATGTGTTTCGTCAAGCGTTTGCTCAAGCTCAAGCATTAATTCGCTCTCAGGAAGATTGGTGCGCTACAGCAGAAAACTTGGTGCAGTTTGGTCAACACGATAATAATGCCCACCTTGATTCAGCATTCCCTCACGATATTGAATATGAATCCTTAACTGCTTTACTTCGTGGTCATGTTAAATTGAATATACATTGTTACGAAACACACGATATTGAAGCCATGGTACGCCATTCGCTTGAATTCAACTTCAACATCAGCGCTTTCCATCATGCTTTAGAGGCTTACCGAATCCCCTCCATTTTAAAAAGGGCCAAGAACAATATCACAATTGCCACTTTTGCAGATCATTGGGGTTATAAAAAGGAGGCGTTTGGAGCTTCTCCTCATGCACCAAAGCTGTTATTCGAAGCCGGTATTCCTGTAGCACTCAAGAGCGATCATCCGGTATTAAATTCTCAGCATATGGCTTTTGAAGCCGCCAAAGCCACACATTATGGACTGCCTGCTCAGGAAGCATTTAAAGCTATTACTTCTGTACCTGCCCAAGCTCTAGGTCTCGGACATCGTGTAGGATCTTTGAGAGTGGGATATGATGCTGATGTTGTTATTTGGGATCGTAGTCCTTTAGAGTTGGGCGCCGCCCCACTTCAAGTTTTTGTAGATGGTTTACCACTTTTTGACGAAAAGGCAATTGTGCCTGTAACAACAAACCACGAGCAAAAAATGAGTGGATTGGTTCAGACCGTCCAGAAAAGTAGAAATTTGCCAAAAGATGGATCAAAGAACTTGATTTTGACAAATATCGGCGCTAGTTTTTTGAGCGGAAATCAAGAGGCTCTTTCCATGATGATCAAGGATGGACATATTGTTTGTACTGACGATTGTGCTAATGTGATGAATAAGGAGGACTATGATACAATTGATATTCAAGGTGGATTTGTCCTACCCGTAAGTTTTTTTTTTTTTTTTATGAAAAAGGAATGTTCTTTCTGCACAGTATTTTAACTTTAAACTAAGGGTCTCATTGCGGTTGGATCAAAATTAGGACTTGTGGAAATACCTTCGGAAGGATCTACAGGGGACGGTATTGCTCCTTCAATTTCATCTCATAATCCCAAGGAAATTATCGAAGCTGTGGATGGATTAAAGTTAGGGGGTAAAAAGTTAGAAGAAGCTCACAAAGGTGGTGTCTTGACTACCATTAGTACACCTACTTCTCGCAACATTGTGATCGGACTGAGCGCTGCATTTAAGACTAGTGCACAATCTATCCTTGAATACGGCTCGATTATTTCCCCTGCTGCAGCACTTCACTTCCAAATCGGCAATTCTGTGAAGTCCGCCAATTTCCCTACTGTCTCATCACAAATCGCATTTCTTCGACAAATCTTTACTGATAACATTCGAGAAGATAATCTTTATGGTAAAGCGGGACGCGGAGAAATTCCTATCATTTTCATGGTTAATAATAAGGATGAAATCGCTTCATTGATTATCATGAAGGAAAAACTAATTCCAAATGCCCGTATGGCTATTATGGGTGGTGCGGAAGCTCATTTATTAGCGCCTCAATTAGCAAATGCAAAGATTTCAGTAATTTTGCGACCTCATTTATGCACACCAGATAGTTTCGATTCAAGTCATTGTTTAACAGGTGCTCCTTTAACCAACGGTACTGCTGCACATATACTTTTCCATCATGGTGTTAAAATTGGTCTGGGTGTATCTAACGATGGCTGGGCTCGCAACTTGGCCTGGGATGCTGGCTGGTTGTCAGCTACATCGCCTTCTGAAGAGTATGCTATTTCCGAAATGGAAGCAATTAAATTTGTTACTACCAACCTTCAAGAAATCTTTGGCTTAGATGACCCTCAGGATCTGCAAACTAATGGCCAAGATTTTGTCGTGTGGTCAGGAAGCCCAATGGATATGCAAAGTAGACCTGTATTTACTTATACGAAGGATAAGGGTATCAGCTATCTTGTATAGTCCAATTTTGTTTAATAAAACCAATCATTTGCTTAAATATATATTCGATATGACATTCACGTTTCAAATAGGGATTGACTACTTTTTTTTAATAGACTTAACAGGTGCGATAACTTGTATTTTAATAGCTGGTAGTGTCATTAAGATGTTCCATATGAAGTTTAAAAACATGTGAACCAAGTTAAATTTCATACATAAACACATCAAGAATCCAGCCCACATTAATTAAAGTTTGCATTATAGTAATTTACAAGCGTTCAAGTAAATCTTTTCTAGCTATTATGGCAATACCCGTCACTCGAATTCACATGCATGTGTATTATACTTACTAGAGTTTAAACTTTTGATTACATTGATTATTTTTCCAAAATCTTGTACACATAGCTAGCTTTGATCATCATAATTTTTACAAGTGATAGACAAAATCCTTTTCAATGATCTTCTTGTTTTCATCACTATAAACATCGTGAAATATATTTCTTCTCTTTAAACTTGCTTCTAATCCATTCAACGATCTAGTGACTAAGGTTTTAAGGACTTTCTTCTAGATTATTTTGAATACCTTCAGGTAGGATTAGCTAGTTTGGCCTGTACAAATATCTTGGATAGATGCCTTGAGTTTATTTTGATCTGCTTACTACCGTTCAGGGGTAGCTAATAATTATTACTGGAAAATGTAAACCTGTTTTATCAAAACTTTAAACATTTAACCCACTCAATTATTACACAAAGTACAGCCTGATACCGAGCAACTTTGTTAGGTTTGGCTTTCAGTCAACCCAACTCTTTGTAGATGATTTTAATTTAAAGTGACAATGCTTTTATCACCCCTATTGATCATAAGACATTGTTGAACTCAGTTTAAGCTACTCAAATATTGTGACCTATTCTGACAGTTTAAGTCAATAAGCGACTTGACTGGATCGTCTAAATTTGAGTTAAAGTCTTATATACATAATTTAATAACCTTTCTTAGCTTTGTGTTGTTTGTTGCCGTGTGGAACCGTTCCAGAAGTTTCGATAAGATGAGAGGCATTCAAGACAGGGATTGAAAAGAAAGATGTCATGCTTTAATGAAGCAACGATATATTTATAATACCCTTTAAACCAAAACTAACTCAACGCTTTTAAAGCATAGTTAGAATGCCTTTAAATGAATCTCTAAATCACAAATTTCACAGTGAGGTACGCCAAATAAAGTCCTTTATATCAGTGTTTGGATGTATCATCGAAATAAAAAGCATCGTGTAACTACTATAATTCTACGGGATACACTAGCAAAGCTACAATGGATATTCGATTTAAAATTAATACATCGTGTTGTGCCTATCTTCAATTTGACTGTTTTAACTCAAAACTAGGATTATCTTTGAAAAATACCTTCTATTCTTGTCCATTGATAAACTATGATGCAAATGAAAAAAAAAAGTTAAGACTTTTCGGAATACACATTGGAGATCGCTTAAGAGATCATGTGGTGATATGACAAAAGAGCAACATCTGATTTTAGTGCTGTGTTTTCCCGTAGATATAGCTGCACAAGAAGGGAGTAGTACAGCTACTTTTTTTTTCCGCTGGTAATATTAAGATTATCCCAGCACCAGATTATTCCGTGTGCGTCTTTTTGGAATACATAAAATAATAAGTGGTTGATGGGAGAAACCTGTCATGGTTCAAACTCCGTGATGTTTGTTTGTAGACATTCTAGTGCACTGATAAGACGCGAAAGTTTCGACGTCATTTTTTAAAGATGTCTCCATGTGAAATGAACGGATGTTGTGTGACAATAGAAAAATTATGTTTTGTAATAAGTGAAGAATAAGTGAAGAAACTTCTTTTTTTAAATTTATGGGGTGAAATCTTATTTCATATTTTTTTTGTAAGGAGTCTGCTGTTTGTTTTACATTGTAACAAAGATCGAGTTTTACTACCTTTTTTCTTCTGTTATTTTTTTTTTTTTGGTATAACCAGTGTTTGTACCACGAATAGCTCGGCCTACACATTAAACTTTGGAGCTATTATGAACTAGCATCTTTTTCTCTTTCTTTTTAACTAAAAATTCAAAAATGTTTCCAAGTGAAGGTTACTTTTACGTCAAATCTCAAAAGAACGGCTTATTTGTCAGCGTAGATGGCGAAGATGAGGTAATTCGTAATTAGACAAATAGGAAGATTGTGGCCAACTAACACTTTTACTCGAATAAAAATAAAAAAGGCTGGTAGTAAGCTTGTCACTGGACCCAAGGTAAAAAAAAAAAAAAAAAAAAAAAAAAAAAAAAATTGAAATATGATGGGGTTGCTTTTTTGTGAGACTTACAAAGTATATTTTTAGGGTGATGACGATTCTCAGGTAATATTGAAAAAGGGGGCTGAATAGAAAGGATAATATACTCAAGAAAGTATACAGTTGTGGAGTTATGAAAATGGATATTTGGTTTCTAAGCAAACTGCAATGGGCAAGTATTAGTAAAATGAAATAAACCTTATTCGACATATCTAACATAAAATGAACATAGTGATGGATATTGAAGGAGGTAAACAAATGTGGATCATCACATGCTTTTTTTTTTATGTGGTTTCTTATATGTAACTGTAGGTGATTTAAAGTCTGACAAGAGAGTATTGCAATTTAACCGCAAGAAAACAATGTAAGAAAAATTCTGGTGTGAAATTTTAATAATATATTATTCACACATATGTTCGTGATAGGACACATAACCAAAGATGGGGAATTCGTGACGGATTTGTATATGTTGTAGCTGACCCAAGACTTGTTTTGGACACTCAGGTTTGTCATAAATTAATAAGGCAGTAATAACTTCAAGCTAAACAGTCTCATTTCTGCAGGAGGATGAGGGCTCATATATTACTGTAGCCGTAAAGAAGTCAGAAGAAAATGATCTTCAACAATGGTATCTTGAGCCTTACGAAGGCGACTGTTAAATGTTGGAAAAAATAATATTCCCAAGTACCATCTTTTTTTATTTTACCCGCCAGTTCCCCTCGTCCAATTAAAAAAAGAATTTAAATAAAAAAAAAAAAGAATAGCGTTTTTCCTTCCCCTTTTTTCTTCTTCTTCTCTCTCTCTCTCTCTTTGTCTCTTTCTTACACATATTTAAAAGTACACTTTAGATAATACAAATGAGTCAACGTCAATCAGTTCCCCTCACTGAACTTCGCCATGGGAACCAACAACAAATGGAGGCTGTCAAAGAGCTCGAACAACTATTTTGTCTTGATAAACCAACCTTATTGAAAGTAGTCGATGCTTTTCGAAATGAACTAATCGCAGGATTAGCTGACGACAGATCAAGTGATCTCAACATGATTCCTACCTATGTCACAGGTATAGAAGCTACTTATTGAATTTTGAACTATCTTTTTTTAAATTATTATTTAAAAAATTAAGGTTATCCCACTGGAGACGAAAAAGGTACCTATCTTGCATTAGAAATTGCAGGTATGGACATTTATGCCTGTCAAGTTAAATTAAAAGGAGACAATGGAAAATTGGCCATTAATCAATACCAGTATAAAATACCGCAAGACTTAGCCAGCGGTGATGATTTTGCCGTATTGATTGACTATGTAGTTGAATGTATATCAGATTTTCTAATGAGAGTCGGAACTCAAGAATTATTTATTTATCCCATGGCTGTTTCTTTCGGTTTCGCCATTAAACAAACAAGATTGGATACCGGTCGTATCCTGTCCTTGGGGTACGGCTTTAGTTATCCAAATGGCGTCGGTGTCGATATTGTCGAATTAATGCATGAACGTATAAGATTAAAAGGCTTACCTATCAAAATTGTTGCCACTGCTAATGGTAAAAAAAAAAAAGAAAAAAAGAAAAAAAAAAAGCTTACATGAAATAGGAATTAATGTACCAAAATAGATTCCGTGTGTACCCTACTCGCTCATGCATATCAACATCCATCAACTCGTTTAGGTATCGTTCACAGTCTGGGAACCAATTGTGCTTATTATGAACCAGTAAAGAACGTGACAAAATTAAAAGACACCAGTGTCACAAGAGATGTCGATATGATTATGAATACTGAATGGTGTAATTTTGGATCATCACGACGCACATTACCTTGTACATGGTTTGACAGAAAGCTGGCTAGAGAATCCATTAATCCACAATTTCATGTGTTTGAAAAAATGACAACAGGCATATTTTTGGGTGAACTGGTACGAAATATCTTAATATACCTTGTCGACAGAGATATTTTATTTTGCGGCGAATCGTCAGAAACCTTAAATACCGCTCATAGTTTCGATACAAGTTACATGTATGTCTGTGAAGCGGACGATTCTGATACGCTGGAAGACACTCGTATAGTATTAGAAGATATGTTGGACCTATCAAAGACAACTATTGGTGATCGTGAGGTAGTAAAAAAAGTGTGTGAATTAATTGGGACAAGAGCTGCTGTGTTAGTGGGCACTTCAATCGCTGCTATTGTTCAACATATGATGGCATCTACTGGTATTGGTATGACTGATGAAGGTTATGCCATTTGTAAGTATACTCTATCGTACATTTAATTCATGCTAAAACTACTATTCCCAGCTATAAGTGGAAGTATATATGAAGACTACCCATCGTTTCACCCTCGTGTTTGCAAGACAATTAAAGATCTTATCCCAGATCATATCGCTGTTAAACTTTCGGTCGGAGTAGTTAAGCATTCTCGTATTGTAGGTGCTGCTATTGTTGCCATGATGGCTGAAAAGATTGCAGCAACAACTGCCACTCAATCATAGTCATAAGTGTCCTTTGAACTAAAAAAAAAAAAAAATATATATAACAAATATCCCCCAACCTCCCCTCTCTGTTTAATATTTAGTTTGTTTTTTCAGAACTTACCTTCAAAAATGAATGCCCATAGTCCTTAAATGGTGCAACTCGGAATTTCTTGGCTGTACTCAACTGGCCTGATCCACTTACGGAAACCCCTGTTTAAATAAACTGATTCACATCGACCTTCTTTTTTTATTTTTTTTAAAAAGAAAGTAACAATTTTAATCCGATTACCGTAAAGATCCTCAGATAGCTGGCCCTCTTAGTAAATATGAGTTTAAATCACTGCAAACAGTGTTTTGGCTTGATCCTGTGTAACTTTTCCTACTGATTCTATGAAGGAATGGACACCTTACATGCGTGTGAAAATATGTCACCTGTACTCTGGGACTTTTTAGAATTCTATCTAGACAATGGTCCACTGAAAAAATGGTGAATAATTCCCAGATAAAATCTAGGACGAATCAAACAGGAAGCTGAAAAACAAAAGCTATGAAACGTTATCTGCTTTATCTTTAGCCACGGATCTTTCTTCCAAAAGACAACCAAAAATAAGAAACAGCAAAGCTTGACAAAAAAAAAATCAACCGTTTTTTTTTTTTTTTTTTTTTTTTTTTTTTTTTTTTTTTTTTTATATATGAATATATCAGGTCTTTGCAATAAATGCTTTTTCCCTGCGTATAAAAAACTTAAAAGTATATACGTAATATGGGCACTTACTGACATGTTGGTTTCACAATACTTGACAGTTGTATTGTTTAATAATCTCTTTCTATTCTCAGTATGTGGATGTTTACAACAATAGGACGGTACGCTTTTGATGGGGACAAATCCAACCAATAAAACTTCGAAAACAGCGTAACAGAATTTTACAGAACAGTATATATTTAAGTTAATAAGACATGTACGACTGTACTTCATAAAAAAGCCCTATCTTCTACACAGGTTTATCTTTACCTCCCTCAAAAATTAAACACCAGTTGTTACCTCTTGTGTGCTAAATATTGCCTCTGATCAACCAAGTCCTCCGTATATTATTTAAGATATCTGTAAAAGAACAATGATGCCGCAAAAAATTGTGCACTGCTCAGTAATATTGGTATATTGGTCGTAGATTTTTTATTTATATAAAAAAAAAAAAAAAAAAAAAAAAAATAGAACACCTTTCTCTTTGTATTTTCATGGACAGAAAAGAAGTACACAAAAATATGGGATTATTAAAGAGATCGCAGGCTTCCCTTTGTTATTGGTGGAGTTACTGTGATACTGTATTAGAGGGCTTTTATGACACTCTTATCCCAAATAAAAGTGCCCTCATCATTTGCAGGTTCATCTCCATTTCCTGCTATCCCTCCCTCTAGAATATATTAACCTTTTTTCTATCAAATAGAGCCATATCGCTTTTACTTACTTATATAACTGCTATACTTGGTCTTTACAAACATCTCAATTTTGACGATGAATCGACTGAAGATTTTCTCGCTATTGTTGCACACATGTTTACTAAAAAGCTCGGCAGTTTATACTTGGCCGCTTTCGACTTGTTTGATATGTAAGTTTACAATTTATCTATATTACGCACACAATAAGCTAGCAAAAGAAACGTTTCTAAAAATGATGGTACAGCTTTAATGAATCAATATGGCTTCCTATTTATCATACTATAGACAATGCTATTGAAACATGTCTTGGGTACTGGTTCCCTCACAAAAATATCGTATGCTACCAACATACCTCTATGCCTGATCAGTCTGATTTTTTTCTTGATAAGTTAGCCAGGCTGTTACATCTGAAAGCGGAAAGCAAAAGAATAGAAGAGATCAGATGCATCGATATTGGCTCTACCAACCAAAAAGACTATTCCAGTACTCTATGTAACGTAGTTAAAACAAGCTTTCTTCTATCTTTGTAAAAAAAAACATTAATACAGTCTTCTATAAGGTCTTTTTGTAGTCTTGTATCTTTTCGCTGTCATTTTTTTGCGTTTCAAGATCAATCAACTTTCAAAGGCTTTAGATAAATATAATGATACATTGAAAAATAAGCAAGTTAAAAATATAAATGTGCCGCAAGAAAATAAATCGCTTTTAAGGCGTAAACCTCCCAAAAGGCGATCTAAAGAGGTTGTTCCTCCTCAAAACGAAACTTTTCTACAAAAAGAAGCAGTCCAACAAGAAGCCGCCCAACAAGAAGACACCCAACAAGAAGCCACTCTACAGGAAGAAATTTCCTCACTACAAGAAGCTAGTCAGGCGAAAGAACGTATACAGCCAAAAGAGACTATTATGTTGCATAAAGACAATATCGAGTCCAAGGAAGACCTTCCAAATGAAAAGATCCCTTTATCTGAGCAAAATAATCAGTTGGAAACAGATGATAGAAAGGAAGAAGGTCCTTTATCTGAAGAGAGTAACGATACTAAACAGGAGGAAAATGCTCTACTTGGCAAAAGTATGGATGTTCAACGTCCAGAAGATGATTTACGCATAGAAAATACAGGTTCTCAAAGTAATGATATATCACCTGAAGAAAGTGTTGATACAAAAATAGAGGAAAATACTGCAACAGAAGAAATTACCCATGGCGTTTCACAAAAGGACGATGCTTTAGCGGAAAATGTTGTGAACGCCCCACACGAGGAAGCTACTGAGCGTAATAAAGATGGTGATCGTATATATAAATCGATTATGATGACTGATAAACAAGACACCGAATATTGTATCAAAGTTCGCGACAAGTATAAAATGTATCTACCAACAGAAAAGAACAAAATACTAAAAACTGAACATCACAAGGATGCCAAGGGCGACAACCGAGCTGGTCCTTCACGACATCTTCCGCAAAAATGTAACGATTTACATGAGCTTTTTATTAAACAACTGCCAGGAAAAAAAGGCAATACCACTATCCTATCGAAAAAACCGTTTGGAAGCCCTACTACGACGAGACAGGAACTAAAAGAGAAAGAGCCTGATCAAGCGGGTCCTTCGCAAAGCCGGTTACCAGAACTTACTAGGTTGCAGGAGTTTGTTAAAGATCAAATGGCCCAAACTAACCTTTTCAACATTCAACCATTTGGGGAGACATGGCGTCAGGAGAGAGCTATTAAAGAAATCCTTAGCAGTGCTCTAGCGAGTAAACAAATGCAAGGATTTGTCGACACTGAAATAATGTTGCAACCTGAAGAGACACCAGAAAGCAAAAAGTAAGATCAGCAATTGTCAGTTCAATAAAATATTAGCTTAGCAAAACATATGAACCATTTCTGTTTATTTCTATTTTCGGGGGAAGCGGTGGGGAGGGGAGGCAAAGCTTTTATGGATTTAAAATATTTATCGGTACCGTAAATTGATGTATTCATAGATAAATTTTTCTGGTACCATTGATGAAAATCATATATAATAAGCACATGGGAAAAGACTAATAAGAAACGAAAAGTTTGAATAGTCTACAATAGGACAGAAAGAGCATTTATGAGATAGTTAAACATTTAATTTAGAGGTACAAAAGGTGAAAAAAGACATTTTAATCCAGATCCTCACCAGAGGATTTTGCATTGCCAGCGCCCAATTGGAGCAAAGGATTAGCACCACTACCACTTCCTCCGCCAAACAGATTGGCCATCATATCTGCCATCATATTACCCTGCTTTCTTGGTTTCGCGATGTTGAAAAAGTTGAGGCCAATATCTTCAATTAATTCAACAAAATTAGGTTCAGATCCATAGAGTCCTTCGTATTTTGATTTAAGTTCCTTAAATAAATCAGCTCCGTTTCTTTGAACTGTTAATAATAACATTTGGGTGAAGTTCATCCATGGATCGGCGTAGATTTGAATAGCAGTTGGTTCATCAGCTGGTGCACGTCGAACTTGAGATTCTCCTGCAATAGGTTGCTTTCCTGATGAAATAAAATTCTTATATGCCAATGTAGCAAGAAGGATATCTTTTGAGGCCAAATATCTGTCATTTTACTTTTAGTATGTCGTGCTATTTTAAATCCACGCTTCTGACTTACTGGAGTACGACACGGGCAAGGTAAATACCCTTATATTGAGCATTTTCTTCTGTTGCCCATTCGTATGCTAGTTTACCAATTACTTCTGCACTGTGGCTCGTTCCTAAAAGCAGATGATCTTCTGCCATGCTGTACTTTTTCTCTAATAAAACCAGACATTGTCAATGATCAAACCGTTACGTTCCTTTCCTCTTAATTAAAGCTTACCGTTGTAAAGCAATGTTCCAACATAATCGTGCAACTCGGGATCTCCCTCAGGGTACTCGCCGTTAGACTTAGTCCATCTAAATAGAGTAATTATATTTAATAACTAGGAACTATGCAAAGATAACGAGGACTATACCTGAAAGCGTTACTAATATAAGCTTTGCGGCTAACCTCTGTGGATGGGAAAAGACTGAGAATTTCAACAACACGGTCTAAGACACAAACAAATTAGACCTTTTTTTTTTTGTTCGACTCACACAAACAAACATTATTTCAACAAACCTAAGGAAGTCTCATCTACAGGCACGTTGGCGAGTTTATAAGTATCAATCATGTAGTTGGCTAAATCGGAACCAGAGCCAAATTGTTTGTGTTGCAATAATAAGACAGCTCCATCATGGAGTAAACGGATGGTATCTTGATACTTTTGTTGTTTGTTGAGTCTGCATGTATATACGGTTAGTTTTGTTTTTAACGCGCTTTAATCATGATTTTACCTTCTTGCGACAGTTCGGTACATTTGCTGAGCTTCATAGTAGTTACCAGCATTTACTGATTCTCTCAATTTTTGAAGCGTCTTTTCAGTTCCTCTACTCGAAGCCATTGTTCTAGATATTTTGCGTTTACAAAAGGATAAAGGGGTTTTTTTTTGTTTTTGTTTTTCTTTGAGCACAAAAAAAGTTACCGATTGATTGGCTATTAAATGACGTCTCGTTTTTTTTTAATTGTCAGTTGAGTTTTTGATGGATCTAAACTTACTGTTTAGACATATTTTTTACCAATTGTGAAATTAATATCTGAACTAAATCGGAAACATAAATACAATTAAATCCCTCCTTTTAGTTTTAGAATTATATTTCCTTTTTCCATCTTTTACTTCATCTTTTTTCTGTATCATGCCTACTATATTAACACGAACATTTGCTTTATTAAATAACATCAAGCCTCCAACTATAGAGGAAGATAGTACATCCAGTCATATCTTGGACATATCAAACATTCAAAAATACACATCTACTCCAGATATATCTATATGGAAAGCAGCGGAACAAGGCAACTTAGCTGCTCTCTTATACTACGTTCAGAACTCCAGTGTAGATCCCACAACGCTTTTGAATACCCGAGATCCAGACACAGATTGCACTCTACTTCATTTAGTTGTTTCAAATAGCGCCATTGATACCTTACCTATTTTAAAGTTATTGTTAAACAATGGCGCTGATGCCACTGCTCGTAACGTATATAACGTTCAAGCCATTCATATGGTATCCTTACATTGTCCTCATCCTTTGGAGCCCATTAAGCTCTTATTGAATCATAAAGTTAGTCCTAACGCCCGGGATGGCGATGGATGGACTCCTCTTCATTATGCTGCTAGATTTTGTCAGCCACCGGATGAAATATTAAAGTTGTTGATATCCAGAGGTGCTGATGTTAATTTGACTGACGCTGGTCATAAGTCACCCCTTTTCGGTCTTCTAGCAAATGGTGATTTGACAACGGCTTTGGATTATCTTATTCATACAGCAAAAGCAGATGTCAGTATCCGTGGAGACTTTTTGGACCAAGCCAGTAGAAAAACAAAGCCAGGGACTATTATTTTACAGGCAGCCAAGTATGGACGTATTGATTGTTTATCCATGCTCATTCAAAGTACAGTAGCCATGAACCAATTTCGTAGAGTCATTGATCGCGACGAATTGGATCACGCTAATTATCTAGTCAAGGATCAGCAGTCAAGATTACGTAAAAGCGATGGCACGGATACTCACATCCAAAAATTGGATTTGATATTGTCTCTTTTACAGGAACTGGAAGATACTTTAGAAAGGGATCCATTATCATTATTAAACATAAGAAAGCTTAATGTGACATCTACAATGACGATAGAGCCATCAAAAGACGGTCAGAAGATTCAGCGAAGACATACACTCATGGTGATGATAGATTCTATGCGCAAAAAAAAAAGTTCGAATACTGGTCAAAATGCCCCAACGGTACAAAGAAAGACATCCAACACTAGTAAGCTACTCAGAAAGATGAGCCGAATCATACGAAGAACGAAAAGCGAAAATAATACTGCTACTAGCAACGCCACTGTTATCAACAACATAAACGAGAACAAGTCTACTGGTCCCAGTCGATAAATTATATTTACATTACATCTTATTTAATAAACGCGTTATTTTATTAAGCTACTATGATAAAAAAAAATATGTCTTTCCTGCAAGCAAGTACTTTGTTTTCATTTTTTAGATAGACTCAACTCCCAAGCATTATCTCCTTTTTTGACCCAAGAAAGACTTTCCAAACCCCTTTCTATGTCTCGCACAGAGTAAATTCACTGTTTGCTTGCTACTGTTGAAAAATTTCTTCTGCAATTGACTTTATATGATTCATCACCTTCTTGGGTCTTACGAAAGCCTATTTTTTGTTGTGAATCCGCCATCGGGGAAAGTAGTTCTCTGATGGTGGATGTTCCATAGCCTGAACCAAGCGGATAAATCCCTCTTAACTGTACTATCAATTTACCAGAATACAGATCTAAATGTCGAAATATTTCATATGCAATAATTTCCCATCATAAAAAAAAAAAATTACCTTTCCGCCAGTCCACAAAGTTGCTCCTTACTTTTCAAACTTAGCAGAACGGGACAAAGTGCGTCTTGTGGGTCCATGTATATTGCGTCAGAATGTATCAATCGTTTATTTAATCAGAAAACCGTGTAAACGAGTTTTTTTTTATTTATATATAAACTGATAAACAAGAGCTGGCTTATGTCAGGATAATTTAATAACTGTCTATTTAATCATATATATGTTCCTACGTCTGTGTAGTTGACCTTCCTGTAATGTTGGACCAGAAACTTGATTAGATGTCGGTTGTTGTGCCACATTTTGAGGTTCAGGCGAACTGATGCGAGGGTGTTTATTTTGGAACGGATTTTCCTCTATTATTCGTTTTGTTATGGAAAACAATATCCGAGTGTTATCAAGCTCTCGATTTGCCAATGTTCTATTGGGATCCGCAGTGATTCACTAAAAGTAGTACCACTACAATTAATAAGGGGTTATTTTCAGTGAGAATGCCTCCCCACGTAATCCATAACTTTGGATAACCTCCAAATCATGAAAGTCTAAAAGTTTGGAGTACAATGCCTTTTTGCTACGCACAGCCTGTGAGTTCCAAAAAAAAAAAAAAAGACTCAAGAACCCTGCTTAGGATGTCGCTCTCCTATAGCAAATACTATCCGCAGCTGCAATACCGCAATAATATCTTTTTTCGATTTAACGTCTTTTGAAAGGAACAAGAGTCACTACTAAACAAACCTTTTTTACTTTATCGGTTACTTTCATACGATAGAAGAAGTATGTTAATAAAAAAAAACGGGGAAGAATAAAGTGTGTGAACCAGTTTTATTTATAGGCTGATAAACAAGAGCTCATGTCAGAATGATTTGATTGCTTGTTTCATCATCCAAGTAAAAATGAAATGATTGAAAAATCTTTGTGTGACAGAACAGTGAAGAAAAAATGTAGAAGCGTGACACAACATTTAAAGACAGATACCATCGTGCCGTGCTACGTAAACACGTGACACACTATTATAATATCATTATAGCTTTATGTTAATAAATCATCTGCCCTTTTATCTCTTATAAAATAATAACTAAACTTCGCTAGTTTTGAAATTGGCTTCAAGACCCCATTCCATAAATCTCAAGGCTGTACTTGCGAAAATTTTGTTGAGTATAATGTAGCAATCATAAATTGCAAAGATCCCTGATTTATGTTGCCCATTATTTATGCAAAAACAGTACTTTTGCTTCCTCAAAATTCTTATCATCCGAGAAAAAAAAAGCAGTGATTTATACTTAGAAATGGAACGTCAACCAACAATCATGCTTGATCCCACTTTCTTAAAGTTGACGGGAAAAAGAGCACTTTCACATTATTCCAAAGTCTCTAGGTTCATCTTATCAAATCATCAACGATCCTATATATCTTGCATCTGATATAATTCTTCTCAACGAAACTTGAATATTATCAACCGGTAACGTTATCATACCAGGACTTAAATTGGCGTCGTCTTTAGATTGTACAAGCATTACACGTAAACTTTTAGGTCGTTGCTGTCAAGTCTCTAATTATGTAATTTGTGGGTTATTGTTGATGAGTCCTCTGGGCTATTCACCGTTCGATAGTCCATTCTAATGTAGAAATCAACGCACCTTAAAAGATTCGTCAAGCACATAAAGTACCCCGTGTCCATCCGCCCCAACCCCAAAATATTGAATGCACCATGGAAGACATTAAAGCAAACTTTCCAAGACAAAAAGAAATACTGTCGGAAAGTTACCGCATTCGCTTTAAACAATTTGAACAATATGCTTCCAAACATTAATGCAATAAAGATAAACATTATATACAACCCTCCCCCCCACATTTAATATCTCGTCACATCGCCTTTCGCTTCTATCACTGCCCTACATCTATTCGGCATACTTCCGTAAAGTGCCTGAACAAATTCAGCACTCAATTCCTCCCATGTCGCTATAAGCTGCTGCTTTAAAGTTTTGACATCATGGATTTGTGGCTGCTTGGGCTTCAGTCTGCGAGAGAGCTCAGCCCAAACATGCTCAATAGGATTTCAATCCGGACTTTGAGCTGGTCAGCTTTCCATCAAACTCATCGCGTGGGTCTCCTTCCACCACTAGGCGTAGCCTCCCATATGGCACGGAGCATTATCCTCCTGGTATGTATAGAATTACACTTCCCCTATTGCATGCGTATGTAACTTATTTTAAAGACCCACTTCATCCAAAATACCAACCTGCTTAAGCTTGATCTTTAAAAATGAACGATTGGGAATGAACCAAATAAATATTGTCTTCTTTTTTTTTAGCCTAATTTCCATAAATATGTGAGCGCATTTTATCATTGTTTCTTTTGTTACTGCTGTCATCACCCTTCGCCTATAAACGTGCCAATTTTATTACGTTCTGTCATTCATTTAAATGAAATACTGTAAAAAAAAAAAAGTTTGGCATTACACTTTTGAGGATTTTGGTAAATGGTTGAACCTTGGGGATTATGGAACTGGCACCAAAGTGTATGGTAGCCCAAAAGAAAGCCAATCATCTTAAGAAATAAATTGATTCGCTTTGCACAATAAAATAACAAGCATCTTTAATTGCTTTGCACATTTTAAGGTAAACAAGTTTTTTGCCTGCTTTCCTGTAAATTTGCTTATTATTAATGTAAAGTTATATTGGATGAATGGTATCTTAAGAATAAACGCCTTTTCAGAAATCGGTTTTTACGAAGGTAAAGAACTCATTTATGTCTTAAAAATACATGCATAACACATTAGATTTGCCAGATTTTTTTTTTTTTTTTTTTTTTTGAAACAGAATTAAAAATATATGTGTTTAAAGTTTAATAGCACATGGAGCTAAAAGAAAAAAAATGTCTTACGAACCCATCCTTAGGTTGTGTCAAACCCCTTCCTCAGCATCTAATGAAACATACTACTTTTCATAAAAAAATAATTTATAACGGGCATTTATTCTTTTTTTTTTTTTCTATTGCAAAGAAAAAAATTATGAAAAAATCGAACAGCAGCAAATGCTGCGGATGTATATCAAAACATTTTTTTACATGCGTAGTCATTTTATTTTTGATTGTAAAGATGGAAGTATATACCTGATCTTTAAGCATGCATTAATTATCTTTTTTTAGGTGATCGGTCCAGTCTTGATCGCAGTCGACCTCACTTTTTTAACAGGTAACAGAACAACCTCTGTTTTTTTATTAGGATGGCCTATTGATACCTTTTTTTTTGCATAATAGAATGGATTAATAGTTTAAGAATGGGCGATTTCTATACATATCTTACTTTTATTGGTATTGTGAGTGTGTGGAGTATATATGGCCTCATAACAACAGTCATGGTAACTATGAATTATGATATGCGCTATTACACCAAAAAAAATCTTGACAAAATCCAAAATGGTTTTAGAAATCAGCTAGTGGAATAACTGTCTACATGGTGGGCTTGATTTTTATAACAGTGATTCACTTTATCATTGGATTCATCCATATCATGTTATTATTCACAACATATCGTCCTATACTATTAGACTCTTGTCTTCAACGTCAACCCACACGGTTATTTTGGTGGTCGTTAGGGTATGATGACAACGAGGAAATAAAAAAGATTTATATGGCTTGTTCTACGCAATGGATCAGCTTTGCGACCGAAAGATTTGTATCCTGGATTGTGTATAGTTTTATCTCTGTAAGTGTGAAAGAGAAAGGCCTCTGTTTACAACATGATGACTGATCTTTCTTTTATAGTTTCTTTGCTTGTACTTCGTTGTGAGATATCAGCGATACATTACACATCAACGAAACAAGGCACAAGGTGTTGTGACAGGAGCTACAGATGGTGACTGGTCTGATGACGGAGATGACTATAGTACTTTTGTAGAAAAGAAAAAGCAAGATGGATCCACTGACAAAGTAACTTATTACCATGAAGAGTTCCCCACGACAAAATCCGAAGACAGCGAACTCTCGGCCAATATGCATCAACAACGACAAAAGCTATTTGACGTCATTGCCAAAAGAAAGAGAGCCAGAAGCAGTCTGAACCGTAGACCCACTATTGGTAATCCAAGTGAAGAAACTGTCAATGTTGTCCATCCATTGGATTTGGCTCAGGATTTGGATGATTATGAACCACCACCAATGCCACCAGCGGAAGACACAAGTGAATCTTGGAATCGATACAATGACGAGCTTTTGAAAGAAGAACAGGAAGCGTTGGAGCGTCAAAAGAGAGTCGATTCACTCTCTACTGAACGATTGGAATATGAAATGTACCGATCTCATGGATCCAAAAGCCGAGAGAGTAGTATAAGTGAAACTGTTCGACAGGATGCATCCAGAAGAAAGCGACCTTCTACGGCTCGATGGTCAGCATGCTTTACGGAAACAGGTATGGGCACACACCCAATGTCACATATGCGAGAGGAATTTCATCCGGATGAAAAGCAGTATAATCCAGATGAAGGACAAGATGAGGAACAAGGCGAGCATCGACCAGATCAGTATCAACAAGATGAGTCTGGTCATGAAGGACCCAAGGTGACGTATTTTGATCAGACACTGGGAGAAAGTATGGAGCATGGCGTATCAGATTCTAAAGTTGTTGGAGAACAAGGCAAGAGTGAATTTATGGAGGAAGATAATTACGAAGATTACCAGCAGGAAGAGCATCTACCGGAAGATGCTAGTCCAACGCAATCGTTTCTTATGAAACCCGGTAAAGAAGAAACGATGTAGATATGATTCTGTTTTGAGCTTTTATTTTACAAGAATATAATTAATAAATAAGTTTGAAGAGGAAATTTACTAGAAATTGTTCTTCATTTCTCTTAAAGTATGCAATACTTCAACAGGGTCACTCTTTCCAGCCATGATTTGTAAAGCGTGTTCGTTCACTCTTAGGAATGGGTTAAACATTTTTTCTTGTCCAATTGTAGATGGCACTGTAATCATTTTGTCTTGACACCAGTTCCATTTCGCAATCAATGCTTCATTGTGAGGATCAACCGACAATGCAAACTTTCTCGATACGATATATTTAATTAACAAAAAAAAAAACAAGATATAATAACAGGTTATTTTACCTTTAAATTGTTCTTTGTATATTCGTGTCCACAATAAACCCAGGTCTCATCCGGTAATTTTGTCAGGATATGAAACAAAATCCTATACATGTCACGAGCATCGCCTTCAAAAAATTTGCCGACACCACCCACAAACAAAGTACTGTTATAAATAAAAAAGGGTCAGTGTGAATGTAAACAAGTAAGATATTCCATAACTTTACTCTCCCGTAAACACGGCCTTTTCGCCTGTGGCAGGATCCACGACATAATAACATACATGACCTTTTGTGTGACAAGGAGTATGTAATGGAGTGATATCCAAAGAGCCCAATTTGAATTCTTCGTGGTCTTTACATACATAGTTGATCTCAGGAATACGAGCATCTGCACCATAAACAGCTAAGCCAGGTTTCTTTGCTATATACATGTAAGTTGTGCTACTCGAATCCTAATAATTCATTTTTTCGATTACGTTTTTCTTACCCACAAGTTCTATATTACCACCAGCATGATCCCAATGATGGTGTGTGGTGAATACACTAGAAAAATTGGTCTTAACGAAAAAGAAACCCTAAATTTCTTGTTTATTTGTTCTTTTACCTTGATAATTTAGCACCAGTTTGACTAATCACATTTAAAATCTTTATGGGTTCAACGGGGTCGATCACGGCAGCCTCTTTTGTCTTTTCGTCAATAAGAATGTAAGAATAGTTATCATCAAGAACACTGATAGGAATAATCTTCATCTTTAGAAAAGCTTAAAAAAAGTGGTAAAACGGAAAAAGGGAGAAATCCTTCTGAAGAGAAGCACAATACTTCTTTATATATTAAAAATCCGACAAAAACCTCAATTATTTTTATTTTCCTGTTTTTTTAAAAAAAAAATAAAAATAAAAAATCTATTCCTCATGAGTTCCAACACGAGCCTATACATAAAACAAATAACCCGTCCATTAATATATGTATACACACGTATCCAATTATTTTTTTAAAACAGCATTCATCTACTTACAGCGCGACGACGAATATCTCCTTCACGTTCGCCAAACTCTTCAGACAAACCATTGTAAGGGTAAGTGCGTTGAACCTAAAAAAAAATCATGGATTGAAATTGCGTGAGATGTCTGTACCTTAAAAAAACACATATGCAATACTTACGACGGGTCTTTCGGGATAGAATTTGTAAACGACAGTAGCAAAAGTAGCCATGATAGTGGCGAAAAGTGCTAATTGACTGGCGGCCTTAATAGGGCTATAATGGTGGAGATCGGGAGCCCAGACACCATAAAGTTCATCTTCTTCATGAACCTAATTTAATAAAACAAGTGTCAATTATCTCACAAAAGTGTCGTTTCTAATTGTTCCTAAATCTTTTTTTTTTACAGTTTCACCAAAGTTACGCTTATCTTGAGGATCGTCCCAACCGAAAGGACCTCTAGTTTGGGTACTGAAACGAGGCAAGTTAGGATAATCACCGATTTGGGGATCTTGAACAACTTCACCAGTGTTCAAGGTGGATTGAGGACGGACGGAGGTCATGGCGATAGGTTGACGGGTAACGTTCATCATGTGACGCATGTTCAATGCACGTTGTGTTGCTGCACGGAAGGCCATTTTTATATAATTCGAATTAAATATATTCCAGTAGTGTGAGAGTGGGGTGTTTGAGTTTAAGGCCTTTCGGGTGCAACTACAAAAAAATTGTCTGGGATTGTTTGTTTGCCCCGCAATACCATCCCTTACTTAAAAAGCAAAGTCACGTTATTTATGACATCACAATATGGGTTTTTTGCATTGATTCTTGCACTTTTACTGCTGCACACTTCAAAGGTTTATTCTATTTAAGTTTACCTACAATAATTTCAAACGTTAGTAGATTGATTTAAACGGAAGGATGGTTAACAATCACGAAAGAGTACACAAAGGGTAAGACTGTCAACATAAACGACTGTCATGAAATAAAGAGCCGACAAATGCTCCAATTGTCTCTAAGGAGTTAAATCTTTTTCAAATAACGATTCCATAGCGGTGCCATCCCAGAGGTAACACCATATGCTTATCACTATCCGAAGCAGCCCATATACACCCCTATGATCCTTAAGAAACTGTTAGAGATTCCTTGCTTTGTAAGAGTAAATAAACAAACAAGACGTCATATTATGTGAGTGACTTTTTTTTAGGCCTGACGCGTAATTGTCTATATTCTTTTTTTTTTTTTTTTGTAAATAACAACTTTCTCTTTCTCCAAAACCACATTATTCATGTCTAAGAGAGAACACGTAAATGATGATATCGATGAGGGTTTGGTAAGAGTCTTAAAGGCGTTGAGTGATTTATAATGCATGTTTTACTAATAAACAGATACATTAATTAGAGTACGAACCAAAAAAAAAAAATTTAAACAATCTAACCAAAGAAGCGTGAACTACAAAATGTATTTATTGCTTATGATATGGAGGAGCAAATGAGAAGAAAGAAACAAAAATATCAAGACAATTAACTCAAGAAGAACAGTTATCACAAGCAGATGGAACTGCTAATAAAGTATGTTATATAATAAATTGACTTTTTTTTAAATACACATTTACTCACTGAACAAATACATCTGTAGGTTGTTGAGAAAGACGGGGTTTTTGTTGATGGTTCTGAGGAATCAGTAGTTACTATCATTAAGAATGCTGCCATCCGTAAGCATCCAATTTACCACCTTCTGGACACCAATCAACAATCAATCGTATGGTATGTACTTGTATATTAAAGAGTTTTTTTTTTATTATTATTATTATTATACTAATATATTTGAGAACAGCCTCGGTCTCAATTCCATCATTGATCTGTCAACTCGATATCCGTAACGTCAAATGACGTTATTCAATAAGAAGCAATGGGAAGATATTTCCAACACATGCTCTATATACACGTTCAATGATACTTTTTATCGCTATGTTGACGAAGCTGCTAACTCTGTCTTTGATCTGTATAATCCAAAGCAGTCCGCAACAAGAAACCGGGACTTTAAAAAAGTAAGGTGAATTACTTTAATGCATGCTTCCCATTAAAAATCTGGGAAAGAATGAAATTTAATGTTGGCTGATGTTCAGGTGTCAAGTCGGTATGAGCAAAAGAGACCCCAAAAAAAAAGTCTATCCTACTGGCTGTTTACATGGTAACTATAACAGAAAAAAATCAAAAAAAAAAAAAAAATAGGGGCTAGTTCTCAATAAATTTTTACTTTCTCTGTCTAGACACTTTTTATGGTACTGACTATTGTAACAAGGTGGATATCTTTGGCGCGGCAAGTTTTGTTTATTTTACTAGGTTTGATATAAATTATGATATAGCGATCCTCGCCATGGATGATGTGACCATAGTTGGGTCATCAATGACAAGATGGTACAAAAATTGAACAGCGAAGAAGATCTCGCAGTGGCAGAAGCTGCAAAGAATGATCCAGGTGTCTCTAAGTATCAGTCAGACCGATGCAAACTGTTGTCAGAAAGCAAAGTTATCATTGATAACTTTATAGCTCAAGGTCGTGATGTTAACGCTGTATATTCCATCCAATTTTGCGGTTTTGAAATGATGATGATCTCTTTGTCTTTATTCAAAAATGGCCTCTATGTTGGCAATGAAGTTCATCATGTTCAGATCGATGATAGGCTCCAAAGATATCGCGATTATCTTTCCACTATTAAACAGTTGCTTTCTTTCCGTGATGAAACAATCAAGTCTCTACACCAAGCTGACGATCATGCTGCCAGCCGTCCTTCTGTTAAAGGTCCCAGGTATAACACTGCTTTGAGGGGGAAAAAACCCGAGCATTTCAAGTCTACCTGGAGACGAGGAACTTGGGTTCCCCCTAGACGTAAAGAATCTGTCCCCGCCCCCTTACCAAGCAATCTGGTGTCACCTTAATTTTTTATTTATACCATTTTGTTTCCCCTCCCCCTTTCTAGTTTTTTTTTTTCTTTTATTTGCATATAATAAATATTGAATATATATCCCATCCTCCTCAATTAACAAGTACTTTTTATAGTGATCGTTATCGGCTTTTTTTTTTTCATGCTGATATATTGTTACACCACCTTTTTCTTCTTCTGTTGGTCCTTTTTGACCTCAGATGTCTTTATTTTTTTTTATAAAAGGACCAGGAAATTATTTTAGTTTGTTCTTTACTATAATCTGATTTAGTCTTATTCACTGTATTTCACGTTACCACTTTTCACTTAAACAAGTCAGTAACAATATTCTTCAGGAACACTTACTTACGAGCCGCATCTACATTATTTTCGTATTATTTTAGAAAATTGTTACTGGATAGCTAAGAATCAGAAGGCACGGCCCTATATTTTAAATTAGGAAAATATATAAAACTCACTCAAAACAATTTTAATACTCATAGTTTACAAAATTTCATAAACCTCCCAACTACTAAAAACCGCATGTTTTTAAATAGTATTTTAACTGACGGTTATACTTATAGGGTATCCTTCGGAAGAAAGTAGTAAAGAACAAACTTGATGATATCGAGTTAACTTTAGAAGATTTTGACGCTTATGAGGTAAATTAATACTTTCGTCCTGGTGCTGTAGATCCTGGAAGAAAAGATGTTTTCGTTTCATACCATGGTGAAGATGATATACGTCATCTGTCATCCATAGAATACTATGAGTCTTCAGGAAGTGTAGGCCGAGCGAAAAAAGAAGACGAAAGAAAAATAGAAAAAGGTATCTAAGAAATAGAAACAAATATACCTACAAAAAAACGACTTCACAATGTTTTGCATGGAGAACAAAATAAAATAAACCAAAAAGTGATACTGTTAGAACTTGGATACCACTTTATTATGGACGAAAAAATATAATTAAAAAACGTATTAAATTGATGGTCTATGAGAAAAAACTATGGATATTTATATCAAGAACTCGGATAGGTCTAGGGAGAATATTAAGCGCCTTATTGGATCATGATGTAACAACCTGGTGATAATAAATAATCAACATGTCTTTAAATTTAGCCCTTCCATACTGAGTATATAAATATTAGTCAGAGGGATCAACAGTTATAGCATCAAATGATAATAGTAATATTTGTGCTCAGGATCTATTAATATTCCAAAGTCTAGGCCCATTCGATTGTATTGCTTTTTGCAGAATAAATATTTACTCGCCACAGGGTTGTGCCCTGTGTACAGACTTCAACAGTAGGATGAGAACAAGCGGGGTAATGTGTGATTCATGATTAACTTTTATATTTATTATCCATCCTTAATGTGATGTGACAATTAACTTTATTATTATATCTATGATATCCTCAACATAGACAACCACCAAGTTCTGACTTGCTTGGGAGGTTTTTGCAAGTGTTTCTATTTTGGGTAAAGACCCAGACATTATGAAAGATGAAACAAGCAATTAAATCATTCTGACATAAGCTCTTGTTTATCAGCCTATAAATAAAGCTGGTTCACACACTTTATTCTTCTTCTTTTCTTTTCCTTTAACATATTTCTTCTATCTTATGAAATTTACTGATAATGTAAAAAGGTTAGTTAGTAATGACACTTCGTTTTCTTTCAAAAGACGCTAAATCGAAAAAGATATATTGCGGCTGCGGCTAGTCTTTGCTATAGGATGGCGACATCCTAGGCAGGGTTCTTGAGTATTTCGAACTCACAGCCTGTGAATAACAGGTGTTATACTGTAAATGGCTGGGCTCATACTGGCCTGCTGGTCTTGGCCAGGATCTCTGTAAGTGGTATAAAAAAATAAGGAGGTCTAGACATTTCCCATTTACTCACAGAACAAACACATCTGTAGGTTGTTCAGAATGACGGTACCTTTATTGATGATTTTGAAGAGTCAATAGGTATCGTAATTAAGATTGCTGCAATCAGGAAGCCTTCTTGATTCTACCGCCGGCAACGGTTTAATTTTTTTGAGCCGCTACCGCCGGTAACGGTGTAAGCTTAGACCATTACCGGCCGGTTAACTTTTTGGTGGTTTAAGCTTTACCGCTACCACTGAAAAGTTTTTCAGTGAGTTGTTTTGTTTCCGTGATGAAACAATCCAGTCTCTTCACCAAGCTGACGATCATGCTGCCAGCCGTGCTTCTGTGAAAGGTCCTGGTTATAACACTGCTTTGAGGGGGAAAAAACCCGAGCATTTCAAGTCTACCTGGAGACGAGGAACTTGGGTTCCCCCTAGACGTAAAGAATCTGTCCCCGCCCCCTTACCAAGCAATCTGGTGTCACCTTAAATTTTTATTTATACCATTTTGTTTCCCCTCCCCCTTTCTAGTTTTTTTTTTTCTTTTATTTGCATATAATAAATATTGAATATATATCCCCTTCTCCTCAATTAACAAGTACTTTCAAATCGGTCTTATAAGGAAAATTATGTTTCAATCAATAAGTCAAGATACTACGTCATTTTTTGAATTTACTGTCCGTTGGATTTGCGTCAAGAATTGAGGTTTTTTTTTAGGTCACACTATTTTTTCCAAAAGAAAAGATTACTATTGTAAGCTATGTTATCTTTGTCATGCTTTAACCTGGCCTGGTTTCTGGTTTAATAGAGATACCATACTTTAGCTTTGCGACCTGCCATAGCAGAGAGTTTGCGAGTAGTAATGACACCAAAAAGGATAACATAGTTTATACGTAATTTGGGCTAATCAGCATCATCTTTATCTACTTGTAATGGAGCCGTTGCAAGCGGGATAAGAATTTCTATCTGTTCTTGGAGCTCGAGCCCGCTGCCATAGTGGCGGTCTTCTTCGCTGATGATTGCTGGATTAGATAGGATGTATCTTGAATTTTTGCTGGGCAATTTAAATACTTATGTTGCGTCATGGGTCTGTCTCGTCATAAAATTAATGTCTCGGCTATAGGATATGGAAAATATTAGTAATCACTGAAACTACAAATATATCATCTTAGTTACTTGGCTTTTACATAAACTGCAATAATAACTGATATACGTATAATTTTTTTCGCTGACATTAAATAAAAGATTATGATGTGGTGAAGATTAGAATCTTCCTTTTTTTTTTTCTTAACTAAATCTATTATAAATTAGTTCTTTTACCCATTTCTGTAATTTTTATTGTACATATCATTAATGTGTAACTTTAGTCTTAAGTTAGCGTAGTATTTTGAAGCAATGTTGCACCAAAGTTTATACTGTCATATATATCAATACTCTATCTTTATAGCATAGTCAATTACTCCTTGTCTTTATCTAGTTACATCCTCAGACCCGAGACTTATTTAACACTGTTCTACCTTCTCTCCCGATCTCAGCCCAACACTATCAGGCAGCAATCATTTTTCATACTTTAAATTTTAAATTTGTTCAAAGAATCATATACGTATATCTATACTATTGTGAAGTTATGGATACAGAAAATCTTATATACGTATTGTGTCTATCCCAAGACATATGCTTATTTAACATTATTCTTTATGTTGATATAAGTAAAGTAAGTACCCCGTGTGCTTTGTTATATCATATGTATTATATATGTAGACTATGCCAGATTTTATTTTTAACGGGTACTTACGAAAGGAAGTCTACGCAAATATTTCATGCTTCTATGTAGCTAATGCAACTCCGTTGGGATTTTTTATGATTTAAGAAACCTCATAACAAAATCTCAACCAAGCAGCTTTAAAAACTACAAGCGTATTTTTTAAGGATACATGAAAAATGCATTATAAATTATCAGACACTCGAAAATAGGATAGTTGAAAAAAAAAGCAATGATTTTTTTATTTTTATGAAATAAAATTTAAATTTTTTTTTCTACGCGTTTTATTCCTCTAACGGTATATACATTTTTTGTGATTTTTTTAGGGGGGATTAGAGGATTTAGTTGACGGTGGAGAAGTATTCCTTGGATTGCTTGACATCGGGCTTGATGGTCTTGGCACCAGCAGTCCAGTTAGCGGGACAGACCTCACCATGCTCATCAGTGAACTTGAAGGCTTCAACGAGACGGAGGACTTCGTCAACGGAACGACCAACGGGGAGATCGTTGATGGTGATTTGACGGACGGTACCCTTGGGGTCAATGATGAAGAGACCACGGAGAGCAATACCAGCTTCTTCGATAAGAACACCATAGTCCTTGGCAATGGACTTGGTCTTATCAGCGAGAAGAGGAATGTTCATCTCACCGAGACCACCTTGCTTACGGGGAGTGTTAATCCAGGCAAGATGAGAGAATTCTGTATGTAATTAAGCAGTCAGTAAAAAAAAAAAAAAAAGAGAAAATTAAGAACGCGTGTTCAGAAATAACCCCCTGTTACTTCTAACTCCACACAAAAATATAAAAAAAAAAACTTACCGGAATCAGTAGAGGCACCAATGACAACAGTATCTAAAGCTTCGAACTCCTTGACACGTTCAGAGAAGGCAAGGATTTCGGTGGGGCAAACAAAGGTGAAATCCATGGGGTACCAGAAGAAGACAACATACTTTCCCTTGTAGTCAGAGAGAGAGATATCCTTGAACTCACCATCAACGACAGCGGGGGCAGTGAAGGCAGGAGCTTGCTTTTGAACTTGAGCGACTAGAATAAAACAACTGTCAGAATTTGAAATATTATTCATGCATTCTAAACAACATACCCATTTTTGATTATTATTTTGTTAAAAAAAAAGTTTTAAAGAAAAAAAAAAGGGAGATTAGAAGTTTTGGCGTATTTATAACAAAATCTTTACTCATTCCGATTTTTGATTTGTCAAAACTCAATCTTTTGTAAAAAATAACCCAATTGTAGGACTTTAAATCGATTACTAAACCTCGTACTAGCCAATCATCGGCGATCTAACCCTTACAAAACGTGAAAGGTCCCGTTCACAAAAACCACTGAAATAGTAGAATCGTATCACCCCAACATCCATTGGAAATATAATTTAAGGGAGGAATTAGATAAACTATTGTACTATCGTCACACAGTGGCTATCTATCACTTCTTTTTTTATTCATTTTAAATCGTGATATGCTTTTCTTAAATCAAATGCACAGGTATTGGAGGGTATACCCAGGGGTATCTTTCAAAGAAATGACCATACTTTGGGTAAGACCTTCTATTAAGTTTTGCATGATACGATGATAATCGGAGTTGCACATTAGCTTCTAGCAGTTTCCATAAAAGCTTTTTCTTCTTGGCTTTACCTTGTAACCGTCAAATTTGACCATAGTGAATGCCTACGAAAAAAAAAAAGGAAACAAACGAAACAAACAAAGAGACTAGTCAGTGTGTGTTTAACCAAAGGGATTTTCTCTGTCAGATTCATCAAAATGTTTTTTTACCTGTTCCGATTTTCAGCCTTCACTAATACTACTACCGCAGTTTCGAATTCAAAATGACTTCATTTAAAAAAATACAGTCCTACTTTATTAATGCATTAACAAAATCTTGATCAATCAAATAGCTTTCTCATAATCACCTCTATCTCCGATTTTGAAGTGAGCTTTTTCCCGCCTATTTCGGGTGAAGTAAAAAGCCCAATCGATGCCCTCTTTTCTTACTGCATGTGGAATCCAATTGGCTAATTACAGGCTACACCATAACATTAGATTACAAACCAGCTTAACGTGGGTTTCTGTTGATTGATCGAAGATCAAATCTGATAACCTTGGGAAAAAAGTTTAGTTTCAATATATCCCCCCTAGTTTTAATTGAAACCTTACTTCAAAAGATCTGATAACGCACCACGTTGTGTCACTAAAAACATCGTATAATTGTAGACCGCTCAACTACACTGTGTCTTTTCTCAAGCGATTATTTATGGAAAAACTAATTATGCGTAGACGATGACTTTGATATGGCTTCCGTTTGTGAAAATACAGATTCAAAAAAATGTTTGTTTAAATGTTCTTTGTATGAAGACGGGCTTGATTTTCTAATTAACACGCCTTTCAATTTGAAATAAAAAAGGCTAAAATGTTTGATATAACATCAATGGGTTCCTAATAGATGGCCCCTACAAGTGTAGATTAGTCTATAGGTGCTCCTGCTAAAAAAAACAATATACGTTTCACAATCGTTTCAATTATTTTGTTATCTTTTGGGTCATACTACCCTTCTTTTTAAAAAAAAAAAAAAAAAAAAAAAAAAAAAACGTCAGCTGGAGAAGCGTCTCGATCAAATGTTTGCATGTGACTTACAGAGTACCAAGTTACGGTTTTAAAACAGTTGGATAATTCAAATTACAAATGGTGCAATAATTCTGTCTATCCATGATTTCGTCTGTTAATAGCTCCCTTTTAAATTAATAATTTTGATATATCGCATTTTCTAGATTCCATGAGTTATTGCCAGATAAAAACTGAGCATGTTTTCAATACGAGTAGTATTTTATCCCCCCCCCCCCTAATGATGGATGATTGACCTGTTTTTACGACTATCTGACGGCTGGTATAGTCTCGGGTGGTGAGATTTTTTAAAACATCGTGAGACAACAGTAATATCATGTCTACAATTCGACCCATCAGTAAATAAGGTAAGATTTCAAGCCATCACAGAGACCGTATAGTACTAAGACTTCTTTTATCTGCTTCTTTAGAGTCATGATTTAGTAGGGCCCTGATTTTCTGGGTCTTTTTTTTTACAGTCACACCAAAGTGCATACATGAACTGTGGGGAATAGTGCTCATCTGTTTTTACTCATTGTAAATCAAATGGATGAACACGGATTTGAGTCAAGACTGAGACATTTGGAACATGTACTTGTGGGACAGCAAACAGCTCAAGTATCCAAGTTAAGCAAGGAATCGATTTTGAAAAGAATTGAGACGCTCCATAAAGAATTGAATTCAGTCTACAAGAATAATAAATCCATCAAGGACTTTATCGAGAAATGTAAAAACCGTTTGACGATTTTGAAATGCTTGAGAGGATTTTAGTATTGATTTCGCTCTCTCTTTCTTTAGATGATGTGCATGCGAAATTGTTGAATCCAAATACTTCAACATACAACTTGGAAAGAGAAACCTTGGCTCCCGACGTAAAACTCGAGCTTTTATTGACTGCCCAGGACGATTTGGAGAAATTTGCACAGGAGGTCAAACAAGTGAAGGATCTCGAATACGTAGTGAGTGGAACAGAGTTTGATGGTAAAAAAAAAAAGAAAAAAAAGAGGAATACCGTGATGAGATTAAATAAGATTGGTTTTAGTTATAGAAACGTTGGGACCCAATCTATCGAAATTAGAAGTATCTCACGCAGACCAAATCACCAATTTAAACGATATCACAAAGGAGGTGTCGCAGTTTATGGAGAGATACAATGGAACAGTAAAGTGAAGATTATCATTTCATGAAAAAGTACTACGTATTGACCCCTCCCATTTTCTTTTTTTAAAGGTAAATACTCTATCCGAAATTTTTATATCCTGGGACAATATTTTGACAAATATGGAGACACACGTTGCTGCTCTTGAACATCAAAAACTAAACAAATAAAATACCTTCTCATACCTGAAGTTACAGTTTTTCTAAAACTGTAAAAGTCACTTTATACAATCCAGGAACGTGCTTTTTAAGGTTTTGATTATAATATGAAATCAGAGGGGTTTTATTTTTAATGAGCAAATGTCATTTTGAGCAATACTTGAATAATTAATTACTGTTTATTGATTGCAAACAGGTCGCAAAGAGCACTAGGCCACAAAAAAAACATTTTGGCCCTGGAAGAGCAGACTATTTTGAAAAAAACTAAATCTATGCGCTTAAATTCAGCGCAAAGTATAAAAGTACAAATTAAAAAAAAAAGCTTTAAACTTGTCAATCAGATTGGAACTCAATGAAACGCAGTTGTCGTTGCTAGGCGCGTATCATATACATCCCAGATGATGAAAGCCGATCTTACTTAAAATTTAATAGACTAATCCAGTGCATAAGCGGATTCACCTACAGCTGAGAATGAATACCTTCCATAATATATACGAAGGCTCGTAAGAATAGAAAAGGGTGTGGGGGCAGGATCATAATGGCTATGGATTACATTCTTTTCATAGATACGTTGGAAAGATGGCTTTTTTAATAGAATCTGGTCTACTAAGATGATGAATGAAGTGAGGGATCCTTTACTCATTATTCTGTGAATATGCTCAATGGGACTGATTTCATGTACCATTTGAAGTAGATTTATTATATGCTAGATTGACAAAGATAGAGAGAGAGATGCGATAGAGTGTTTAATACGCCACAGGGGCGACATGCATATCAGAGATATTAATTGTGATGACTGAATGTTTTTCTAAAAAGGCGTGGGAAATCTAGACCAGCCATGATGACAAGCGGGGCCTTTATTGTGTGTATAAATAAAAATAAATAATGCGAAATGAAAATAACCCCCAAAATAGTGGCTAGCCTAAAAAGAGATATATTTCTTGTATTTTTTTTTCTTTTTTTTCTACATCTTCTTTTTCTTTATCTTTCTTTTTTTTTTATCACCAACAACAATTATGGATAGATTGCCGTTTGAAGTATTGTTGCAAGTGTTTGAATATTTACCAATTTCAACGTTTAAATCCTTGTATGGGGTATTTCCACAAGGGATAGTGGATGAAGCACTTGTTTACAAACTTCGAAACAATGGAAGACAGGCGGTTGTTCAGTTGATATCCACGAATCTTCATGAACTTTCTACCAAGGTCTTAAACAAGCGGAATGAGTCATCCTTATCCTTATATTTTGCCTCCTTTGACTCCTCGCATCGATATATTTGGACTCTACCTGATTTTAATCATTCGCAGTACTATTTCAGGGTAAAAGATGCGTATGTGTCTCATGGTAAGCTTGTGCTCAGACAACCCCATGATGATGGAAACATGTTACAAAAGTCATTAGGGTCATTGTGGGATATTCGAAAGAGCTTTCCGCCTACCAGAGCAGGCTCTTTTTCAGGTGCTAGTGAATATTCTCGCAACAAGTCGCAAGAATTAATTATACATCAATCGGGTTGTATTTTGGATTCATGCTTAATTCCGTCATCGTTAACAGGGGTAGTTCATACAACTGCTGAGAAAAAGAAAGGTTTAAAGAGGCCAAATTTACCTTGTTCATACCAGAGAAGAGCTCCATCTACTTGGAGATCTTCCACCTATCCAGATTCCATATGCGGGTTTTTTCTGGTGGAACGTTTAGCCATTAGTATTCCGACTTTTCTAGAACTCTATTCCTCTTAAAAACATCATATAATTGTACATACACACATACACACATATATATAAAATACGCCCACACAAAGTAAAAAAAAAATCAATAAAAATTGCCTTTCGTAGATTATCTAGTCACTTGAAAAGCCTTTAAAAAAGGAGGTGGATATAAATAAACTGTTCAAGCTGCATGAGTTATTTTTATCACTCAGCCTGTCAATTTCATTTTATTTGTATATTATTGTTAATTTATAGGGAGATGGGTGAGAGAACCCGTAGATCCTCATCATCTGGTAAACTGGAGGGACTGGTGGTGCCTGTTGTAGTAGGAGAAATCATGGTCGATCTCACTCTTCTTTTGGAGCCAACATCAATACGTGAATTAGCAGATTCTTTGAATAAGAGTCTTTCATTGTAGACCAGTAAATCACCGCCCTTTGGCTTATGCTTAATATTATCTAAAGAGCCCACTTTGGAAGTAATGGGTTTGTCCTTGATGAAGGAGAGCGTTTTGTCATCGTAAATCTCGACATCGCCTCCACCTGGTTTATGCTTGATATTATCCAAAGAACCCACCTTGGAAGAAATGGGTTTATCCTTGATAAAGGATAATGTTTTGTCGTCGTAAATCTCGACATCACCCCCACCTGGTTTATGCTTAATATTATCCAAGGAACCGACTTTAGAGGTAATTTCTTTGGACCTGATGAATTCCAGTTTATCGTCGTATATTTTTAAATCTCCACCTCCTGGTTTATGCTTAATGTTGTCCAAGGAGCCTACTTTGGAAGAAATTTCCTTGGACTTGATAAATTCGAACTTATCATCGTAAATGGTGATTGACCCCCCACCTGGTTTGTGTTTGATGTTGTCTAAGGAGCCAACTTTAGAGGAGATATCTTTTGATTTGATAAATTCAAACTTATCATCGTAAATAGTGACGGAACCGCCACCTGGTTTGTGCTTGATATTGTCCAGTGAGCCAACTTTAGAAGAAACTTTCTTAAAGGACAATGCTTTATCGTCGTAAATTTTGACTAAACCTCCGCCAGCCTTGTGTTTGATGTTTTCCAAAGATCCGATTTTAGAACCAGCTTTGGAGGCGATCCTTGATCGCAGCACCTCTACATTTTCATCATATACTTTTTTTGTACCACCTTTTGGTTTGTGTTTAATATTTTCAAGTGACCCAATTTTCGATTTCACATGACTAGGAAAATTTCTTTATTTGAGTTTCTTTTCTTTTTTTTTCCCTCCCAAAATTTCATGTTACCTGAAATCGACCCTTTGAGAGGTGGGCATGCTTTTAGTGCTGGATATAGTTCTAGGCGAGTTTGTTTGTAAACTAGACTTGTCTGTAGTAAATACATATATAGTCAGGAAAAAAAGCAACAAAAAATATAGTTCCTAACATGTATTACCTTTTTCTCCCGTTTTTTTTATTATCGTGTCCAATTTCGGTAACGGTGGTGGTCGTTTAAGCTTACTGGACTCTTTGCTGGTAACGGTGGATTTGGATACGGCGGTAATAGGCAATTGACTGCCTACACGAACAGACGTGGTTGTCATTCTAGAGGTGATTGATCTTCGATGCGAGTTTACTGGTGTTGATGCCATTTTTTTATTGTAGATATAAAAAAAAAGAATTTAAAAAGCGAAAGAAAAAAAATAATTTTTTTTATGTTTGATAATTAATTAAAAAAGCTTTAACCCCCATTGTACCACTTTGGGACAGAAGGAGAAGGGGAAAAAAAGAGAAACAATGCAAAATGTATAAAATAGCGGGTTTATTGTTTTCAGTTAAGAAACAGGTATAAATCAATTAAAATTTATTCATGATCGTCATTGGTATCAAAGACACCCTTCGATCTCTTGCTACGATCACGCTGATAGAACTCAGCCAAGACATTTTGAGGAATACGGTTCAAAAGCTCCTTGGGGAAAATACGTAAAAGAGACCATGCAAGGTCAAGCGATTCGTAAATCGTTCTGGATTCATAAGCTCCTTGAGCAATAAATGACTTTTCAAACTTTTCCAAAAATTCAAGAGATAACTTATCCTCTTGGTTCAACGCTTCCTCACCAACAACTGCCTTCATGGCAGCTGCATCACGACCAATAGCGTATTTAGCGTACTAACCAGCCCAAAAAAAAAAATCATTAGCCTTTCCCTTTCTCTCTCTCTCTCTCTATTTCATATAGTTTACCAATTGGTTAGAAACATCACCGTGATCCTTTCTTGTCATACCCTCACCAATAGCAGACTTCATAAGACGAGATAATGAAGGCAAAACATTGATGGGAGGATAGATTTGACGATTGTGAAGTTGACGATCAACAAAAATTTGTCCTTCGGTAATATAACCAGTTAAATCAGGGATTGGATGGGTAATATCTAATATGAATAAAGAAAAAAAGAGTGAGAAAAACAAAAATAGCGTGTACAAAACAAGGATTTGGGCGTACCATCGTTGGGCATGGTCAAAATGGGGATCTGAGTAATAGAACCATTACGACCCTCGACACGACCAGCACGTTCATAGATGGTGGATAAATCGGTATACATGTAACCGGGATAACCACGACGACCAGGTACTTCTTCACGAGCGGCTGAAACTTCACGTAAAGCATCAGCGTATGAACTCATATCGGTCAAGATGACCAATACGTGCTTCTCAAGTTGATAGGCGTAATATTCGGCGGTAGTTAAAGCAAGACGAGGAGTAATAATACGTTCAATGCTAATTCAATCAGGATGAGTTTTAAAAAAAAACGCTTGAAAATAATATATAAAAAAAAAACCTTACGTAGGATCGTTAGCCAAGTTAAGGAAAAGAGTGACACGCTCCATTGAGCCATTTTCTTCGAAATCTTGCTTGAAGAAACGAGCGGTTTCCATGTTAACACCCATAGCACCGAAAACGATGGAGAAGTTCTCTTCGTGACCATCATGGACGCCCTTGGTAGGAGCCATCTTTTGCACAAGGCCGGCTTGACGACAGATTTGAGCAGCAATTTCGTTATGGGGAAGACCAGCAGCAGAGAAAATAGGAATCTTTTGACCACGAGCAATGGAGTTCATGGTATCAATGGCAGAGACACCAGTTTGAATCATTTCCTCGGGATAAATACGAGAATAAGGGTTGATGGGTGAACCTATCAGAAGGAATATTAACAAAATCATGTATAAACCATTATAAAAATACGCGTCAAATATCCTTTTCTGTTTTACCATTGACATCCAAATAATCTTCGGCAAAAATCTTGGGGCCCTTATCGATGGGCTTACCGGAACCGTTGAAAATACGGCCCAACATGTCTTCAGAGACAGGAATATGTTGTGTTTGTCCTGTAAATGTAACATGTGTTTGCTTGGCATCAATACCTGAAGTACCTTCAAACACCTTTGGAAATATTAGGGTTAGCATGACGTAATAACTCGTTTCTATCTTCTTCTTTTTTTCTTCTTCTTACTTGAACAACGGCCTTCTTTCCTTGCACTTCAAGTACCTGACCGGCACGAACGGAACCATCAGGAAGAGTCAAGTTTACAATTTCGGAAAACTTGGGAAACTATAAAAAGAGACACTTTCCTTGTTTAGACAAAATAAGAGATGGACAAAGAAAAGGAGACTTACCTTGACATTATCTAAAATAACAAGAGGACCATTGACACCAGTAACAGTACGGTAATCTACAAAAAAAAAGTATCTCAGCAAACGAAATGCCTTACGGGGGATATATATTTTTCTTTTATTATACCTAAACGAGGTTTCGCGATAAAATCTCTAGTAACAGCAGACTTGTGAAGTTCAAAAGCTTCTTTTGCACTCAAAGTGTGAGCCATATTTTCTTTATTTTTAGATGAAGAAAAAGTAAAAAAAAAAAAAAAAAGTTACCGTTTCAAAAAATGGTTGTTTGGAAAAAAAAAAGTGTTTTCAAAACTTTCAATCTCAGATGTGAATGTCGTAGGTGAGTTTATCACGTTATCGCTTTTTAACATGTCTCGAATCTAAATACTATGGCAACACTTGATATAAGTAACTGTATCTTACAAACTATTCAAAAAAATTATTGCTTAATGTCGTTTTTTAAAAAAAATAATGGCATACAAGGAAGATTTGAATAAACTGAAAATATACGCTTTGAGTATCCTGACTTTTTTATAGCACGCTTCAAAATCTTCAGGGCGGCCATATATTTTTTTTAGAAACACGAAAGAATGAAAGGTTGTTGCTTAAATAAAAATAAAATTGAAAAGCCAACTTTACAGACAACACACACGTCCCTACTACTTATGCATTGGATGTAAAGCAGTAGGCTACTTGGGAACTTGTACGTCAATAAAGGTAGATCTTACCCTTCCCAAACACGACAGCATGGAACTTGACTTGGGTTGTGCGAATCAACTATTTTATTGTGTTACTTTCAGTATATGTCGCCGCTCAAAGGTCAAGTTATATAGAAGCCTAAAAGGTAAAGGCGAATACAGATATTTAGCTTTAGTTTCCACATCGCTTTTAACCTGCCTCTTTTTACCCTAAATCTTTCAAAACTTTCTAAAACTCATCTTGATAGGATTTAGCTCAGGTAACTAGGGTAGAAGGTAGAAAGGCGTACACCTGCTTTTACTTTGTGACAGAATCAATTTCATCAAGAGAATAAATCTGGAGCGTTGCCCATCACGATATGGATGCCCCCTTCATGTTAACTAAGAAACAGGCGTCCGTAATATTTAACGTAGCGCCGATATACCTTAGATAAGGCTAGCTGTGGTAACTTTTTAGAGTAGCCGTGCCCGCATCTCCAGCTGCTTTTGTTGTACTGAGCCTTTTATAGTCCTTCCTATTTGGTGTAATGATAAGATTACTGATAAGAAGGTGTGGGGAAAACCCGAGCAAGTTTGACCCTGAAAGATTTTCACTGGAAATGGGAAATCTCCTCGCGATAGAGAGGGTATGAATTGGGTTTCTTTTGGGAACGGCGCAAGACAATGTATTGGCAGAATTTTTAGCTTATTTAAACAGAGAGTTTTGCTTTAAATGCTGTGTAGTTTACTTAAAATGTGTAGCAATAAGCTAATATGCACTTCTATTTTGTGTGTAGTGCGCAAATACACTTAAAGATTCGATCCACAAAAATGGTGTAGTTGTAACTAGTGTTAATATACTTGGACCCCTCGATTTAGATACTAAACTTAACAAAAGATACCAAGGTGAAATGAATTATCAGTATAAATTATTGAGACAAGATAAATTGTAGTTTGCCAATCCTCGTTATTGGATTTTTTTTTTTCAAGTCAAACATGTTTGTAATTCTATGGGTCTAAGCTTCATTTGTATTGCATGCAAACATAATTATTTCATGATGATACTTGAGTCAGTTTTTATATTTGAGACAAGATCACAAGAATCCACCGAGGGGAGAAAAACAAAAGAAAAATGTTGGGTTCGGAGGAATTATACAGGGGAAAAGAAATTTTATTCCAGGAAAAGAAGGGGGGTTCAGATTTTTCCTAATCACTCTATTGAGACTGTCCGTATTTTCCTTCCTTCCTTTTTTTTTTTTTTTTTTTTTTTTTTTTTTGTGTAATAGTCAAATTATAAGAAGATGGGCAAAGGAAATAAATCGAAGACAGTAAACACTTTGAGCTTTTCAAGGTCTGTGCTTGAAAACGTGCTATTTGCGTCACCACAGCAACCCGAGACAATCACCGTCAAAACAAGCAATCAAGACAACTACCGGTGGAAATCTGTTCCCAAAAAATGTTATCGAGACTTTGAGCAAAAGATCGAAGCGGCACCCTTATGTATTCTCGTCTGTACCTATCTAAATTATTTTGTTTTGATTTTATTTGGACACTTGCGCGATGTACTTGGAAAGTTCTTCAAACCGGATCAATATGCCCACTTAAAAACGAGCAAGGTAAAATTTACCCTTCCAGGTTTATCTTGTGCTTTTTTTTTTTTTGTTAATCAAGGATGACAATAACAGGGCTATGCACCTTTAGTTTCTGATTTCGATTCGTTTTATACTAGACGTCTTTACATGCGCATTCGGTAAGTAACACATATAAAATACAATTTTTTAAATGTTTATATTAATATTTTAAACGCAAGTGATTGCTGGAATAGGCCAATAACAGGAGTCGCTGGTCGTCAAGTTCATTTGCTGGAAAGATTCAGTTCTGACAATAACAAAACGTTCAAGTAAAATAATCACAAAAGCAACCTACAACAATTCATAATTTTTGTTATTTGTGGTTTTTTAGATTGACAGGCAAAATTACAGAAAATTTAAACTTTGCTTCTTACAATTATCTCGGATTTGCTCAAAATACAGGTCCGTGCGCTGATGCAGTGGAGCAGACATTAAGAAACTATGGTATGACATCATGTAGCTCCCGTGCAGAAGCTGGGTCTGTTGATCTATATGAAACAATGGAAAATGTGGTTGCTAAATTTGTAGGAAAAGAGGCCGCCATGGTTGTTAGTATGGGGTTTGCTACAAATTCAACAACAATACCAGCCCTTGTTAGCAAAGTATATGCAAACTAAATTACGTGCTTTTTCAAGATGCACTTACCTTTTATGTTTTTTTTATTTTGTTATTATTATTATTATAGGGCTGTCTTATTATATCAGATGAGTTAAACCACACCTCAATCATTTATGGTGCAAGATTGTCCGAAGCATCCGTCAGAACTTTCAAACATAACAATGTGAATAGTTTACGAGACGTATTGAAACAAGCCATTTCCCAAGGTCAACCGAGAACACATAGACCATGGAAGAAGATTTTAGTCATTGTAGAGGGACTGTATTCAATGGAGGGAACGATAGTCAATTTACCAGATATTGTTGAATTGAAAAAGGAATTCAAATTTTACTTGTACGTGGATGAAGCTCATTCAATTGGTGCCATGGGAGAAAATGGAGGTGGTGTCTGTAACTTTTACGGCATCGATCCCGCCAATGTAGATATTTTGATGGGTACCTTTACAAAATCATTTGGATCTGCTGGAGGGTACATTGCTGCTGATCAAAGTATAATCGATCATTTGAAATTAAAAAATCATGCCTATGTTTACGCAGAGCCGGTATCTATGCCTGTTGCCCAACAAGTCATTACTAGTATGAACATGATTAGGTTTGTTACCTCAAAAATTTTCCATATCTCTTGAAAAAAAATGCTTCTTTAACCCTTTCAATTTTTATTTTTTAGTGGAGATGATGATTCAAATGAAGGAACAAGGAGAATTCAACAACTCGCCAAGAATAGTGCCTATTTTTCTGACCAGTTACGTCGATTGGGATTTATCACTTATGGAGACCTTAGTAGTCCTGTAATTCTCCTGCTTGTATATCAGCCTGCAAAAATTCCGTAAGTGGTGGGAAATAAAATATGGCTTTTCATAGATTACTAAGTTTGTCCCTGTTTCTATTCAGCGCGTTTTCAAGAGAGCTTTTAAAACGGGGTATAGCAGTTGTACTTGTAGGGTATCCAGCGACTCCTATCATTAGTGCAAGGGCCAGATTCTGTATTTCAGCTTCTCATACCAAACAGGATTTAGGTGAGGTTTTCGAAGATGAATTGTTTAAAAAGACTATTTATGTTTAACATGATTGCGTAGACTATGCTATACAAGCTATTAGCGAAGTTGGCGATTTATTAATGCTCAAAGCAGGAAAAAAGAAACATATTTAATTAAAATAATATCGCTTCAATATGTGCGACTTAATTCATAAACAAGCTAGATACAAAAGAAAAAAAAAGTGAGAGGTGGGAGAGGGGGGGGGGGGAAATAAAAGATATTTTCTTTTTCAAAAATATCTTTGCATGATATGTACAGAACAAAGAAAGTTGAGAGGATATAATAAAATAAGAGTAAGTCAATAAAAGAAAGTTGCATTAATTTTCTTCCTCTAACGGAAGAGTTGATAATAACGGCTGTAACACACATATATGTCCACATCCAGTAGCACACAGCTTTTCCACTGCAAACCAGTCTCGCATGTGCGATAAATGTCCACCATGGTTACATCCTTGACACCAAACATACAATCCGCGTACAGTTTGATGACTGTAAAAGGTAAAGATGTTAAAATATATCTGTAGTTTTTTTTTTATTCAATCCTTACCATATTGTACATGAATTTAATAATCGATGACATTTATCACACGCCCATGACCCTCCACTTGTACCATTTACAAGTTTAAAGCAAGTATTGCATGCTATATTAATGGTTGTAGCGTTCTAATTTTTATATTAAAAATATATATATACTGATCAGTATAGCCTCGTACAATATCAAACCATAAAAATTTTACCTCGTTCCGTTCTCTAACATTCTGAACCTTGCACGCTTTTATAATTGCAGTGGCTGGAGACCAAAGTTTAAATCTATGTAAGAGTTCTATATAAGCTGTGAACCAATCTTCTATACGATCGTTGTCAATATTTAAGTATTTCTCCAAAATCAAATACAAGGTAACACACATTTGCACATCACCCTATTATGCATATTGTATCAGTTCATCATCCTTCATAAACTTAGAAATAGTAACTTACCTGCTCTGTATAATAATTTAAAAGCTCCATAACTACCGACTCATGCTTCCAAGGAACTTTTAAGTTAAAGGGTGATGTGGATGTATGGATTTGGGATGATGTTCCTGTGTTTAAACTATCAATATCACCTTCAGAAGACTGTGATATGTTTTCAGACAAATCTTCGTGTATTTGAAACATTGCTTCTTCATCATCCTCTTCGTCGTCGGTAAATTTGTCCGAGTCAGTCTATGAAGTAGATTAGTACTCCAAGCCCTCTAATATGTTCTTGAGATAACTTACAAAGACACTTTCGTGTGTGGATTCGTTTCCATCTGTTTCAGTAGGTTCGTCGCTATAAAACATTGCTATAATCTTCCATGTCTGTGCCGTACGATAACGACCCATTTTCCAAGCCAACTTTAAACAGATTAGCATCATTATTATTGGTATTGTATAATAATACATACCTCACCGTTAATATCACATGCAACGGCTACATTTTCGTTTGATATAATGTAATTTTCTGCAAAAATTGAAAATGCCTCAAAATCGAATAACGGCATATGAACAATGCCGCAACTCTGTGGTGGAATGTATTGGATGATCTAAAGACAACTGTCATTTAGCGGCTTTGGTTATTATTTACTTTATATTGAATATTTACCTCTTCTTCTGATGCAGTTTTTGTGCCAAGTCGTTTCCAATTTTTAGGAGAGCCATTGACGGGCTTTGATATCAAACTTTCGTCCACAAACAAATCTCTCGAGCTTGTGTCAATTGTGAACGAAATATCACCTTGTACATTCCAACCCATACCATTTCTCTTCAACAAATCAAATGGTCGATAAGCACCCCTTATATTTTGCTTAATGAACCATTTATCTTTTGAAACGGATAATAATTCAGAAGAATTTCTCCACATAAAACCTGTTGGTGTTGTATCATGTTCATCAAACGTGTACTTGGCAATATGAGGTCTTCTGATATCCCATACATGAATTCTACTATCGGTTAATAATGCGCACGATGCAATTTCGTTTTCAAATCCAGGTCTCCATTGGATTCGGGAAACCGAAGCCATTGTTCTAATAATATATAAAGACCTTCTGCTATCTGCTGTCATATCCCAAACCTTGATTGTTTTGTCTCTACCACCGCTTGCAACTAATTTTCCGTTTGGATGCCAGTCGACAGTTAAACAAGGACCATTATGCGCACTGACCTTACGATCATACAACGCTTTTGGATTTCGCATATCCCATTTCTAATTATAAGTATCAGTAAAGATCCTTATTAAGGATCTAAAAAGAGAGAGGAGAAAAAAAATTACCTGAATCGTACCAGTTTCAAAAGCAGCGGCAAATTCATAAACGCTGACAGGGTTAAATTGTACATCACGCACAGACTCTGATTTACCTTCAAATCGATACCTTGCACCATTTTTGGGGTCTCTAAAATCCTAATCATGTTTTCTGTTAGTTTCTTCTTGATGGATATATTTGAACCTCATGTACCCAACATTTCATGGTACCGTCCTGTGAAGCACTTAATAGAATATTGCCATTATCTGGTTGAAAGCATATACGATTGACTGCCCGAGAATGTTCTGTAATAACACGCTCTATTCTCCCATTTGAGTAAGTATCATGGCATAGACATCTATTACTCATGCGGTACCTGCTTTACGTCCAATCTTGTTCAAGTCCCACAGAATAATGGCACCGTTTGTTGCGGCTGTAGCGACTTTTTGCTTGGTAGCTTTAATGAAAAAGTACAAGAATGGTCAAACCCCTTGAACTCGAGATTTAATCTTAAATTTACCATTATTTCCCCATTTGACATCGTTGCTGCTGTAATTCAAATTAAAATGACTTCCTGCACGTAAATTCAATGTTTCTGTAATTTCTGATTTACTAATGCTGATTATCTTCAAAACTGTTACATGTTAGCATAAGTGAGCGTTTTAGGGAGTGTTATTATTTACTTTCTCGTCCAGCGACAACTGCCAAGTTTCCTTCGGGTGAGATGCTCAGGGCGTTTATTGCACCTGACATGCGCTCACGCATGGTAAATTTCTCGTCCATCACACTTTGTATTTCTTTATCAAACAGTTTTTATAAGAAAAACAAAGAACAAAACGTATTGATGTTTTAACGATCCAAAAAAAAACTCCGCATGGATCTGACTGCTTTGCTGCATCTGTCATGTATGCTCTATGCCCATTCAGCAAGCAGAAATCGGCACTTGCTTTCAGTATAATTAATTAAAATGATGTCTATACGTAAAGTATGTTATACAGTCATGATACTGAAAAGGCGTATATTGTAAAAAGGTAAACTGAAAAAGTGATGGTTATCCTTTTACGTGTTGAGTGGGTTATTGATATATGAGCGAGCTATGTATCACGCTTGCATGATATTTTAATCATGCGTTTTTAATTTCTAACCTCGTATACAGACCCTATGATCTAGGAACGATTGGGTCCCTTCATCAAAAAAAAAGGGACTAAGTGAAGAAAGAGTAAATGTGCGCGTGTTTTTTTTATTTTTTTATTAATTTTGCATATAGTACTACAGGTAGAGAAAAAAAAGTGAGGAGAAAGGAAGAAATGAAGCATGATGGGGTTATATTATGTTTAGAGAGAACATTTAACGTTGTTTCTTTTGAGATGACTTTTTAGAGTCTCTTATCTGTTGCAAAATCTGGTATACACGTTTTGCTAGAGCAAAGATATCTCCATCCGCATCCTCATTTGTATCATCGTGTTCTGCCTTTGGTACCTGTCCTGCATTTACAATTCTTTGGACAGACTCTATAATAGGTTCTGATTCAGCAATTAAATTTAACAATCTTTCGTCTGTCAGATAGTAAAAAGTTAATACATGAATATGTAATATTTGAATAGCGTGTAATAAATATTTACCTCCGCCGTCTAAGAATTGCTCGATTGTCCATACACCAATATGTTGGAAGGCTACATCCTGTTGTTCCGAAAGGAACTGGATCAAAAATTTCTCAAGTCCGCCTGAAGGAGTACCCCAGGCCTTTACAAATGGAGTATAATCCTTGACCTTTGAGCTAAGATTTCCAATAGCAGCGGCCGAATTTCCCTCAACTTCCATGTTTTCGCTTGAAGTCAATTCAACCAAAACTTCCAATACTCCCATGCTTAATAATCTTTGCTTTAATTCGTCACTCAAGGCCAAGACAGCAATAGCCGCTGTCATTTCTGTTTGAACACTGGCGGGTACCTTGTTGATCAAGGTTTTTATACGCTCAACGGCACCAGCTTCAACGATAGCACGTTTATTGCGCTCCGAACTTGCTGCCAAATTTCTCAGGGTAGATATGGCGTGACATTGGATTTCTTCATTATCATCATAAGCAAGTAATTCGATGAGAGGATTCACGAAGCCACCATCAATAATGGGAGATTCATTAGCGGGATGAATGGATATATTACGGATACATGCAACAGAAGATAAAATGAGAGGCAAATAAGACGATTTCAAAAGACGCAAGAGAGGTGGAAGGCCTTTGCAACGAACAATTTCAATTTGATATTTTTCTAAATAACCCAAAAGACTGATGAGAAGAAAGAAAGAAAAAATTATGCAGATGAGAAAAAATATTTACCATCCGATGCAAGATTTCTTAAAGCAAGAGCAGCTTGGCATTGTACCTTTAAACTTTTCGTGTCCATCAAAGCAATCAAATATTGAACAAGCCGCGAATCCGTCTGTGCTAACTTCTTACGATTTCCACCATCCACTGCAATATTTGAAAGAGCTGTCGTACAATAATATTGAACATCAGCATCTGGTGAACTTAATAGGCTGATTAAAACAGGAATAGCACCAGCATTGACTAATTGTTGACGATTCTCCTCTATAATTTTTTAAAAAAACAAATTATTATACTCGCTGACAAAATGTTATTTCATTCTTATTCTTACGTGTGTGTGTCATATTTAAGAGAGCACCTGTAGCATTTCTTTGTACACGCTGGTCTTTTGACTTTGCCAAATCCACCAAGAGACGCAAAGCATCTGACTTCGCAATTTTTGTCTTATTCTCATCTAGAACGAGCTGTGTTTAATAATAGATTACGCTGGAGCAATAAAATGATAAAAATTACCGTGTGTAGCAAGGTTTGTAATACAACCAACCGCATTACATTGAACTTCGACGTTAGGAGAACCCATTTGACGAATAAGTTGATCAAGACCACCAAGTTTGACAATTAAAAGCTTATTTTCGGCTAGATATAGAAATAAATAATTATTTCATTCAATCATCATACAAGACTTACTGTTTACAGCTAGGTTACCGAGAGCAGCACTCGCAGCTCTCTGAACTTCAACATCGTGAGATTGTAACAAAAACAAAATTGGGTCTAAAGTGTCCCTTCCTACATGACGTACGTCTTTCTCGGTGATTTCAGCAAAAGCAAGTGCTGCAGACCTTTGCAAATCTACATTGTCTGAATAAGCTAAAGTTGAAAGTGCTTGTAGAGGTTCTCCTTCAAAGAAATTGGTATCACTTCGATCTAATATTTTCAAAGCAGACATTAGTATTTGGTCATAATACATAAATATGCATTAGGGCAGACTCACTTTCAAGATATTGTAATAATTCTGCTATAGCCTCCCGTTCGTTTTCTTGCAAAAGAGGTTCATAAAGTCCCGTTCTACTACGCTCTGTAGGCAACAAGTTTTATTTTTAGTAAACAAGTACAAGCTGGTGCATAGATGATATTTCTTACTTCCAAAGCAATTCGAGCAGCAACTACTACATGAATTTCCCATCTAAAAAAAAGATTAATTGTGCAAGAAAAAAAGAGATGTTGATTGAGGTGTAAAGAAATGAAAAATATTCTTGCACTTATTTCCGTTCAGTGCACATAAAATAAAAAATAATAACAAAATACGTCACTCCTCACAACTTGACCAATACCAAATGAACAAAAAAAAAATGATAATAGTAATTGAATAATAGAAAAAAAGTATATAGTTTATTTTAAAAATAAAGATAAATACAACTGTATAACACCAATATTTCATGTAGATAATAGCTACAGAATACATACTATAGAATTGATGTGAACCCTCAGCCAGTGTGAATACAACTCTCATAGAAATCAAGTAATAAAAAAAGATTAGGTGTCATCATCAGGTTCAAATCAATTTTCGTAAATATCGTATTCGTAGTTACTATTGAAGAAAAAAGAAGGTGTGATACAAGTATTTGACATTTCATATATAACAATACCAGTGGATTTCAAATGGAAGTAATTCCGTTTAATTAGATACTTTTAAAAAAAGTAAACAATTCTTTTAAATATGAAAAAGATATAAAAAGAACTCTTTTCTTGCAAGTACTTTAGAGATTCTTTGGAGAAGACGCTTAGGCAACCATAGCAGAGGCAGTGGCAGACTCACTATTAGAAAGAAAAAAATTGGGTTAAGGTAGACAGTTACCGAGCTCGCTTTCTATAAGAAATACGTTGACTCTTGACATAATGTCCAATATAGGCATATAAAAAATTTTCTGATTCCCCTTTAAGCCACAAAATATGTTAGTAAATATTACAAAAAAGGATACTATTTCCAGGTAGGAGGGAGTTGACCAGCGGTCTTGTAGTAACGAGCAAGACGGTGAATACGAGACTCGATGAGAATTAAACGGTACTTGGAATCCTTATCCTTTCTGTTACGTTCCAAATGCTTACGGATGGAGACGGCCTTCTTGATAAGATGGTAAAGATCCTCGGGGACCTCAGGAGCAAGACCGTTGGACTTAAGGATACGGAGAACCTTGTTACCAGTGATGGACTTGACTTGAGGGATACCGTGAGAATCACGGAGGATGACACCAATTTGAGCAGGGGAGAGACCCTTCTTGGCGTTCTTGCAGATCATATCAACAACCTCATCGGAGGTGGTCTTGACCCAAGAAGCGGGAGAGCGACGATAGGGGAGAGCACTACCAGAGATACCCTTACCAGAAGTATACATACGACCCATTTTTGCTAGTTATTTATTCTCAAAAGAGTGAAGATTGGGAAAAAGAGAAAGAAACAAAACCTTTCTGTATTTGCCTCTGGATTTTATTTGCAAAAAAAAAAAAAAATTTGCTGAAAATTTGTGGCTTAGATGTCACAGTCTTTTTTTTTTTTTTGAACCCGAGCGCATACATCATTTCAATACCAGCAATTTTATCGTTTTTCTTCTAAAGCAACATGTCTTCTTTGAAACAGCAGTTGAAAAAGATCGGTACCCTCGATTTACGTAATGTAACCGAGGCTTCCAGAAAATCAAGAGCTTCATTCTTATTCAGTGCTCGTGAAGCTGCCGATCAAGATCTCGAGACTATCTATTCTATTGCTTATAATGGTATTATGGAACTTGTCATTCTTGACGAGAAATTCGCTCCATTCGAAAAGACTCTCTTTTCTGAAAGAATGAAGTCAGTCGATAGAATTCTCCAGGTAATATCAATGTATCTTGTGCACCTATTCAATTCTATTAAACACAATATCCTTCCTATAGACTAAAGAAGAAAACAAAAAATTAAATGCCAGTATCGATGCCTTTTTATGTCAACTTTCACCTTACTTCCTTTTAAAACCTTCTGGAAAAGTATTGGAATATCTTATCCGTCGTTTCCGTATTCAGGATTTCAATGTTGAATCTGTCATCAAATGTGTATTGCCTTATCATGAAACTAAATCATTCGTAAAGATGGTTTCTCTCTTAACTATCAAGTAAGTAGTACCTGAGTCTATCTGACATCAAAAAATTCAGATTTTGACATTTCTTTTTTAATAGTGACAGATCACCTTGGGAATTTTTGGAACCCATCAAAAAGACTCTAATTCCTTTGGAGCGCTCCTTGTTAGTAAAGAAGATGATGAAAAATAGATACGTCTTCAACTTTGTCTGTAAAATGGTTACCCATGCTATTGTTCCTTTCCAAACCCTTTACTCATTCTATGTTGCTCTTATGACTGATTATATCAAACTTGCTCCCTCTGTCAACACTGATATGGCTACTGCCCTCACCCCTCATCTTATTGATGGATTTAAGGATAAGGATCATCCTGAATTACAACTTGCCAGTTACATGATTATTTCTCAATTGTCTTCCAAGTCTGTCTTTAGTAAGGAAGGTGCTGAAGCATTGGCCGATGCTATCATGAAAAACTACAAGAGAAGTTGTTACAAATATTGTTTATTGACCATTGTCCATCTCTGTCAAACTCAAGAAAATTTCGAATCTGTCTCAGAGAAAGCCGCTACACGTTTGATTGATAATTCTCATTTCGAGGAAGCTATTTTGGAAATTGCCGATAAGTACGCTACCGAAAACTTCTTCAAGTGTTTCTTGGGTGAGATTGTTTCTGGAACTAAAAACATGGAACTTTTAGTTACTTTGGTACTTAAGGGATATCTTTCAAGCAGCAACATTACTCTTTTAACTGAGTCTATTATGGATACTTACCTCTCACTTGACGATGACACTGAGAAGGAAGAATATGTTTCTCAATACCAATCCTTGCTGGCTATGGTATCCCAACGTTATGTCGAAGAACTCGATGCTCTTTTGGAATCCAAGTTAACTGTCGCCAAAGATGATGAAGCTCTTAACAAGACCCTTTATGATTTCACTGCGTCTGCTTTTAAGGGTACTAGACACGAAATTATCGAGGAAGCCAACACAACTCTTTATCTTTGTCTTAACAGTCCTGCTACAACAAACCGTCTCTTGGCTGTCAAGAAGTTAGTTTCTATTATCGGTGATGAGTCTAACCCTTTGGCCCAAACTCCCGAAATTTTCGAATCATCTCTCGCTGCTTGTTTAGACAAATTTGATCAATTATTGACTTATGCTATTGAAGAAGTCCCTGAACATCTTTTAAATCAAGTTTCAGCTGAAAAGATTTTGGCTTCTCTTGTTCATCTTTTTGAAGATCGTGGTGCCATCGATACCAAGTATGCCGTCTCTGTTGTCAAGTTCCTTTTAACTGACTTTATTAAGAAGCACCCCGATCAAGATTCCCAAGTTGCCCGTATCTTGGCTGTCTTTGTCTTTGCTGCTTCAAACAAAAACCTTGCTAGCTTATTAAAGCGTGTCGGTTCTCTTCAGTTCAAAAACAGTCCTCTCTTGTCCTCCATGTTCGAAAATGTTAAGGCTGCTTCCAAGAATAAAGATTCGTATGAAGTACTCACCACATTCATTAAACTTCAAGCTGATTGGATCAAGCAAAACAAGAAGCCCGTCTATTTGGAATTCTGGATTGACATGGTTAAGAGCAGTTTCAAGCCCGAGACCGTCATCGGTCTTTTGGTTATTTCTTTAGCTGTCACTATCGTAACTAAGGGGGATGAACAATACAGTTTGGGTTTAAGTGCATTAGAAGCTGTTTTGAAAACTGTTGAATCTCAAAAGGTTCTCTTCTATTCTACTCAATTACCCAATGAGTTCTCTGGTAATGCTGGTTTACCCTCCAAGGAAGTCATTAAGGGTTTAAGAAACATTGATGATGTTACCGTCAACAATATTGTTCAACTTGCTCAATTCACTTTGATCAACTTGACCTCTGCACTTCAACGCTCTGCCGGTAAAATTGACTGGTACAAGACTGATGCTGACAACGAGAGCTATACCCAGTTGGTATCCAAGCTTTTCAAAACCTTTGTTGGTGGAACTTCAGTTGTTGCTTTCGAGAGTGCTGTTACTCAACTTATTAAGAGTCAACTCAAGGATGATGTGCTTCGTTTCTTGACTAGTATTTGGGCCAACGGTGACAACAAGTATGCTGTTCGTGCTCGTGCATTGCAAATCACTTCTGCCTATCTTGGCCATTATGTTACAAGTAGTGGTTCCAAGGTTGACTTTCAACATTTGGTTCCTGCTCTTTTCCCTACTCTTGGCGATGATCACCAATCTGTTCGTGTTCAAGCACTCCGTTGTTTGGAAAACATTCGAATGGTTTACCAATCTCAAGGTTTGCCTAGCGGTCACAAGGTTTACGATACCACTATTCCCATTGAGGATGTCAAGAAGCATAAGGCTGTTACAGATATCACTATCCTTCCTGCCAACACTTTCTACAGTCAAACCGCCAATGTTGCTGATATTCGCTCTAACGAAGCCGCTCATCTTGTCGATTTCTTGTGGTATAGAAATGATGAAATTAGTAAGGATCATAGTTATGTCACTCGCTTATTCAAAGAATACCTTGCCTTGTGTGAAACTTCTAAGGAAAAGCAACACAAGCTTCGTAAGACCCACACTCTTACTTTCTTGATCAACCACGTCAAGGCTGCTCCCACTCTCGAGATCAAGATCAATATGCTTTCTATGTTGGACTCCATCGATAGTCCCTTGAAACTTCAACTTCTTTCTCCTCTCTTGGAAGAGACTTTGAACCAACCCCGTACCAAAAAGACTACCGATTTGGTCTCCTATCTTATCCATACCTACTTGCCTTGTAATGCTGCTGCTTTAGGATCTAAGGGTGATACTACTTTACCTCTCTTCCTTCGCTTGCTTGCTAACAAGGATACACTCGAAGGTGCTGATGAAGATGGCTGGCAAGTCTCTACTCGTCACTTTGCCTTAGAACAAATCTCCCCCGAGTTCTTTGCTAATGCTAACCTCAAGGCTCAACAAGCTATCTTCTCTTCTTTGATTGATATCGCTACTAATGGTGTCCAAAACGAAGTCCGTGCTTCCAAGATGGTCTTGGCCAAGATTGATGTCGATGCCAAGATGTTTGATGATGTCCTCATGACTGCTGCCAGAAACTTGATGGGTGTTCCTCCTACCACTCATGCTGCTAAGCGTGGTCGTACTAACGTTGAAGCTAAGGTCGCTACTCCTTCCGCTTCCGTTGATCTTTACGAACTCGTTACCATTCTCGAACTTGTTGAATCCAAGACCATTCAAAAGGATGAGACTCTTGTCAAGCCTCTTTTCGAAGTCTTAACTGCTATGGTGAACGCTGATCTTCGTGATTCTCCTGTGTCTCTTGAATACATCAACCAGCTTCTTATGTCTGCTCTTACTCGCATTATTCATCATGCTGAAGAAAAGGGTGCTCATATTGAAGAGTCTTCACTTCGTGTTGATATTGTTGTCCAATGTATTCGTATCACTGGTAATCCTCAAACTCATAACCAAGCTCTTTTGCTTATGGCCACTATTGCTTCCATGTTCCCTGAGTGTGTTCTCCACAACATCATGCCTGTCTTTACTTTCATGGGTGCTAATGTCCTCCGTCAAGATGATAACTATAGTTTCCAAGTCATTCAACAAACTTTGGAGAAAATTCTTCCTCCTCTTGTTGTCTCCAGCAGAAAGTCTAACAATGATGACGAAGCTGCTCTTGCTCTTGAAGTCAAGCCTATCATCAAGGTATTTGTGGATGCGCTTTTCCATATTCCCAAGCACAGACGTTTGCGTCTTTTCACCGTCCTTATCCATACCTTGGGTGAAGATGAATTCTTGTATGCCATCATATCTTTGTTGTTAGAAAAGTTCACTGAAAGATTGGCCAAGGGTGCTCGCTCTGAGGCTGAATCTCTCACCGAATTTAGTTTGATCATCAGTCAACACTTTGGTCCCGAAACTCAAATGAAGGCCATCTTATCTCTTTTGAACGGTTTGCTTGTCTTGCCTAACGAAAAGCCTGAAGATGAGACTATGGGTAAGGAATTGCATTTGTTCAACATCGCCGAGCACAACGCCAAGCAGCTTCGTCAATACAAGCTTGCTACTCTTAACTTTGTTGGACAATTGTTGTCTTCTAAGGGTTTCTTAAACAAGGTCATGACTCAAGGCAATGCTTCTGATGATTTCACTCAAACTATGCAGCCTTACTACCTTCAATCTGTTGAAGTCATCTTGAAGATTGTCAGTTATTTCACTGAATACCGTGATGCTTACTCTGTCTCCAAGGATGCCAACCCTAGTGTCGCCAAGTTTTGGAGAGCCATTCTTAAGGTTGTATACGATGTCTTGGATAAGGTCAATGCTCTTCTTCCTTTGGATGCTTTCGTCAATGTCATTACTGAATTGATCACTCATAACGATAGCTCTATTCGTCGTAAGGCCATGAACATCCTTAACGAGAAACTTATCACCTTTGACGGACATGCTCCTGAAGGCAGTGAAGATATTTTGGTTAACATGGTCGGTAAACTTACCACTGTGATCCAAAAGGAATCTGCCGGTAGCTTGGCTAGTGAAGAAGATAGTTCTGTTAACAAACAATCCGCCTTGCTTTGTATTGCCTCTCTTGCTAAAATCCTCGGTAGCCTTTATCCTGGTCAATTTGCTGAAGCTATTCCTGTCATCATTGGCTCCGATAGTCTCCAATCCGCCAATGCTCAATTGCAAATCTCCAGTCTTGTCAGTCTTACTGTTATCTGTAGAGAAATTGGTCCTCGTGCTGTTCCTCATCTTCCCAAGTTCATGCCTCTTGTCACTGATATCTTGAACACCACTGTTGAGGCTGAGAACCCCAATACTCTTCTCCAAATCGGTGTCATTAGTGCATTAGAAACCATCGTTAATGTCTTACCTCACTTCGTCAGTCCTTATATCACCAAAATGTTGGGTGGTCTTTTACATCCTTCTATTTACACTTATGACGCTGCTCATGCCCAAAAGGCTATCATCGAAACCAAGACTCGCGCTGTGTTATCTCAATTAGCTTCTAGTGTTTCTCCTCGTGTTCTTTTGTCCCCTGTTTTCGCCTTCTACGAAACTGCTATCAAGAATGGCAAGAAGTCTACTTTAGCTCTCTGCTCTATTGTTTCTCAAGCCATCCGTGCCATGTCTCGTGATGTCATGACCTCTCATTACAAGCAATTATTCAAGTTCTTCCTTACCGCATTTGATATTCGTCGTTCACACAATGACGATTTCGAGGAAAGTGATATTAACGAAATTGAAGATGCTATTATCTCTGCTTTCCTTGATTTGGTCATGAAGTTGAACGAAACCTTGTTCAAGCCTCTCTTCCTCAAGGTTGTTGATTGGGCCACAATTGAATTGGCTGTCGACGGATTTGCTGTTTCCGAAGATAGTTTGAAGCGTGTCTTGTTCTTTTACAAATTGGTTGATTCACTCTTGGAAAAGCTCAAGTCCATCTTCACACCTTACTTTGGTTATTTGATCGACGATGTTATTGCCAGATTGGAGCGTTACAAGGAAGAACAACAACCTATCGATCCTCTTTGGAACTATATCATGTCTTCTCTTCGCAAGTCCTTCTTGTACGATAATGACAACCTTTGGAGTGCAGCCAAGTTTGAAAAGATTGTGGACCCTGTTGTGGATCAAATGATGGTTACATCTAAGGGTACCAGTAGTGATTACTTGACTCGTATGACCACCTATGTTGTTCCTTGTGTGGGACAAATGGCTGTTACTGTTTCTAACGATACTCTTTGGAAGCCCCTTAACCAAAAGGTTCTTTTGAAGACTAGAGAGGATGATCCTGAAATCAGATTAGCTGCCTTAAAGTGTATTGAAGAATTCTATATTCGTCTTGGTGAAGAATGGTTACTCTTCTTGGCTGAAAGTATCTCCTTCCTTGCTGAACTTATGGAGGACGATGATGTTCGTGTCGAGAAATACGTACAACAAGTCAATGCCCAAATTGAATCCCACTTGGGTGAAAGTTTGGATAAATTCTTTAACTAAAGTTTCTTTCCCTGTTAAAATTGTGTAAATAAAAAAATAAAAACTAGATTATTTTGAGCTATCAAACGTATTTGTTGCACTTTAAAAAGTTCTGTTTACAGTCGTTCCAGTGCCAAAGGTGATAGATTGATACCGAACTTAATTTTTCGTAAAAGTTTGTACCACTTGTTTCATCATTGGCGACCTTTGGTTACGAATCTTTAAATGTTTAGACCAGTCAAAGTCCTTTTGTAACAATTTTGAAGAGTACAAAAAAGTTTTAAAATCGCGCAAATTGTCACTGTGCGCACTGTGCGCTTCGCCTTTTTCCCTTTAGACAATGGTGTCCTTTGAGATTCGCTGGAACACTAAAAAGTTTCTTATCGATTTAAACGATGAGGAGTATGATGCCATGACGGTTGGTGATCTTAAATTGAGATGTCAACAACTAACCGAGATTGAGCCTCAATACATGAAATTATTAGCTCGCGGGGGTAGGATTATCATGACTAAAAGAAATGCTTTTTTTTTTTTGACGTTTTGTAAACTTAGCTATATTAAAAAATGATACCGAGTCAATAAAAAATTATAAAATTTTATCAGGATCAAAGATAATGCTTATGGGGTCTAAGGTAAAATATATAAAAAAGATAGTCTGTTAAAAAAACATATTTAATTGTAACACTGACGAACACGCAATTATTTATTTTTTAGACCCACATATCACCTCTGAAAGCACCTCCACCCAAGGACGATGCCCCTATTTCGACTCGTTTGCACTGGATTAGGAATTTGCGGGAATCTGCTTTGAAGCCAGATATCCATCGCTACGAGAAACAAGTGCAGGAACATCTATCTAAACCGCATGAACCGAAACAAACCAAGGAATTGATAAATTATGGCAGCTATTTGCATGAACAGCTCATGCACATGATCTCTCAACTTGATACTATGCCAGAAGCAAACGAGGAAGAAAGAGTTGAAAGGCGTAAAAATGTAAAGGAAACAGAGTCGTTATTGGATTTAATAGAGTCTGTAAAAAATAAGTTGCTCCAACTGATGAAATAAAGTCTAATTTACTGATTGCCAGGAGGTTGGCCTTTACCTCATTATCGTCTTCTTTCACTTTTAGCGATATAGCGTATAGAAAAAAAAGCAGCTTTATTTTCACACAACAAGCCATCGACGTTTAATTACATGTCAAATCGGTGGGTTGTACTAAGGAATCTTGATTTAACAGGTACTCCGCCGTCGCCATGATTTGACAGCATAAAATAAAAAAGAATTGCCCGTGAACTTAAAGTAAAAAAAAACATTTCGCTTTATTTGTATTGCATAGGATATGAGAAACGTGTTTCAAGTAAATGACACATGAGGTAAACTTAATTGTTGTCGGTCAATTCATCAATTTTTCTTCGTTTGTTGATAAGATAAACTAATCGTACTTGAACTGCCAATATATCATCGGTAATGGCTTCCCGTGCTCGTTTTACTTCCTCTACTCATTGCGTCTGTCTAAATAATTAAGAACGTGTAAGCGTAAATCATTAAATAAGCCATAAATACTTAACGAGCTATTATGCGATAATGGATTTTCTTGAGATGTTTTCTGGTTTTGAGAAATGGTAAATTTAATTAATGATGAAACTGTCCGAGTGAACACTGTTTTGGTAATTATATGTGTGAGTAATGTTGATGATATTAGAGACAACCTGGTCTGGTACAAATGGCGTTAAATCAAAAATTAAGCTTCAATAATATTTCCAAATGCCTTCAAGGATAGACCCAAAAGAAAGGTTGTGGTTGTTTGAAGTTGGAACATTTTGCGACTGGGGAATCGGAAGGTATGTAGACTGGATAAGGCCTCAGAAGGTTTAAGTAGATATAACGCAGGAAGCTGCGGATAAAGATATGTTAAAGGATCGCTTCCAAATCTGTCAAACACGCTGACAGACGACAATTATATGCTCGGAATAGTGAGAGGTAAACGAACATGACGGACAAATAGGAGAGTTGACTAAATGTGTGCATAGTAAGGATGGTATAAATCTGATTGTGCATAATTTGAAACCAGACATTTTTTATACGAAAGTTCAACCGAAAACGACATAATAATTCCAGGTAGAACCAGTGTGATGACTTATAGACGTAACTCGCCAGTGAGTGTGGTGGACCGTTCCTTCCCAGAAGGACTTGGTAGAAGTTTAGTTAATCAATAAAGTGTATTATAAAAAGCCCCTTAGCTGTCCACTTTCACTCGAATCGAAAAATGATCTTTGGGTGCCAGTAGTTGGAGAGCAAAAGGAAACACTTAAACTAAATCGAGCATAGGACTTTTAATGAAAGTATATGTAATGATTGCTTAACAATAGAGGTAATTCCTGAACTAAATATTGAGAAACATTTAAATAACCGTAACAAACAATAGCTAGGAAACCACCACAAAGCTAATTCATCCAATTAGAAGTTTCTTTCGTTTATAATGGTAATGCAGCATTGAACAAAGCTATTGTTATTATTCCGGCCTGTAGCCCTTAATTTTTTTTAAATAAGAATTGATTCCCCCCCCCACGTTCATTCTGGATGGGGGGGCTTATCCAGAAAAGTTTGTTTTTGTTCTTTATTCTGCTTCTAGAAAGGATCAGCAGGCTCAGTTCATATCGAATACATTATTCACATCAGTGATTTTTTTTAAAAAAAAAAGATAAACTTCTGTATATGTGCAGTCTTGTTTTCAGAAGACTGTCTAAGCCCTTTTCAGTGGACATCAGTTTATAAATGATGTAAATATATACAGATGTAAAACGCCTCATTTTTCTTTTTTAATCCACAATTTTACAAATTAAGCCAAATGCCCTGGTTTCTAGCACTATTACTCATCCTTTCTACCTATCCAATTTTCTTACATGCAGACTACCCAGTCACAGTCGATGACCCTAGAATAAAGTTCAGTCCTCGAATGTACGGCAGAACTACCGTGGTGGTGAATGATACAATGTACGTCTATGGTGGCCGAACAAGTTTAGGTGCCATCTATACAAACAATATGTACCGTTACAATTTCAATCAAGACACGGGTATAGTCAATATGTCGATGGTAGATCAAAAGAATGCCGGTCCCAATTGTTCCTTTTGTGGCGCTGTCATGATGGATGAAACACGCATGCTAATTTTGACACATGACTTTGCTAACGCTACTGAAGAGGATTCAGAAAATATAATGCAAGTTGTGCGTCCTTTTGTTTTTGATTTCGAGACTCTAACCTGGTCAAGCAACTCTACCACGCCCAGATACAATGCATCCATGAACAGCACGTTTACAATGAGAGCAAAACATAGCACTGTTTTGGGTGGCGACGGACTGATCTATACCATTGGTGGTGTCAGCTTTTTTAATGAAAGTATACGGGATAATCCTTCTTGGTACTACGATATGAAAAATGATTATTATGGAATTATTCAGCCCAATTCTGACAGCATTGATATCTTTCCCATCGGTGGTAATGCATTTAATCTTGCGTAAGTTGAAAAGTCAACTTATACATCTTCTCGCTCACTAACCCGGAGTAAACAAAAATTATCTAGAAATGGCAATATTGGGTCCGTCTTGGGAGGACGCGGTAGTGATATAGAAGGATATTATGGGTCACAGTATATGTTTGTATTAAACACCTACAACAAGTCTTGGGAGATTCCTACCAACATCACAAATTACAACGACGACAATGTAATTGCCTGTGAGGGTTCCACGATGCAACTATCAGCCAATAATACAATTGCGTATATTTTTGGTGGAATCAAGACGGGTAGTAATAGTAGCGATTATATCTACTCCAGATTGCGAGTACTCAACATTAGAAATTTTACTTGGCTCTCAACGGCTGAGAGAAATGATAATTATCACGTACAGCCAAGATCTTATGCATCTTCAGCCATCATCGGGAACAAGTATTTCATAGTGGCATTTGGTAACTCTCTTCGAAAAAGATCTGATTTAAAAGATGTAAATATATTCGCGTTGCCAAGCATTATGCCAAATGGTATTGATCTTGCACCAGAGAATAATAAGGAAGTTATCATACACTTGCTCAGTTCAATCCTAAATAATGTAAATTCAATTTCCCTGCATCGTGTAAGCACATCGATAGTTTTGTTCATTATCTTTATTGTTTTAACAGCCACGGTGTTTGGCTTCATAATTGCATTCGTTGTTAACAGAAAAAGAATCAAGGACACAAATATTCATCTCCTTCAAGCTATTTCTAAAAACATCTGGAATCGAAGGTTAGTATGACGCGTTAGTAATGTAAATAAGTAGTTCTTAATTTATTTACTTTCAACCCAGAGCTGGTGAACTGCTTTCTACACAACTTTATGGGTTTATAGCCAAAAGCGTCCTCGTTTTGATCCTGCTTTCATTCATATTGTATTTCATGCATAGTATCATCAACAGCTCGGTTTCATTTACGGAAGAATCCATTGATGTGACCACCATAACTTTCCCAGGTAGAAAAGTTATTTGAATATCAAAATGCCATTTATTCCGTCTAATAAGCACTTTTAAGATATACGATTCTGTTATACAGGATGGGCTTACTTAAGTATAAATGATGTCTATGGTCAAGACTTTCCACAACTATTTTGTAGCCATATTAACGCCCCAGATGATGTGGCGTGTGGGAACACGACGATTCTTGATAGAACCCTCTTCTCTCCATCGTTTGTAGAACAAGCAGGAGATACTCAGTGTCATTTATATGACAGCATTTCTAATGTCACTGTTGTATCTCAAGACAGAGCAGTCCTAAGATTCTATCATATGGGGTTTGCATATCACCTTCAACAAGCCGTCCATCTTCAGTTCTATGAACCCCACAAGAATCCAAATCGAGTGCTTTTTCGCAATGAAACAATACCAGGATATGATGTTAAATTCATGGATGACTGGCTAGCGTCCGAATCGAATAGTGGCTCTAAAAGTGATGATTTGAGCCGTGTTGTCTCTGTACACCCAGATTCTACCATGTACATTCAATTCGAAACGGTGTATACGCATCAAATTGACCCTGACAGCTGGTGGAACTTTGTAGGTATCTTCCCCAAATATATTTACACTTCTGAACTCAGTATCACTCATACGGAGCCTATGAGCCGTGGAACGTATGCCAAGACAGAGGGACAAGAAGCAGTTGTTCTGGGTGATATTGTTATATCTCCTAAAACATTCAGTCAGAGAATTATTACAGAAAAAAGAGATACAACCATTGTGTCATCATTAGGTGTAGTTGGTGGTATTGTTGGTATACTATTAGCCATTCAAGTATTTTTATTTGGAGCAAGACCTCCCAAACCTTGGGGAATAGTTCACACAACAACCATCAGATCCAGCATAAAGGATAAAAGACAACGGATACTTGAAAAATACTTTTCCGTTCCAGATGCGCAAAGTGTTCCCTTTGTAACACCAGTGCATCAACGATTCTCGTCCATCTACGAGTTAAACAGCTCAGATAACCATCACGATCACGAAGAGCAGCTAATAGAAGAAAATGTGTTGCTCGATGATGAAGGCTTAAAACTCGACCATGACGTGGATGAAACACTTTCTAAAACACCCATCTTGGATGCTGCTATGGATATAAAAGATACTCTCAAAGATCTTCAAGAAAGATTGGGCCATTTGGAAGGAAGAAACCAAATGCTCGAATTGGTTTTAAAAGCGTACTATATTGATGATCGAATTTTCCAGGAATTGCATAAGCCATCGTCTAGCGAACCGTCTCGCGTATCACCGTAGTGATTACAGCCATAATTGTAAAAAAAAAATGATATATTTAAAATGACACATTAAGTTAAATCAAATTGACCTATAACTGGTATATATTTTTTGACTTCCCAAGATTGAGTTTTTTTTATAACTTGGAATAATGTATAATTTAGAAAGACGGCCAACTTTGTAAAAAATTACAACAGGTATGACATTACATGCCTCAGCAATACTATCAGACAATTTTTCTTCGACCAGTAGTTTGTAGAGTTTCGGTTTTCCTTTTAAGATTGCCTAAAATTATTTAATTGGCTTTAATTTAGGCGAATATGCAGACAAATACATCAGCTTTTAACCACCACATAAGATTCTCCTCATCATCCGTTCGTTTCACCGCTTAGAAAAAGAAAATTCAACCGGTCCATTTCACTGCTGCAAAGCTGCAAATCTGCAAAGCTGCAAAGCTGCAAAGCTGCAAAGCTGCAAAGCTGGAACAAAAGCTGCAAAACTGCAAAGCTGGAACAAAAGCTGCAGATCTGCAAAGCTGCAAAGCTGGAACAAAAGCTGCAAAGCTGCAAAGCTGCAAAGCTGCAACTTTGATGGTATCTGTATTGTGATGTCCCAGCTAGGTTGATACCATATCAATAAACATATGTATATATCCTAGTAGTTCAGTAGCTATAAACTTGTCTATACAATGTATACATCCCCAAATACTGTCTCTGTTTTATTTACAATTTTTAATATATTTTGATTTATCGTAAAATACTACGTGCATGACAGACCAGAGAATATATTCATATAATGAACAAGATCATGATAATAATTAATTGTTGTAATGGCTAGATATTGATTTTCTTTTCTTTGAGATTTTAGGGTCAATGATCTGGTGCATACTGTGATTAGTCAATGTTACAGGATTTTGGGCATAATTATGGTTATCGCCTTTTTCTACACTCTGAAAACAACTAATGACGTTGATAGCTTTGTTCAATTGCGAAATAAAAATCGGTACTTGATCAAGACTGTATGGAAGTTGGATATGAGCAATTTCACACATGGCATAGAGGTCTGTTTTGGCGCGATCAATTATGTAGAACGTAGCATTTTTGCCTATGTGGTAATACAGAATAAGAATGTTATAGATCTATAGAACGCAACTATAGTTTTACCAACTACAAGGAAAGCAAGAGTAGATTTCAACTTGTGTTTATCAGAAGTATCTTTGGCCAAAGTTGCAACACGCATCAGATCGATACCAACTAGCCGGTGATTGAGGGCCAGGTACTGCGCTTTCACTTCTCCGCAACCAAGTCGGTCACCCAACGTTGCTCCATAAATTCTATTAATTGATGCGTCAGGTCGTACATTGGCTTGTTTTTCGTCATCACTGACAGAAGTCCTATTCAATTAAGTTATGAATATCAAATTGTCCCCTCTCCATTATATCCTTTTTCATCCCAGCTAAAAGTTTCAATTACCATCGAAATTCTATATTGTTATCTAAGTCTTCAAAAAGAGAACTGAGAATCGCTTCCAAATATTGGGTAATAAGTTCCGTTTCTTTGGGCCCGTCTTCAGTGATTCTGCGTGGCAGCCTCTCCACCCTATTAATGATTTAGAACTAGACGTGATATTTTCAGAGCCTAAAAACTTACATGTTTTGGACGGACAGCAAAATTCTGTTGACAGGATTAAGGACATCATCGTCTTGTAATAGGGCTGAAATTTGCCGTGATGCTGCTAGGCGGGTGCATGCTTCACCTCGGTCACCGTCCTAATATTATGGATCAAAAAATAAAATAAAATAAGAATTATTAATCTTTCTATTCTGGCTTCTCTCTCAAATTTACCACATCTAATTGTATCATGATTTTTTCGAGTTGTAGTTTTATTTCAGATGGAAACGACTGATTAGTCATTTTATGACTTTGAATGATATGCTGGCAAAGTGCGTCACATGTGCTGAGATCAATGTGCTTGTGCAAATCTTTGTGGGTGCGCGCTGGCTTCAATAACAATATAGAGGAGAGAGCGAGTAAATGCTGCACATGCTCTTCAACGGTGAAAGCGATGTCTTGCTGTATGCGGCTGTTTACATCTTGTCTGAAACTATGAAATCGAGCAGATATGTCAATGCTGTTAAAGGGAAATGTTTAGACCTCCGTATTTTTTTCAAACGTATTTTTTTATACTACTTACAGCAAGACTGGCCAAGACCAGAAGGCCAGTATAAATAAAACTATTTACAGTGCAATCACAGCCATTCACAGCCTCTGAGTTTCCAAAAATTCAAGTTCCCTGCTATAGGAGGTCACCCCTCCTATAGCAAAGACTAGCCCCAGCCGCAATATCACAATATATCTTTTTTTTTATTTTAGCTTCTTTTCAAAGAGACAAGAGTCACTACTAAACTAACCTTTTTACGTGATCGGTTAATTTTATACGATAAAGAAGTATGTTAAGGGAAAAGAAAAAGGAGAAGAATAAAGTGTGGGAACCAGCTTTATTTGTAGGCTGATAAACAAGCTTATGTCAGAATGATTTAATTGCTTGTTTCATCATTTATAATGTTTGGGCCTTTACTTAAATTAGAAACATTGGCAAAAACCTCCCAAGCAAATCAGAACTTGGTAGTTGTCTATCTGCGCTCCAGTAGTAACTTGTGATGACAGTGAAGCAGATTTTTATGGAAAACAGAAATCGATCATCCCATGAAGTTTAGATGATATGGCATGTCAATCGACGTGTAGACTATCGCGTGATTCTAAAAAGTACGTTTATTTGAAAAAAAAAATACGTTTGAAAAAAATACGGAGTTCTAGACATTTCCCAGATCATGTAAGCCTCACATAGAAAAATACATTAGGGGACAATCAGGACTTAGAATTAAAATTATTAATGGGTGGCTTACACAGGTCACAATCACTTATTTATTTACCTTAGCCTAGCCTAGCGAGAGTTTTGTATGCATTATATCTATAGACTACAGTGTTACAGTATAATACAATCAAATATAATCACTGGCTTACATTACAATTGAATGGTTACAATCAAAAAGAGCAGGTTTAGTTAGTTGCACAGAAGAATATTGAACTTACCTTCACGGATGCCAGAAGTCCACTAACTGGTTTACCTTATGTTTAGGGATGGGATGGGGGCTGGACACCTCTATATTTACAAAAAAATAAATTATATTATCATACACATACATCAAAGCTAAAAATCTGACGTGATACATAGTCTCAAACCCAGTCCATGAACCAAATCATCCGTTTTGTTTCTCTTATAAAATCATCAATAATTATCGTAAAGAAATATTTTTTTTTTCGACTATATTATTCTAATATTTATTCCTAACCTCTAAGGATAACAAAATCAATATTTGAAGCTATTTGTTTTTTTTCGGAGTTAAACTTAGGCGATTGCGGTCAAAATTGGATATTATCGCCAAAAATGCGATATGGTCAATTTTTGACCGCAATCATGGCGATTGCGGTCAATTTTTAATAAATCGTTCTTAAAATTTTGCGGTGAGGTATGACATTACATGCCTCAGCAATACTATCAGACAATTTTTCTTCGACTAATAGTTTGTAGAGTTTCGGTTTTCCTTTTAAGATTGCCTAAAACTATTCAATTGGCTTTAATTTAGGCGAATATGCAGACAAATACATCAGCTTTTAACCACCACATAAGATTTTCCTCATCATCCGTTCGTTTCACTGCTTAGAAAAAAAATCAACCGGTCCATTTCACCGCTTAGAGAAAAAAATATCAACTGGCCCTTTTCCTAAAAACATTAACTTCAACCAACCTCAATTGCTAACTAATCATTAAGAATATTGCTACAAAGCAGGCGGTATTTCTTTTCTTTTTTTTTTGCCATGATATACGCTATCCAAAATACTTAAATAGTGTCTTCTTATCTTTTCGTTGCCTGTCTTACGATTGGGCCTTTTCAACACACCTTCGCAATCATTACTGCCTTGTATATCTCTTTTTTTATATATATCAAACTAGATCAGCCAGTACCTCGGAGTAACAAGGGGTAATAATGGTAACCAATACTTCAAGATAGGGCACATTTTACATGCCAAATACTGTTTTCGCAAGGAAGGAGAAAACTCTAGCGGCGGTTAAAATTAAATTATGTTTGCAGGCTTTCTTTTAAGTTTTTACATAATCCCTTCACTCTTTAATTAAATGCCAAGGTAAAGAAAACGAAAGTCGTCTTATTTACTATAAATCATCTAAGCATACATTACAGTCTAAATACCGGTAGCGGTAGATTAGATGAAGATGCTGCAGATTTGGATGCACTCCAAAAACAGCTTGGCCGAATGAATGGACTTTCAAATAAACTAGTTAGTTTTCAATGGCATGATGTAATTGCTTTCCCTTTCCACTCATTCAATGTATAGGTTAACATTTTGGATTCTTTTGATGGCAGATTATTAAAGCTTGAAGCATCTATTTTACCCATCCATAAGTCAACACAAAATTTGACCAAACTTGCCAACAGTAAAATATAGCTCAATATACCTCTATCTCAGTCACTCAAACTATTTCATCGTTTAGATATTGATGCCACCTTAAAGGCGACTGAGAATATTGTGGATTGCTTAAATATGCCCAGTAAAGAAGAAAGTTTCATTTTCAAAGGGTATGAAGATAGAGAGGAACTGTTGAAAGGGATGATATTGACATCATTTTTGTAGTCCTGATGAAAATAATGTCCTACCTTATTTAAAAGCAATGGGAAGATTGAAGGACGGTGTGGATTCTATAGAGAAGAGTCAATTGAGATCATGCGATATAACTGTTCGCAATATGGTAATGGCTTGTAGCATTTGTAGTAGTCAATCTTCTCACTTACGATTTTTTTCTTTTGATTAGAAAAATTTGCTAAAAACCGGTATGCTTCATCTGGAGACATTATTTCGAAAATGGTTGTCAGCTGTCAGTAACCCAGTTGATGTGAATACAATGCTCAGTTCCAGTACGTAAACCTTCCATTGGCACATACAATTTCCTACTAATTTTATAATTAGATAGTGAGCTAATGATGACAACATCGATGAAGCAGTTATCACAATTATCGACATACATTGCATCCTCTGAAAAGGAGATTGGATACTCTGTCGACTTTACCAAACCTTATATAGATATCCGATCCTCATTCTTACTCCGCTCTTTACATCCATTATCTCAATCGGTCCAATTATCAGAAAAACATCAGGGCATATCGTATGAAAGAGGATCCAGCGAATTTTTAAAGTATACCGAATGCTATACCAAAATGCTTGAATCCGAGTACAAATTTGCCGAGCAAATTATGGGGAATGAGACCAGACGAGCTGCTGCATTGAAGGGAACCATTATTCCTGCAACAGCCGAATATATTGCGGCTGGTAAACAGTTGAACGCGATTGCCAAGAGATTGAATTACACTGAAACAACATTTGTTTTTGATATAATTGAAAAGTACGATCGCGAATGTATGTCTTATCTTGATGAACTTTCACAAATTGTTTCATTGAATGACGTTCAGGAGATGATGAACGCATTCAAGTTGACTGTTCTCCGAAACTTTTATGAATTTATGGAGGATATCCGTGGTAGAAAAGAGGTTAATCCCCAAATGAATCTTAGTAGCGATGGTACAGTCCACGAAATGACGAGTAATGTAAGTGCGCTTTATCCTTTAGCATATACTATTCATTCGCTCATGATTTTTTTTTTTTTTTATATCTAGACCCTCAATTACTTCAAAAGATTATATATATGGCGTGACACAGTTGAGCCGCTACTGATTCTTGTCGGTGATGGCGGCTGGAATAGCATGCCTTCGCCCCAAGTCATGGCAGACACTTCTCGTGTCCATGTCGGTGAATCAGCATTAGGTGCTGCTTTATTACAGAAGTTCTTTGTTGATGCATTGGATCAAATGACAGTCGCTCTACAATTAAAATCCCGGGGATACAAGAAGCCTACTTTGGCTACCTTATTCCTATTGAATAATTACAATCATATTCTTCGACAGATTCGATCTCCTCCATTGAATGCTATATTTGATGATGGCTCAGAAATGAAGTTTGGAAAGCTTGTAAAGAAGCAGTTGGACGCATATCAAGAGTCTTGGAAGCCTTGTGTGGAAAATCTGATGGATGTAACTTACGTTAGAGGAGGCACTATCAATAAATCAATGGGTAACGCTGAAAGGCAGCTAATCAAGGATCGATTTAAGGTAGGACAAAAAGTATTAATCAGGCTTGGCGTGTTCATTAAAATTCGGAAATTACTAGAATTTCAATGCAGAATTTGAAGAGATTTCAAGAGCTCAACAAACTTATGCTATTCCTGATACAGAGTTAAGAAACCAAGTGATTCGAGATGTTAAGAATGTTTTGGTTCCCATGTATGGACGTTTCTTGGATAAATATCAAGGCACAGATTTCACCAAAAACCCTGCAAAATATATCCGTTATGATAAAGACAAGGTGGACAGAATGATAAGTCATTTGTTTGAGCCTACTGCTTATTAGGTTCTTTTTTTCCTCTTTGAGTTTCTTTTGAACATAACACAGATCAATATATCGAAAACAATAAACTAATTAGCAAACCCAATAAAAAAAAAAGTTTAAAATTTGGTTCATTAAAATTTGTAACCATCAAATTTGGGACTATCTACTAATCATTCATTTTTAACGTATCAGTTATCGATCTTGCACATGTTTAATTGCTTAAAACCGTTTAATCGGATTTTATGACATCAAACAGCGACGTTTAGCATTTATAATCGAATCAAACACAACATGCCAGTTTGCTTGTTATGAAACACTTTTTTTCAAGTAAAACAAAAAAAAATGTATTCATTCCTAAACCACACGCACTTTCACGTGTATGTTGCAAGTTTTCTACGAAATATATATATATTTAAAACTCGTCTTTTGACACACCATTTTGGTTTCATGTTACGGTGCTAGGAGTTATGTTTCTTTCTTTTGCATTTTTTACCCCACAGAGCATTGCACCAGTATGGAAATAAAATGGTGATTTTGTCTGATTTGGCAGTAGTTGCTTCATAAGGAAACAGCAGTGTATTAAATAGTACACCATTTGTATGACCAAGCATGATTTCTTACAAGCAGGCTAATTATTACACAAAATCCCAGCGCACATGATTACCCAACAAAAAAAACGGGTGATGCACCCATACAACTTTAATAAATCTTCCGCTATTTGTGGTAACACATCAACATATCCCTTTTTTACATAAAATAGTAACAATAATTGTACTTCCCACTCTCGCTTTACTGAAAGCTTGAAAATCCCGTCCATTTTGTTGAAAATAAATTGTCCCAAGCTAAATTTAACTAGTATTTTGTAATAATTGGGTTTTGGGGAAATATGTTTGGTCAAAAATTTTAGGGCTTATTTTCAATAACAGGGTATGTGGGGTTCCTTTTTGAAAGCATTGGCAACTCCAAGGCTGTTTTTTTTTTTTTTTTGGTTCTATTGGCGCTGTATAAAGGTATGAGTTCTCTAATGTAATAAGCTAACTATATTTCCATGTTTTTCTTGCAGAATTCTTCCCTCCTCGAAAGTAATCCGAGCAGCTAGGATATACCAGAACGCATATTTGACGTTTTTCTAGTATATGGAATATTGAATGTTAGTTATATCCTTTGACACGGAAATAAACTTTTTTTTTTCTACTTCGTGTTTATTTTAAGGATGTATCTTTTTTTTAGACGACGCATTATTTATAGTACATGCAGGTCTGTGGCCCATAGTAATTTTGGCTTAAAGCTAAGAGTATTGCTTGAATCTCCTCCCCCTCCCCTTTCCTAGCTCGTATTATTGGGGTGACCAACCTTAAACGTAATACCGACACATAACTTTCAAAAATTAGAAGGCAGCATTTCTTCTGTAAAGAGATGTTTGAATAAATAGGACAGGGACAGGGTTAAAAACGAAAAGTGAGAGAGCGATTTCATTTACAAGAAGAGTGATAAACAAGGGCTAGACTATTATATTAAGATGGACTAATTGATTAGTTATAAAAGAAACAGTTGTGGTTTAGGTAATATGTCACAATCATTCTACATGTACGTGATGTTACGCTCACAAATTGTTTTAACAGTAAGTTAGCAAATACTATCAATTGTAGAAGGGTTAGCTTTTTTTTTTTTCATTAAAGAAAGATTTGTAGTTTAAAATACCATGTAAGTGTAGATACAAATCAGAAAAAGTTTAAAAGTTCAGACGTTTGAGTAAACTCTATCATGATAGACTTTACCTGATGATCAATGTAACCTCAGAAAAAAAAAGGGGGGCGGGGTTTTCAAACATCCGGTAAAATTGAGGTTGTTAGGAGGCACAGTAGAGTTTGTTGTTTATTTATTTACGAAAATAAAAAATGACATAACAATTGGTAATGAGGTAGTAATGATAGTAAATTTACAATATGATACAAAAGTGAAAGGGAAATAAAAATAATGGGAGTGAGGGGGAGGAGAGAAAAATATAATAATAAGGTGATATCGGGGATGAGAAAAAAAAAAAAAAGAAAGTTAATCATCTTCGGAGACGGTTGGTAAACATGGTGGTACTGGCGGTGGTTTTGAACGGGGAGGAGGCATCTGAGGAGGAAGGATGGTTTCCCAGTCTGGTATTTCCGCTAATGATTGCCTTTGTTGGACGCGAGAAATGGGTCTTACTGGTAAACTTTGTCGATTTAATTTTTTACTAGCTTCATTTACAGTTGGTATTAATATTCTGTAATCATCTGTTAATGTAATAGATGATAATATAGCAGTTGATAGTAATCCCTCGTATCCAATTTTGATACATGCAACGATCTTCTTCATGGACTCTAACCACGATCTCATTTGGGTGACAGAATCACATCGGATATACCATTTGCATAAGGGTTTTCGTAGCTCAATAATATAGCCTTTCTTGAATTCTTCGGTGACAAAAACAAATGTGTCGTCTGTTAATAGAAAATGCTCTCTTGCTGGATTAGTTGCTTTGGCGGTTTTAAAAATAAATACAATTCGATCGACCAAAATAAACAATCTTCTTTTCCAGGATCTTCCGAAAGCAAATGTGGAAGGTTGCTCATACTTGTGCATCCAGTCTGAGTGGATTGAATTATCAATGGCAAACTTGGCTGACATACACCAAGGGTCAATGATAGTGGTATCATTGCTATTTTCGACGAGTGATGAAATGTTGTTATTGATAACATCAAAAGTAGGTTCTGAGAGTGATTTTTGATGACGACTTGATGACGATGGTACAAATCTACTTAGCACTTTATTTCTGAAGTTTTCTGAAGTTGTTGAACCGGATAGTAAATATCGTGAAGAAGGTGACAGGGTTGTTCGGGTAATAGCTGACGGTGCTATAAAGAGAGAGAGAGAGAGAGAGAAAATCAGGGTCATTCTTTAGTTAATTCCGCTTACAAACAAGTCCAATCAGGTTAAATCATACTTACAATAAGCCACATGATTATCATCTTCGCAACTGGCCACACTTAGTCTTTGACTGGAAGAAGTGCTTGTGGCTGTGGTGGTTGTGGTGGAAGATTGCTGAGATGCAATGGAAAGTCTGAATACTTCTTTATCGTCTATTGTAAGAGGGAAATCATTGCTAGTACTGCGTCTCGGATCTTCAACTGAAGTATATATAGGGGAAAACATTTGTGTAAAGAAAAGGGAAGAAAAGTGTTTAATAGAAAATGTAAAATTAGGAAAACTTATTTTAAAACAACGCTTTTATTTAGTAAACTAGTGTCACACGAACAGCTCTAAAATCTTATTCCGAGCAGGAACCAACGTCATGTCCTATAAGAAAGTATATCAGGAAAAAACGGGTTAACTCGTCAGCTCTGTGTAATATATTAATAATGGGCGCTCAGAAGATACACTCTATACCCAGGCGCTGCTCATATCCGGTGCTTAATCCGGCGAATAAAATAGTGTAACCATGCTTAATTACTGGAAGATATTGGCCTATTTTATTTTATTTTTTTCTCTCAGAGATGATCATGCCCTGGTCAAAATTTCACGTTGAGCAAACATATTGATCTGATCGAATCTTAAATTTTTTCAAGAAGAAAAAGGCCTTTATGAATTTCAAGTGCATTATGTTTGATAAAACAAAAAAAATTCATAGAAGCAAAGGTTCCGTTATTCTTTTTTATTTTAGGGTATCTTTCTCGTTCGTGAAAAGGTGGCGCAATGAACCAATATTGACATTCTTATTCGTTTCTATCCTGTCGTCGTTCCATGACAAAACATATTCAAGTTCCGTGAGCTTCCCCCTTTTTGTTTGTTCAAAACCTTAATGTTATTACCAAAACTGTCCGCGCAGCTTTTCTAACTATTGCACCATTATAAACAATAAGCTAATTTTCAAAGGTTTTTTATATTTCTAAAAATCTCACCTATGTCATTTCAGTATTCTCAGGACGTTGTATATGTAATTTGCTTTGATTATCATGCGACAAAACGTGCAAATAGTATTGTACCTTTCCAAGAAAGAAAAAACATCATATACCAATGGTAATTGGTACAATGATTTAATTTTTCGTTAACCAATCAAAGTCACCAATGACATCAAATGAGGGGATTCTTTACTAATGCCAAACACTTACAAACAGAAAATTCTGGATTGTTCGTATTATTATGTCATTTTTTTTTTTTTTTTTTTTTTTTTTTGAGAAAATCACCTGCTGTTAAATAATCTTTTGCCATATAGATGACATTTTCTTCATGATCAACTTTTCTAAACGGGGGATAATTCATTAGCCGATTTATAAACGTTTGTGAATCGTCAAAAGTTTAACCATTTACAAACATTGTCGGTTCCGATGAATTTTTTTTTCCTCCCGATTTGTTTGTTTGCCTTGGCCTAACTACCACTATTGTTACGATCGACTTTAATTGGAGAGAGCACGGTCTTAATCGCCGTGGATTTAACAATAAGATTTCTTATTAATCCCTGGTAGTGAAATTTACTCACCGTTATCTCGTCTCTTCGGCATTCGACAATTTGTGTGGTTCAATGTCCCCCTGACAGACTCTTTTATCTTTTTCCCTCTTTCCCCTTTTTTGTACTGATTGATTATCACACACAAATATTAAATACATTTGTAATTCATTCGTTTTAACCTCCAGATAAATTTGACAATGTTTTGTGATCATCACATGGCGTTTCTCATTTGATACATCGGGCTAGATATATTCAACCTAGCTACCAATTTACCTGCTGTATCCACTCTCCATAGCAGCCTTTAATTCAAATAAAGGCGATGAACATAGAGTAAACTATCACAACATTATCATAAACAAATTCTCATTATTAAACAGTAAATATTGAATGAAAAATAAGCACAGCCCCTAACTTATTTATTTTATTTTTCTTGCAAGCAAGATTGCTGTCTATAAAATTATTTTTTATGACTTTTTGTTTTTTGCTGAATATGGGCTATGCTACGGCTATACAATAGAATCCCTATTAGAACATATCATCTTTGTTACGATATTGGTCAAAGATCTCGTGTATGAAGACTGTCTTAGCATCAAAAGATGTCAGAAAAGCTACTTGGAAAAAATGTACGTGACAAAGACATTAACAACGTATGTTTTGACTTTACCTATTTATATCTGACTTGAACTGATATATTCTGCTTGAAAGAGCTTTAAAATATAGCAATAACTCTCATCTACCTAAGTAGTCCCTCTGAAAAGCATCTGACGGGCAAGATAGGATTACCAATGCCAATAGAATCAATTTGTCTAATGACGGACCTTCAGATCTAAAGTAACACACTTGAATAGGGAAAGCACAAAAAAAATTATCTTTTATCAATCGAGCTTTTGACCCCTGAAGCGCAAGCAGAAGTATAGTCTCCATAGGATGAGGCAAGTAACCTTACGATGTATTGGTTTATGTAACACAATATGTAGGCTTCCCGGCCTTTGAATGGACTCGGTGATTCCACAAAGAGAAGTGATCTTTTTCACACGCATGTTTGTACCTTCTTACATGTCTTAAATTTAAAATATTTTAAAGGCTTTTGGGGGTCATCTGTTGAGGTTTGTTACAGAAAACTATTCGACTATTAAAAGATCCCCCCCCCCCTTTTTTTTTTCTCATTTTACTGCTGGAAAAAAAAAAGTGAATTGTTAACATAAATACATCCGCTTCTTCACCTTTGAACTCGTCAATTGTAACATTCTAAAGTCATCGTATTGTACCAAATAGGATTGCTTCGATCTGAAAAAATTTGCAACTCCAAAAAAAAAATGTATATTTTTAGCTTGCACAACTCGTTACACAAGCATGAAATGGATTTTCAATGCTCGCACAAAAGTCATTGGAAGTTACCTATTAGATGGGAAGAAAGAAGGGTTTGTACACATTAGATATGTCTATAATAGTGTTCATCCTATCATGATGACACATCTACATTAAATATTATAATATATATATATATACGACGACGGATTATTTTATTACAATTTTGTAGGTTTTACTTCACCCAAGAAAAGGGTTTTATCTGTGCTTGCGCTCATGATGATGGGTTCTTTAGGATGCCAGTCAACATCATTAACACAACCTTTATGACCGGGTAATTTATAAAGAATTTTTCTACTTTCTACTTCCCAAATAACAACGGATCGATCAGCAGAACCACATGCGATTTGACTACCGTCTGTTGCCCAACAAGGTCGAATCAAATTCTTTTCGTAACCATGAGGAGCTCCTTCGAATATTTTAAGACAACGATCAGCAGCAGCAAAAGGCTTAATATCCCATATACGCACTGTTCAAACGTTTAGTCACTTTTTAGTCAATGAGATTAAGCACACAAGTCTCTTTTTTTTTTTTTTACCTGTATTATCCATTGAGTTTGTTAATAAGTTAAATCCATCAGGACTCAGAGACATGCCAGCAATGGTATCCATGTGTCCCTTCATTGTATAAGCGATTTGATTTTTACGCACATCCCACACTTTAATTTCATTATCGAGGCCAGCTGAATAGACCATATCACCAGCATCACTGAAACAAACGCTGGTGACCTGATAATCGTTTGTGAAAGTGTTGACGGCTTCCTTTGTTCTGCTATCCCAAATTTTGACAGTACAATCATCACTTCCGGATACAACTAATTCGGGTCCTCTTCTTGCGACCTGACAACTGTTGACAATACCGGTATGTCCTCTCCATCGACGTGTACGTTCGCCTGTCTTGGCATCAAAAATACCAACAGATTTATCTGCTGAACAACTGAAAATTTGGCTGGAATCTCTGGACCAGTGAATTTCCATGATTGCATTGGTGTGGCCCTTTAATACACCGTAATTCTTTACTTCTCCATAAGTGTTCCATAATACTAATGATGATAAAAGTCTAGGGAGTTGGTATTTCTATTTCTCAAATTGGGAAGGGGGGAAGCATACTTACAAATATTTCTATCGAAGCCTGCACTAGCAATATATTCTCCAGAACGATCGAATTCACAAGAGAATATCTCACCCTTTTTAGTTGGAAAAGAAAAAAAAAATAAAGTTAACTTTTCTGAAGTGGATCGATAATGGTGAAATTACTTTACGTCATGACCTATCAATTGCATTACGGGTGCTTCTAAGCCTGATGTACGCTTAATCTATTGTAGAAAAGAAAATGTAAGTGAACCTTGACATTGGGAATAGATAAAGAATTAAAAACATGACGCGTACTGTTCCAACAATGGCATTTTTAGTTCCAGATCTTTCGTTAGATAAAGTGATGAGTGAACTATTTTTATTTTCATCGTCTTGTTTAGCACGTTTGATGAGTGCACCTGCAACCGAGGTATCTTTTCTCTTTTCTGCCATTGATATATATTGTTTTAGTGGAGATGCTCTTTTTTTTTTATTGCGAGTATTTTTTTTTTTTATTGCAGGTGTAAAACAGTCACGACAAAAAGGAAATTTTAAGCGGGCTACAAGACACCCCAGCTCATTTTTTTTTTTTTTTTTTTGGTTCCCCTTTTTTTATTTCTCTTTGAATCTCATTTTATACTACCATGTTTGCCTGTCAACGTATTGCATTAAACGTCAGTAAGAGACAGTTTCATACCGTGCCTGCTATTTCAGCAGCTGAGGGACTTTTTGGAAAGTTCAATCCTTGGGCCAACAAGACCCAACCTGAACAAGTTGTAACTCCAGCTCAACCCACGAATCAAGACATTACCACCTTTAATGTTAAATACCAAGACGCAGACGATATTGCCAGTTGGAAGAGAACAGACGTCTTGACAAATCACGAAGAAATCGAATCCGCTGTCAAATCAGTCATTCTTCAACATGTCCAAGGTGCCACCGAAACCAACTGGAAAGATTTATCCATTGATGACTTAAACACCAAATTCAAGGTACGCACACACATACACACACATACACTCAGAAAAAAAAAGAATTGCAGAAAAAGAAAAAGAGAGAAAAAAACAAAAAAAAGAATGCATGAATTTTTTTAAATGTAGAGGGGGCGGGTCAAATTATGTATAGGATGGGGAGAACTAACATCACTTTTCTATATGTGTTGTAGATTTTAAAAGATAGCATTAAAGAAACCGGTAAAGAAGTACCCAACTATGAATTAAATGGATTAGAGACAACAAAGGATGTATTGGCATATTTCAAGACAGGTGGACCTTTAGAAGCTCAAAAGGTCACCATCGAAGCCTATTTCGAGGACAACCGTGAATCATTACCCAAGAACTTGACATTTGTTCCCAGAGAATAAAAAAAAAAAAATCGTAGCATGTACAAATTTTTAAATAGAATAAAATAAGGAAAAACAAAAGAGAGAAAGCTGTTTATAAAGAGAGTGATGAGGATGAGGTTGATAATGTACGTTGACAGATATCGTTCAATAGTTTTTGATGCATACTCCAAAGTCGATCGGGTGGCACAATACTAAAATAGATCGCTAAAAGTTCTTGATGAGGATGAGGTCCCTTTTGGTAAAGAAAGTAATATTGGCTATTACTAGACTCTTTGATCGCTTTTGTTCTCGTTGTATCTAGACGAAATGAAATACCCAACTGTAACATTTGATTACACTAGTTTTACCCAACCTTTACCGCATTAGTTTTTTTTTTTTTCCGTACACTAAAGAAGAACAATTTAAATTTGAAAATGGAACTTACCAATTTCTTTAGGTTTGTCTCCGTTGGCCATTTCCATTTGCCTTCATCTGTACACGTCGTATTATAATATCTTCCATACACCTCATGTAATAATTCGTGATTCTTATCCAGTTCATTCAAATCCACCAATCTTGGCGACACCATCACTCCTCTATCCAGATGAACAAAATGAATCAACCCAGGATAAGTCACTGCAAAAGAGAGATTGGTAAAATGCGTGGCTTCCTTTGTCAAGATAAAGGTTGTAAAATCAGAAAGACTAGATCTTAGTTGAGACTTGAATAATTTGACCTGACTTGACATCGGTTTCCAAGGCGATTTGGAAGGTACAGGCTTATTCTATAAAAAAAAGTAAGAAACGATTTTGTTTAGTAAACATAAAAAAAGTGCATCATCATCCCCCCCGCTCTTTCTTTTGTTACCTTATCCGGATCATCTTTACAAACAACAATAGAGCATAGACCATCACTTAACAAGATGATGATAAAATTCGCCAGATAGACATGACCATCGGACTTTATCCAACGCCTCACCAACTTGACATCCTCTGTTTGATCCAAATAACTTGTTTCACCGTTAATAAGGTTTGCCAAAATATGCTTTAATGACGAATCTTCATTGTTTGTGTTTGACGATAAACTTTGGGACCGGGAACGATGTGTTGGGGATGACGGTGCAGAGGCGATACGATCGTTACCCGGATGGAATGGATGATAGTTTGTCTTATGGGTCTGTTGTGTGGTCTCTGACGGCACACTGCTCGACAAGAAGGACATGTTATTATTCACGGCACAGGTGTCATCGATATTCAGAATATCGGCGATAGACTGTTGTTGTTGCTTATTTGGTATTAATAATACGTTGGATGGTCTATTGTTATTATTTTGGGGTAATGAAGGTTGAATGTCATGCGGTAATGATGTGATTAAATGATGTGTCAGATTGTTCGATAAGGGATTGCTCCAATATGAGATGGATGAGTCGGATGATACAACTGTAACTGAAGATGCGGACTTTTCCCGAATTTTAAAAGGAGTCGAACTTGAGTTAGCGTCGTACACATATGCAAGGGATGATTGATGACTGGAACTAGTGGTGGTCGTAGCAGAATTAGATGAGGATGGGGAGACGTTGTTCGGAAGAGCTGTCGTTGTCACGGTGGTAGCTGTGCCTGAAGTAATTGTTGATGTCGTGGTCGTGGTGGAGCTAAGAAATGGAAAGACAAGGTGCATTAATAAAAATTCAAGGAACGGGGTACGTTCAACAAGGCAAAAAAAAAAAAAAAAATGATGGGTCACTCCTACTTGGATGAGATGTTTTGGGGTAATGTGGTAGAGCGTATTGTATTAATTATGCCTACATAAAAAAGTAATCAAAAAAGTAAATAATTGCCCAGGTGGTCTTAAATTTTAATTATTACCTGACTCGTGCTTTTCTTGTAAATAATGTGATACTAATAGTTTCAAAAAATACACAAACTCATCAGGCAATTCTTCTGTGTTGGAGTTACGGCATTGTGCTACTAATTTCTCTCTCGCAAACAAGAAACAATACGCCCATGTTGTAGTTGTGGTGGTGGTGGTCTTGGTGGCCTCATTTAAATCAAACGAATGATGTTTATTCCTTGACGAAAAGAAGGAGTTTCGATGATGATGATGATGATGGGCATGATATTGCGTTTGATGGATAAAAGTCGAATTACAACTGCTTCTTAGACTTTCAGTCAATCGAAATCTCAAATCCTCGCTCACTTGTACTTGCTCACTGGCACATAGAGCCTCACTCGATCGGATCGATAACTTACCGCACGTGGAAAGGAACGGTAACTGTGATAAGCAGGTCCGTATCTCGGACATGGATATCGTCGCCAGTTTACTTGAACGTGCATTGCCTCCAATCTGTAATGACCAATGTGGTCCATAATGAAACTTTATGAAATGGTGCATCACTTTTAAGTGGAGCTGCAACAAGTTTATTGGCATATTCGTCTTTTTGGTGCAAGCAACATACAGTAGGTTTTGTTGCTACAGATAGATAGTTAGATATGAATATTAAAATACGTTTATCCCCCCCCCTCACCCGTCTTCTCTTCCATTAGATACCTCTCTAAATGCAACCGTCTTGTTTCCAATTTGTATATATTGAATCACATTGTTAAGATTAGCCTTAATTAGGTCTTTAATGACCAACAATGGTAGATAGCGAATACGTTGGCTTTCGTTGATAGAACCAGTATTTGAATTATTTCGTTTTCCCTGTGCCGACTGATAAAGCACTGTTCCCAGTTTGTTAATAATAAAGTAATTTATCATTTTCCAATGATAAAAAAAAAAAAAAAAAAGAGAGAGGGAAAAAAGCGACACTCCGAACAATTACTTATTTTTATTGTAAATGGCAATACGTTTTGCCCTGAGATATAGGCCTCCCACATAATAAAAAAAAAATGGTTCCATTGTTATCCTCCTCCTCCCTGTTGTTATTGTAGCAGTCTTAAACAGTTCTCTTGACCTCAAAGAAACGCTTAAGATAGTACACTTGCCAAAGACAAACACTGATCAATAAACCAAGTTGAGCTGTAGACCACCATTTGACACGAGAATTTGTACTTTCAGCAGCTTTTATGAAAGAAATACCGTTAAAAACAACATTTCTGTGATCTTTTTTTTTTTTTTTCAGAATACTCACTGTCTCTGTGCTGACGTTCTCTAAAGACAATATACTCTTGTTGAGCCTTTACAGCAAAGATACTCTCTGCTAATTCTGCAATTTCCTTATCAAGGGGGTCGGTAGATTCTACGTAGAGAGTTCATCAATCCATCACACACACACACACACGTTTCTTCTTTCTCCTACCTTTCACACTGTCATGAACCTTTTGAAAATTTTCGTGGACATTGAAACTGAGCTTCTTATCACTCACATTAGAAAACTCGTTACTGAAACAGTAGGTATGCTTTCCTTCAAAACGAGCGTTGTAAGTGTGGACATCGGATGTGGTTCGAACCGTGCTAATAACAGTGGCTCCAGTGGGATCCGTCAACTAAAGAAAAAAAGCATCAATACGAAATATCACTTGGCTTTTTTTTTATTATTATTATTTATTTTTACCCAGAAATCAACATCGAGTTTACCTCCTTCTCCAACCTATGAAACAATGAAAAAAGGAATCGAGATTAGATGTCGAATAAACATGTTCAATATCCATCTCTTTTTACTTCGTAAGAAAGTGTCAGTCTCTCTCCAACATCCAACTCTTCATAATAACATTCTTTTTCTCCAGCATCAATATCAATAGTCATGGCATATACATGTTGAATAATCAGCAAAAGTGCTGTAATGGCCAGCAACAAACGATTCATCTTTTTTTTTTTTTTCTAATTAAGGGGAAGGTCAGAAAAAAGAAAGAAACGATGCAAAAGGGTATTGGCCCAAAAAAAAAAAAAAAAAAAACCTTTTTTTCGATCGGCTTTTCAATTCATTATTTTTTACTGCTCGCTCCTCATAGCCTACAGACACTTTCTTGAATATTATATTCTCTTAAAAAAGAACATATAAGAATTAAAGGGTGGATTGATAAATAAAAAAAGTACGCGACAAACATACTTTGTTTAGTCATCGGGCTCTCTCAGTATAAAAAGGGGGGGGGGGAGGTGAGGGAACAATCATTATGCAAACAAGTGTTTTAAAGTTGGAAGCACGAAAAATGATGACTTTGTGAGTTTCTTTTTTTTCCTTCTTGTAGCGTGTAAAATATGGGTTCTGCATTCTTAAGACATGAATTCATAAATATAGATTGAAAGTCCCCACCACCAACACCAATAACACCAACTATAAACAAGATCAACAGTGTAAAACTTGCATAATACTTGACATAAACTCACGATTCGTAAGTCATGGGCTTGCTTTTTTTGAGTATAAATGACGCCAACTTATTTATCTGCACTTGTTTCTCTTTCTTTTTCTCCTTTTTTTAACTTTTTACTTCTCACTCACACACCCCTCACTCTTTCTTTCTTTGTTGCATTTTCTGTAAAAAACAAAAAAAAAAAAATGTTACTCACGAGAACCTCACTTTTAAAAGTGGTTGGTAGGGTATGTATATAAAGCGTGACACGTGTGCCTTGCGTGCTTCAATGGTTTGTCTCACCCCTTATTTATCTTTAGACAACAATGAGATCCTATACCAACTGGGCTAGTCAAAAGGTCGCCATGTCTAATTTTGAAAAGGACCAATATATCAATTACCAACGTATTGAAGACAATTTAAAAGTGGTTCGCAAAAGGTTTGATTTTTGATATTGTAAAAAACGCGAAATTCTTTTTCGTTTTCTTTCTTCTAACGCGTCATATGACTTGTCTTTTTTAGATTGAACAGACCCTTGACACTTTCAGAAAAAATTGTCTATGGTCATTTAGACGATCCCGAAACACAAGAGATTGTACGTGGTCAATCCTATCTTCGACTTCGTCCTGATCGTGTAGCGTGTCAAGACGCCACAGCACAAATGGCTCTTTTACAATTCATGTCGGCTGGTTTACCCACAGTTCAAGCACCCACCACCGTTCATTGTGATCATCTCATTGAAGCCCAAGTGGGTGGAGAAAAGGATCTGAAGCGTGCCATCGATATTAACAAGGAAGTCTATGATTTCTTGGCCACCGCCACCGCTAAATTTGGTATCGGCTTTTGGAGACCCGGCTCTGGTATTATTCATCAAATCATTCTGGAGAATTATGCTTTCCCCGGTGGCTTAATGATCGGTACAGATTCACATACACCCAACGCAGGTGGTCTGGGTATGGTCGCTATCGGTGTAGGTGGTGCTGATGCTGTCGATGTCATGTCGGGTGTACCATGGGAACTTAAATGTCCCAAAGTCATTGGTATCAAATTAACCGGTAAATTGCATGGATGGACCTCTCCCAAGGACGTGATTTTGAAAGTAGCCGGTATCTTAACCGTCAAAGGTGGTACGGGTGCCATTGTCGAATACTTTGGTGATGGCGTTGACTCTATTTCTTGTACGGGTATGGGCACCATCTGTAACATGGGTGCAGAAATTGGCGCCACCACTTCCTTGTTTCCTTTCAATCAACGTATGGCCGATTATCTTCGTGCCACAAAACGTGGTGAGATTGCCTCCTATGCTGAATCCTTTTCTGAAAACTTGCGTGCCGATGAAAGTGCGCATTATGATCAAGTAGTCGAAATCGATCTGGATAAATTAGAACCTTATATCAATGGTCCTTTCACACCGGATTTAGCCACTCCCATTTCCAAGTTCAAGGAAACCCTCAAGAAAAATGACTGGCCTCAAGAACTCAAGGTGGGCTTGATTGGTTCTTGTACCAATTCTTCCTATGAGGATATGACACGTGCTGCATCGCTTGCTCAACAGGCCATTGATCATGGCGTCAAGGTCAAGTCGCATTTCACTATCACCCCAGGTTCTGAACAAATCCGTGCTACCATTGAACGCGATGGTGTGATGGATATCCTGACAAACGCGGGTGGTGTGGTCTTGGCCAACGCATGTGGTCCCTGTATCGGACAATGGGATCGTAAAGACGTACCCAAGGGAGAAAAGAACTCTATCATTACCTCCTACAACCGTAATTTTACTGGTCGTAACGATGCCAATCCTGCTACTCATGCCTTTGTTGCCTCACCTGAAATCGTTACCGCCTTAACCATCTCGGGTGACATGACCTTTAATCCATTGACCGATTCCTTAATCGATCATTCGGGTAAGCCTTACAAATTGGACCCACCCAAGGGATATGAATTACCCCCACATGGTTATGATCCTGGCCAAAACACATACCAACCCCCACCCTCTGACAGAGCTCATGTCCAAGTCGTGGTCGACCCCAAATCCAGTCGTCTTCAACTTTTAAAGCCGTTTGAAAAATGGGATGGTAAGGATATTAAGGAAGTCCCTATCCTTATCAAGGTCAAGGGTAAATGTACCACCGATCATATCTCCATGGCAGGTCCCTGGCTTAAATACCGTGGCCATCTTGACAACATCTCGAATAATTTCCTGATCGGCGGTATCAATAGTGAGAATGGGAAAGCCAATTGTGTCAAGAATGTGTTTACGGGAGAGTATAAGGCCGTACCTGCTACAGCTCGTGATTATAAAAAGGAAGGCATCAAATGGGTCGTGGTAGGGGATGAAAATTATGGTGAAGGATCTTCACGTGAACATGCCGCACTCGAACCTCGTTTCTTGAACGGTACAGCCATCATTGTCAAATCCTTTGCACGTATCCATGAAACCAATTTGAAAAAACAGGGTATGCTCCCTTTAATCTTTGATAACCCGGAAGATTATAACAAGATCGATCCCGACGATAAGGTCTCTATTTTGGGATTAACAGACTTTCAACCTGGGAAACCATTGACAGTACGTCTCACCAAATCGGATGGTAGACATGAAGATATCAAGGTGAATCATACTTTCAATGATTTGCAAATTGAATGGTTCAAGAATGGGTAAATATATATATATATATACATATAAATTTATATCTAAGGGAATCTTTCTCTTATTTGTTCCGTTACTAATCATTCCTTCTTCTTTTCCTTGTAGTTCCTGTCTTAATTACATGAAAAAAATGGCTAGCGAGAAAAAGTAACCACCCCCCGTCATCGTTTTTAATAAAAACCAAATGGGAATCTCCTTATCAGCTTTTTTTTTTTATTCGTCTATTTAACACTAAAATACTGAGATTTCTCCCACCTAATATTTACATGAGCTTAAACATATGAGCGTCCCCCAATGTATGAAGAGGACACATATTAATATAGGTTTCAGCGCAGGAGTTAGACTACGTTACATCACTAAAGCATAAATTACTTTACAGCAATAACGAAAAGGATTTGGGATTTTTATCTAGCAGTTCTGAAAGGCCTTTATCAATTCAGTGATTTTTTTTTTTTTTTTTTATAAAAAAAAACATAGATATCCCTTTAATACATCAAGACAAAATCTCTCACGCGTATAACAAACCAACCTCCCCCCCCTTATCGGATAAGTATTTAACCCACCCAATCATAAGATGTGTATCACGTGTTTATCACGTGATTTACATTAAATTATATGCTACGTTTATGGCCGGATTTTTAAATTCATAACATAAGGCGACGTGGCCTAATGGATAAGGCGTTAGACTTCGAATCTAAAGATTGTGGGTTCGAGTCCCATCTTCGTCAACCTTTATTTTTCGCAATTCTGAAGAAAATTTGTGCAACGATAAAAATTGGTTTTTTTTTTTTTTAAAAAAAAAAGAAAAGCAAAAAACGTTTTTGATATCCCAACTTTTTTATGTAGATATTTAGAAAAAGAGCAAGTGAGTGTGTGTGTGGGGGGGGAGAGATTGCTGATGAACCCTACTAACAACTATAAGTTTGCCTTGACGGAAAAATGATTCATAGCCTATCTCCCCCCATGCAAACGATTATCTTGAATAACGATTATCTTGGGTACGGGGAGGATTTTTAACTTGAACACTTGCTAGCCCCTGTCAACAAGGATTGAAAAGCTCTTTTTTTATTGTTGAAGATAGAGATATGCTGTAGGAGTGTCAAAAGATGTCATCTTGTTATGAACAAGTCGGGGGGATGATTTCTTCATGCAGACTAAGTTCTGAATATGGACTGAGACAGTTTAAATGAAGCCCCCCCCCCCCCTTTTTTTTTATTTTCACAAAAATGAGGGGACTCCGTAGGATGAATGTAATAGTCTTTTGGGAGGATGAAGGGTGTCAAGTATTTTCGTGTAACTTTTTTTTTTTTTTCAAACTAAAAAGATTATCTCATCTTTTTAGTGCATAAAAAACAATGGTTTCAAAAAAAAAAAAAAAAAAAAATTGTATTTAAACAGAAGTTGTCATTTTTTTTTTATACAGAAAAATATATTCTTCTTTTTTACTTCAATTCCACTTAAAATGGTTCATCTTTGGCTTCGAGCAGAAACAAAACCGATGGAGCATCGAGCAGCGTTAACACCTGCTACTGCTAAACAACTTATAAAAGCAGGATTTCAAATCACCGTAGAAGAATCTGACCAACGTATCTTTGATGATCACGAGTACGCCGAGTAAGTTCACTCCTGTTTTGTTAAAATAGAATCAAAAACGACTCACAATGGGACATTTTTTTTTAATAAATAAGGGTGGGATGTACCATGGTTCCTTTTGGCAGTTGGAAAGAAAAGGCTCCCTCTGACGCTTACATCATTGGTCTAAAAGAACTCCCCGAGAATGATACATCGCCACTCCATCATACACATATATTCTTTGCCCATTGTTTCAAGAACCAAGCTGGGTGGAAGGAGATCCTACATCGGTTTAAAGACAGCGGTAAGATTCTGGACCTTGAATTTTTACAAGACGCTCAAGGACGTCGTGTAGCTGCATTTGGGTTTATGGCAGGGTTTGCAGGAGCTGCTGTCAGTCTGGATGTCTGGTGTCATCAAAAGAAGGGGTTAAAGATGGGTGCATTGAAACCGTTTCAGAATGAACAAGCGTTGATTGATTATGCCAAGGGAAACCTCCGTGAAACTTTATTACATGAAGGTCGCCATGACAATTATCCGACATTGATGGTGATGGGAGCACGTGGACGATGTGGATCTGGAGCAGTGGATTTTGCTAAAAAAGTAGGATTACCCGCTGAAAATATCATTCAATGGGACATGGAGGAAACAAAGAAGGGAGGACCCTTCCCGGAGATTATGAAGGCGGATATCTTTGTGAATTGTATTTATTTAAATCAAAAGATTCCTCCGTTTATGACGCAAGAAATGATTGATTCAGATGGACGTCAATTGACAGTCATTTGTGATGTGAGTTGTGATACCACCAACCCAAACAATCCCATTCCTGTCTATAGTGTGAATACGACCTTTGATCAACCCACAGTACGGGTAAAGACAAGCAGTAAAAGACCATTGGATGTCATTTCTATTGATCATTTGCCTACTTTATTACCAAGAGAAAGTTCAAACATGTTCTCTCAAGACTTGTTACCTACCTTGATGGAACTCAAAGATATCGAATCATCTTCTGTATGGCAACGTGCACAACGTTTGTTCTATGAAAAGTTACATTTGGCCACACTTACAAACAAGTTATAATCGGGATTTGAATCAACGTGACGTCCCTCTTTTTTTTTTTTTAAAAAAAGATCCAACACTAAAAATAAAAAATGCTGGCCCAAAAAAAATTTACAGCAAGCACCAAATAAGAAACTTTTTTTTTTTTTCTCCCTTCTCTTTGCTTTTTTTCTTAATTTTTTTTTTTTCGCGCCGCGTGTTCTATATAATGAGTGACTTGGAAAAGGAAACTGTGACTGAACAACAACACTTGACCGAATCAAATAACGATTCAACTCAAGCTGTCGAAGATTCAACAGAAGTTGACAAGGTAAGAAAGAAAGAAAGAAAAAAAAAATATTTTAATCTAGAATCTTACAAAAAAAAATATTTGGTTTTTTTTTTTTTTTTTTTTTTTAGGAATTAGAAGCCATGAAACAACGTGTCAAGGATATGGAGGACGAGGCAGCTAAATTACGTGATATGCAAGCCGAAGTGGAAAAGTCAATGAACCCTGAAGAAGGTAATTAAATCATTTTTTAAACAACTTGGTAATCATGGGCAAGTCTTTTAAAAAAAAAAAAAAAAAAAAAAAATATACGTTTATAGACAAGGAAGCAGTTGATAACCGCTCCGTCTATGTTGGCAACGTAAGTCCCTCCCTCCCTTCTCCTTTTTGATCATGTAAAGAGTTTTTTTTTTCTTTAAAAAAGCTAACAAACTATATTCTTTTTTTAAAAAAAAAAGGTCGATTATGGAGCTTCACCTGAAGAACTTCAAGCACATTTCCAATCTTGCGGTACAATCAACAGAGTCACAATTTTATGTGACAAGTTTACTGGACATCCTAAAGGGTAAAGTTTATGCTACATGAAAGAGAGAAAGAGAGAGAGAGAGAGAGAGAGAGAGAGAGAGAGAGAAAGAAAGGGAAAAAAAAACTAAAAAAAAAAAAAATGGTATTGAAATAGATATGCCTATGTTGAGTTTGCAGAACCCAGTTTTGTCAATGCGGCTGTTGCTTTAAATGAAAGTTTATTCCGTGCACGTTTATTAAAGGTAACACCCAAGCGTACAAATGTCCCCGGTTTCTCTGCGCGTGGTCGTGGAAGAGGTCGTGGCGGTGCTTTCCGTGGCGCTATGGGCGCTCCTCCTTATTATGGCGGTCATTCTCCCATGTATGGATACCGTGGAAGAGGGTAAATAATTTACACTTACAAATCTGTCAAATTTCTATATATTTTTTTTAACTCTTAATTACTCTTAGTGGACGTGGTAGAGGTGCTTATTATTCACCATATTAATTCTGGATTAACAACAACATAAATATATATACACACATATACTAAAAAACAAAAAAAAAACAAAATTGAAAATTTAGTGCTTTTTTTTATAAAAAGAAACTAATAAAAAGTCTTTTTTCTCTTTCTTCAATAATAAAAAAAAAAAGAAGGGAGGTAACCCCCTCCCTAAAATCCCCCATCCTAAATTAAACTTCCGTCTTACACACCTCTTAGTAAAAAAACGTGTTCTTTCTTTTCTCTCTTTACCTTTTTCTCTCTCTCTCTTTTTTTTTTTTTTTTTTTTTTTTTTTTTGTTATATAAATATACCCCCTTTACACACACCCCACACACCCCACACACCCCACACAACACACCCCACACATACGCAACTAACAAACTAAAAAAAAAGAAAAAGAAAAATGGAGAAACAATCCAGTAGCAGTAGTATTGACGCCTTTCAACAAAAAAAGAATAACCGCTTGTCTTCATATGTACCTGTTCATCGTCGTAATGAAGAAGAAGATGTAAAACGCAACAAGTATCGTTCGAGCGACATTATTCAAGTGGAACCAAGTACTTCCAGTAAACGCTCTTCTCTTATGGGTCGTCGTCCTCCCTCTGTGAACAATCGTTACAGTCGTAATAGCTTTATGGGCGATGACGACATGGAGTACTATGTAAGTTTTTTTTTTTTCCTTTTTTTATTCGCATGTTTATTCATCTTTATTTTACTGTAGGACAATGACAATACTGAATGTCCTCAAGAGGACTGGGAAAATATTCTTAAACAATACGATCGTTACAGTATGAATGATGAAGACAAACGAAAGAGTAAGCGGGCCAGTCGTATTATGGACTCCTACCAGGACTTGGCAGGTAAAAAAAAATTAACTTTAATTAAATATTTTAAACCCTCGTCGCTAATTACTTTATTTAGTCGAGGTGCCAGTAGTAGATGAGCCAACCGTCGTTCTGGACTGTTATGATTTTCCTCCCGCCTTTAAAACTCATCATTTACATGATATCTTTCGATCCTATGAAGGTGTACGTGGTGGTTATAAAATCAAATGGTTGAGTGATACACGCGCCCTCATCATCTTTGACCACCCTTCCACTGGTATGTTCTATTTTATCTTTTGTTGCTTTACATGTACTCATGTTTTTTATTTGTACAGCTAAGAAGGCTTACATTGACAATGTTACGCACGCACTTGCCAAGATTCGGCCTTACGAGGGCCCGACAGATTTCTTAAAGG